GTGTCTTTGTGAACCTAGATTTCGGGGACACAACCACCGCCAGTAGTTCTCCCACTCGCTTTCTCCTTTGAATGCAATTTTTCCATTTGTCCGAGCGACTTTCTGCTTGAGACTGGGGTTTAAATTCGCAGCCCTAAAGGGTAGCTACAGACAGAGAGAAAGCAGTGCTGAACAAGCCAAGAAGCTCCGTCTCTCTGTTACCATTGTGTTGTGTATGCAATAAAGTTCGGAGCTTTTGATCATTGTTAGTGCGGAAGAGCTGTACAGTACAGAAAAAACGGAATGGGTATGGCTAATCAAGAAGCGATCCAGCAGTTTCAGTCTCTGATGGACAAAGGTCAGCTCTCACCCAAGCTCATTTAGTCTGTTGCCTCTTACTTTTGGATTTCTGGGTATACTTGATCTTTGATTGTCCGCTTCTGCTGACGCCAGTTTGGTTTTTGTTATTTGCGTTTCTTGATCTGACAAACAGTGGATGAGCCGCTGAAGAATAGTTTCAAGGTTAATTCCCTTTGATCCTCTTCCTTTTTATTTTTAAAATTCACTGGACTCATGGGGGAAACGAAATCGGAGAAGATGGGACTGAAAGCTGAACGATCAAACTTAGTTTTGGAAAAAAACGAAATCTTTTTCTGCTAATGTAAAATGCTTTGAACCGAGAGAAAGCATCTGCCTTTGCAGCTCTTGAATATGTTTCAGAGAAGAAGTTGATCTGGGTTTGTTTTGTTCATTTTAGTTATTTGGGTTGTGATCTGATTTGTAGCATTGGCCCAACGAGGTGCCCTTGGCAGTTATACTTTCTGGGTTTTCAGTTTCTCTTGACGGAATAGAATTGCGGGGTAAACTCTTTGTTAACAGTTAGTGTAGGAAGTTTGATTTGGTATATCAGTTGCCAAGAGCTCGTGGATTTAGGTATTCTTAGACGCAACTTTTGTATTTTTTGCTAATAATGAGACGTGTATTGGTTAGTGTAACTTGGGATACTTTATCTGATTGGATACTATATGAGACAAAAATAGCATAAGGGAGAAGGGGATTTGATTATACTCTGTAGAGCTGTTTTACTCTTTCTGGTTAATTGACTTGGTATTCAGTTACTAGTCTTAGGCAAATGCTTGATTGATTCTGTATTCGGAGCAAGAAGTTCCATCATGGAACTAAATGACGAGGATAGAAGTCTTTAGGCTTTAGGTACGGAACTGTAAATATAGACGAAAGGAATAGGTGGAATACAGAAAGGCAATGCTCAAAGTCTGATATCATAAAGGTGTGATAGCATCTGGAAGTTCGACTGGGTAATCTTTTTGATGATCTATCATGGTGCCAAATGGTGATCTGTGGCTGAGAATTTTAAATCCAACTACTGTACCCTGAAGTTGCAATGGCTTGGGTGGTCTAGGGATCCTTAAGTTTGTGAAATTTAGCATAGCAAAAGAAATCACTTAGTTCACTTAACTGATTTCCGCCTTTACTGAAAGGGCAATTAGACACAGAAATAATATTGGAGAATATTAACCAAGAAGGTGCTACATTGAAATAAAATGCTGGAAGGTGCTTGGAGAATGTTGTGGCAAAGCATTACCCAAAAAATTTGGATGAAGTGTTAATTCATGATTATTTGCTGGGTCTGATCAATTAGAGAACCAGTTTGGTGTGTATGCTAGGTCTCTCCAAGGGTTCTCTTGTACGTGAATGTGAGTTGTAGTATATCTGGGAAATGGGTTCAGCTGTGTGGTTGTATGGCTCTTAGAATTTGTTGTGTGCTTTCTCTACATTGATTGTTGTAACCAAAACATTATTGTTTTGAGTTGAGTGGGATTCATTCTTGTCAACCACAAGGCATTTCTGAATTAATGCTTTATTGATTGTCTGCAGAAGGTGCACCAGGGATTTGTAACTGAAACTTTGACAAGATTTCTTAAAGCGCGGGACTGGAATGTTGCCAAGGCACATAAAATGGTTAGGTTGATTTTTATTATTATTCAATTTTGTCCATATTATCGCTTTCTTTGGTCTTTATATCCTTCGAGATTTCATTAGTTTTTCTATTTGTTGTTCTTGTCCATTGCTGCAGTTGGTTGATTGTTTGCAGTGGAGGGTACAGAATGAGATTGACACCATTTTGGCGGTTAGTTCTTTCTCTTGCTTTCTTAATTTCTACGTATGTTTTTAGCATTTCCTTCCTTTCTCTTAGTTATCTTCTATCTGTTACTTTGCTTAACCATGTATGCGGAATGTGTTTTACACACTATGATACATTTGCTTTTGAGAACATGAGATAGGTTCCTTTTGAGTTTCTTATTGTTGACTAGTTCATTATTTTGTCTACAGAAACCGATTGTTCCTACAGAATTGTATAGATCAGTTCGGGATACTCAGCTTGTAGGATTATCAGGTTACACGAGGGAGGTATAGTCATAATGCTTAAATTAAGATTTTCCTTGGGTCAATTTGTTTCATCCATCTCTTGCAATCTTTTTTTTGTTTCATCCTTGTACTTGTAGTCTAATCTGTTTATCGTTCATTAAGAAAAATAGATCTATTGACTGTTCCTTGTGTATTATCTTGAAGGGTCTTCCTGTTGTTGCTGTTGGTGTGGGGCAGAGCACATATGACAAAGCTTCTGTAAGACTCTTACACCATTACTATATCCTGTTGGTTGAATTTGCAGACATCCAATGTGGCATTGAGTTTGAAAAACTATGCTGCTTGCTGAAGTTTAATGTGGAATCTGTTTCTCCTCAAGTTTAATGTGCATTGAAACTATGGCCATATCGTAATAGTAAGAGCAGTTTATAAAGTCCAGCCAGGACCCATATGATGCCAAGTTATGAAACGATGGAACTATGAAAAGTGTAAAATCATTCCTGAACTTCTGTGCAATATCTGCCTCACATATTCAGGTTATTACTTTTGTTGCTTCAGGTACATTACTATGTGCAGTCCCACATCCAAATGAATGAATACCGCGATTGTGTAGTATTGGTGAGTCGAACTTTCAGCCATTGAGATTTCATTGCTCATTTGCTTTTCGTGTGATGAAGCCTAACCCGTTATCTGTTGTAGCCTAATGCAACCAAGAAGTGTGGAAAGCATATTAGCACATGTATTAAGATCTTAGATATGACTGGTCTAAGGCTTTCAGCTCTAAATCAAATAAAGGTACAGTCTTCTAATGTTTGATTTGCAACTCTTCCATCCTATTGGCATTTATGAATTTTACTTTCTGTTGATCTTTGAGTGCAGTTATTAACTGCAATATCTACCATTGACGACTTAAACTATCCAGAGAAGACAGACACATATTACGTTGTCAACGTCCCATACATCTTTTCTGCCTGTTGGAAGGTTCTCGTCTATTGTCTCTTCATTTTCAAAGCATTTCTAGTATCTCTATTATAAACCCATATACAATGGTGCTCACCAACGCCTAAACCTTTGTTGACAGGTTGTGAAGCCTTTATTACAAGAGAGGACAAGGAAGAAGATTCAGGTGCTACAAGGTTCTGGGAAGGACGAATTGTTAAAGGCAAGGAAGACAATTTGTTTGCTTAGGATCTGTCAAAAATACAATTTTCACAGCTTCCATTGAAACTGAACTTCCTTTTGCTTTTGAATGCAGATAATGGATTATTCCTCACTCCCTCATTTCTGTAGACAAGGGGCCTCTGGTTCGTCTCGTGTTGTTGCTGCTGCTAATGGAACCACCACCCCAAACTGCTTCTCGTTAGATCATGCCTCCCATCAGCAGCTGTACAACTACGTTAAGCAGCAAGCTGAGCTGGACGAATCTGATTCACCACCTCTCAAACAAGGCTCGGTCCATGTAAGTTACCCCGAGCCTGACCCTGAAGATGCCAAGATCGTGAAGACGATAGAGTCCGAGCTCCACAAGCTAGGTGATTCTAATGGCCTCAACAATTCATTCAGCAGAGTCCGGGTGAATGGCATGTGAAAAATGCTGACACAAGGAAGGAATGAATGAACATTTAGGGATGCGGTTTAGTTACTGATTTCGCACCAAAACGGAAGTACGAGAGTGAGAGATCCAGGCCTCTGCAAAACTTGAGAAAGATGGGGAAAGTTGTGAACTTTGTACTAATTAAGGTTATTGACGGTGTAGCTTTTCAATTTGATGCATCAGCTCGATGCACATCTTGCAGAGTAAGTTGAGGGGCTAAGTCACCTGCATAGGGGATTGACAAGAAACATCTCAGGGTGAAATGATCTTTGTCATATCCCTCTTTACTTTTAATTAACCCTTCAGTTGGGACCTTATATACAAGGAACTACTTGCTTCAGAAGAGCTTTACTCATTTTGGCACCTTGTTTTGTAGCCAATAGCAAAAGACTATTAGGTGATGTTTTTGTGCCTAATCATGGATCAGGATGGTGCTGAAGACTTGACAAAGCTGTGATGGATTACAAATCAAAGTTTACAGTACGTGCTGTCATGTACATAAGGGGCTTTGGTAGAAGACCACTAATCAATCATGGGTAAAGATTTGGATTACACGAAACAAATCGGAGAGAATTGATGTTTGGATTCAGAAGAATTACTTTTGATTCAAGTTTCATGGTTTCTCTTAAAAATAAACAAAAAAGTACACCAAATGAAGACTGAATTAGACCAAGTACACTTTCAATTCGATTCTGGTTCTTATTTTCCCTTTGTTAATGGTGCATTCTTAGCCCCTTTCGATCTAACTGTGAACGGAACCAGACTATACACACCCCTAACTTCAACCACCTTAGTACTTAAAACTTATATCTGATCATATTAATTCCCATTTCAGAGGAAAAGAAAATTTCACTAATTTCTCAAATCCCTTCATTTCCATAGAGAATCTTCCACCTTACCATCTTTATCAATTACTTTTGCAACTTTTCGGATGATTGAGTGCAGGCTGCACATCCAACATGTTGGGAAAGCTACATGGCATTATGAAGAAGCTGTTCATAGAGATGGATGAATAAATACAGAAGCTTTGACTTCGTAAACCCAGAACAAATGTCAGGAAAGGATTCATTTACAGATTCTTTGCACTGATGAGTTTTGCTTATGAACATTAGATGCCACAAAGATGCCACAAAGATGCAAGGGAAAGAACCAAAAATAAAACAAAAAACAAAAACGCACACACACAAAAGGAAATCAATTGGAATCATTTAACTCAGCTGTTTATAGCATTTGTATGCAACGGCAACTGATGCAACGGCACAAAGCACAGCAGCAGCTGCATATGTATCTTCAAGCTCCCAGCTCTCGAGCCATGTTGGCTTTCCACAAACTCTATGAGCTAGGGATTTCTTCCCACTGTTACGACGGGAGATAAACTTCTTGTTGCCCTTTTTCTCCTCCAGTAGAGACAGCTTCCCTTCTTTCGGCTTGCTGGTTTCTGTTGAGACAGGCTTTTGACTGTAAGAAGCAGAGTTCCCGATTTCCTGGCAGCGTCCTCCAATGGCTTCAGATTCAGACACACTGCCTGCTGCAACACTTGCTTCGACATCTGTTGTTCTATGTGGCACTTCTCTGCTATCCGTCACATCACCATGCCCATTCAGTTGCAGCCGTTGTTCTTGCCACCTAATCTGGTCCTCTACTGACAAACCCATCTGGCCCCTGAATTCAACATCCCGTGTGGCTTTATAGAACAGTTCAAATATAGGAATATCTCAATCCATCAGACAGGAATTTTTTTTGTATCTCTTCATCTCAATATTTGAACATTATGTACTGTCTCAATCTTTCTTGTTTTAACACTTGTGACTCACTTTACAATAATAATGACTGAAGTCGATTTCATCGAAGTATGAAACTCTAGTTGTTCAAAACTACAGGCAAGAAACAAAAGAATACCTCCATAGCCAATCAACAATCTCTCCCCTGCCAATATGTTGTTCGAGTAATATGGGCACATCGTCTGGACTAACATATCCATACCTGTAAGGAATTCCCAAATCTTTCAGAGGAGAAAAGCACAAACTTGGCACATATATAACGGAATGGATTTTGAACTACCAGTGCCCAGTGATGCCTCCACTGGACACTTGATCCGAAGATGATAATGTTTCCAGCATACTTATGGCCCCCAATGTGTGAGCATGCACTAACAGAGACTCTAGATTGCATACCACGGACTTCTATCTCTTCTTTAAACCTTCCAATTATGGCTGGACCACAAACGCCACAACAGCGATCCCTGGAGGCATGAGAGCATACAAATACATAGCAACCATGAAGCTTTTCTGGAGTTCCAGGCATCCATTCACCATCTTTGACCAGCACTTCCTCCACAAATGTTTCAACATCGAAATGTGTTAACCTCCTGCATCGTCCTTCACTAAGTAAAATCAGATTTACCAGGAAGTAGAGCATCAAAGAACAGGAACCATAGGGAAAGAGTCAAACTTATTGACCTGTATCTAACCATGTCAGGAAAGATTAACACGTCCCCATTTGAGGTTTCTGTCCCATCATGTCCCTCACATATTGTTAGCCGGGTCTGAAAACACAGCAGCCGAAAAATTGGATGAACAAAAATGATTAAGATACTATCATTCATAAGCCAGCATAGAGTTGATGGGGGCTATTCACAAACTGAAGTTGCAGAAGACGGAAATAGATGGCACCCGGTCTCATTTCTCGCCATCTAATCCTACCAAATCAAGACAACATAACTACTCTTCAAAGAAATAAGTGCTACTAGACCATTCCAATCCGTGTACAGAGAAAGCACGTGACTAACCATCCTTGCAACTAGCACTGCAAAGTAGCAAAGCAAAACTGCAGGTTTTTATATGCGATACTTGAAAGTTGAAACCACACCATTGTAAAGGTTATAGAGGCAATCGCCTCAAGGGAACCATAATACAGAATCCAACCAACAATGCATAAATCCATAAATGGGACAAGTAGATAAAAATGACCCTCGATAAGGGCGAAGAAACCACTCGAACCTCCCAGTAATTTGTTAATAAAATTAAAGGAGTTCAATAACAAAGCAGCAGATAGAAAGTACACGAATGGTTCATAGAAATGGCTAAATTTTATGATAAACAAGATGAAAACCCAGTCATTGACCCCGTCAGGCTGTCACCCCATGTTTTTCATCTGTTCTTCGTCCCCACCAAAGGGAAAAGACCCCCCTGAATCCTACTGCACTTTAAGAATTTACACCGCCCACACAAACAAAAAAACACTCATTGACATCTCTCTCCATCCAATCCATAGTCACAACAAAGGTCTCTACCATAGAAGGAGACCTCATACGGGCTGCTCGCCAGGCAAGTAAGAAGGAGACCCACCTTCAACTTGGTTCTTTTTCCTATGGAAGATCCCACTGAGATTGGACACCAGTACCTTCTTGGATACAGATGTCTTGCCCTTTTCCAACTTCCGGACCTCCATCACCTTTTGTTGTGGCAATGTGTTCTGCTTCTGCATGACGGGCTTTGGTGGCATCCTGTTATGAAAAGGGGATGCTGCTGCTTCAGATGCCACCTGAGTTTCAGCCAGAATCCGGGAAGCAGTTTCAGCCGCCTTCTTCTGATCCCTTTCTCGCCACCTTCTCAGCTCTCCCTCCACTGCCCTTTTAGCTGCTTCAGCCATCTCGGCCCTCTTCAATGCCTCCTGGGTTGCAGCGTTCATATCCTCAATCTCCTTTTGCATTGCCTCTATTCTTTTAAGTGCTTCATTCTCGCTAGCCTTTTCAGCTTCCACTTGAGCGACAGCTGCTGCCACTTTCATTTCAGCCAATTCATTTGACTCCTTCACCTTACGTTTCAAAGCCTCAAACTCATCCCTCGAGATTGTGATATTGGCACCTGACTCGGATGTCGAGGCACGTGCGGCATTGGTTCTCTCTGAAAGTGCTTTGATCTGATCAAGAGCCCTTACCTCTGCTGTTTTGGCTTCTTCGGCTTCTTCCAGGGCAAGTTTCAGCTTCTTGTCAGCTTCTTCTAGTTCAACCCGTGTTGCTTCAGCTTCCTTCTTCAACTCCTCAGCTTTGCTCTTCATCTCTTCAGCTTCACAACGTGCATTCTCAGATTCCACCGATAACTGGTGGAGATTGGTGATCATTTCTTCTGAAGCACCTCTTGCCTTGGACTCCTCTGCAATGGCTGCTTCAAGCTCCAACTTACATTTCCGTAGCTTAACATGCAAGTTTCCAGCAATGGATTCTGTTTCTGCCTCTTTCTCCTTGAGTTCCAGATGCTGCTTCTTCACATTCTCCAGCTCCAGCTTTAGCGAATCAAGTAAACTTCTCAAAGAGCTTTCTTCTTCCACTACTTTCTGCAGTGACTCCTTAGCACCATCTAATTCTGAAGTGACGGTTTTAACAGAATCCAAATCTGAGGCCTTTGCAAGGGCCATTTGCTCTCTCAGACCACTTATCTCATTCATTGTTTCGGTCAGTTGCTTTTCGAGATTCTGTGTAAGTTCTGGATCGAACTCATTCTTCAATGCAATAAGCTTGTTCGCTGATTCTTCTAGGGTAGCCTTGTATGACTGCTTCTGAAGGTCCTTGTCAGAAAATATTTTGGTTTGTTCTTCATGGGACTGAAGAGAAGCAAGCTTCACTTGCCCAATTGATTCTTGCATTGATGAAATCTCCTTAGAGAGCTCGCCAACTTTTTCAACGTTTACTTTGGTTGAATGTTCAGCTTCAGCAGTTTGTGTAATAGCAGCAAGCTTTGCCTCCAAAGATGCATCACACTGCTGGCGAAGTTTCCTAAGTTCTTGCTTCGCAACATCGAGCTCTGAAAATACAGTTAAATACTGTTCCCTTGCAGCCTCTAAATCCTGAAGCCTAGCAGCATCAGTTGGCTGGTTACGTCCACTATTTGCTTCTTCAATTTGCTTCACTTGATTTTTTGAAGTCTCTGTGGCTCTCAGTGCCAACTCTTTTGCTTCGTTGATAGTTTTGAGTTTTTGGGTCAGATCATCAACTGCTCTTTTAGCCTTTTCAAGCTCGGTTAATGCTTGAGCCTTGGTTGTTTCAGCGTTGTCTAGCTGATCCTTTAACTTGTTCAACTCCTTCTGGGCTACATGAAGCTGTGTATCCTTTGCATAAACTCGCTGCAGTAAGGTAAGATACAGAGCGTAAGGGTTAAGAACTTGGTCATAAATATCCACATTTCTAGATAATCACACAAGAGGTCAAAATGGATCCAGTCTTTTGGGCGGTTTCAAGATGAATCATAAAGGACAGAAAATCACAAACAACTCCCTTTCAGTCTGCCATGTTTTAGGCGAAGGTTTTACAAGCAGTAACACAACAGAGAACCCCCACAGCACCCATCTAGTTCAATCTCACTCAGAATATGATAACAAATAGCAAATTAGCAATCATGGATACCTCTGCAGAATGAGGCTTTGGTTTTTTTATGGCTGGCTTGTCCCCTGAGAAAGCACCCTCCCCAAATAGGGTGACAGCGTCTTTGACAGACTGAAAGGGCGCCCTAGTGTCAATTTCGCCCACTACGGCTTTAGGAGAATCGGTGGTACCCCCATGCTGCTCCTTTGCCACCATAGCTATTGCTCCTTTTCCCGCTTTTTTTAATATCTATTGTTTTGCACAAAAACAACCTGGCCGAAACAAGTAGGACAGCGGGAACATATAATGGAATAGATTTAGGCATCCAACAATAAAAGGCATGCCTCTGAAGACGGAGAAGTAAACAAAGAAAGGGATAAAATAAAATCTTCAACCATTCTCAACATGGGAACATAATATAAACTTCAATTCACAGGCCAAACCAACGAAGTACACTTGATCCTAACATAGCACGACTAGTGACAAACAGGAAGGGGTTGCTGCTTAATATCTGAGAGTATATAAAGCAATGAGAAGGAGACCGTCAAATGTTCAGTCTATACCCAAGTAGAGCAATTGAATGCCAAAGTTTCAACACTCATCAATGCCAGTAATTGCACCTTACAAGCTCCATATACTTTTTCCTAATTGCTGCATACTTGAAAAGCTTCTGGTCGTTTTAGAGGGACACACCAAAAGCAACCAATTACATAACACATTGAAAGACCCGACAGAAATCTCCAACTACAACTCTCTCAATTGGAGGTCACCTCACTAGAAGAGCTGCGCTCTTCCCATCAAGCGACTTAACATCTCAATTCCGTCCCATTTTTCACCAAACAACACAACTTGAACAATCACATCAAATGAGCAGACCTTCAAATCACAAAACCTCAGGAGTTCTGGGGCCACAGTCTGTAACACCATTACTTACCTGAAATTGTGAAAAATCCAATCCTAACTCGGGAAACTCAAGTCAAATGCACATCAAACGAACATGACAGGGATGATTAATCAACCAATGGTGTTATCCTAATCTAACTAAACTGATTCTCCAAATAAACTTAAAATTCCACCACAAGCAGATGATAAACATAATTAACAAACCCAAAAAGGAAACATCACTGAAACACCATTCACTCGATCAAGCCCCCTCGAAAAACCCTACCTGCCTTTTCATCTCATATTCCAACTCCCCATCATCAGCTGGTTTCCTTACAAAGTCTTGAAGTGATCGTCTTTTAATAATTGTAACCAGAACAAACCCTAAAACCAATGACAACAACTTTCCCCTTGAACTCACTCATTCATTTCAAAATACAAATTCCATACTGAAATTCTCATACCCAGCCATTCTAATCCACTTAATAGCTAAAGCCTATACCATCTACAGGTCGTGAAACCTTAGAATGACTCCTCCGGCTGAACTTTAGACAGTTGACAGAAGACCAAAGCGGCAACCAGAAGAAGCAATGAATCAATGTAAAAGAGGCCAGAGTACTCACAACGGCGTTGGTCAATAAGGAAGCAAGCTGCGACGAATACTTCTTGGAGAAGGAAGAAGAAGAACAGGAAAATCCAAGCTTGGTGAGTTGGGAGTGGAGTGTGGAGAGGGTATACCTTCTTTTAAGTTTTTTTTCAACATTCAGTTGACTTTTTTATTTTTATTTTGAGTGAGCTGAAAATTGAATGGACTCGTTTGGGTTGGGTTTGGGCTGAATTTCAATTGTGGAAAGGGTGGGCTCAGCAGTTTAGTTTTTTTAAGGGTTGTTTGGATGAGGATTCTTAATAGATTTAGTTGACTCAATTGTTTTGTTTGGAGATAATTTGATTAAATTGATATGTTTGGTAGCATAAAATTTAGATTAAATAATTTTGTTCGAAAATTGTTTGGGATGGGGCAGATAATTCAAATTAATTCATTTTTTAAATTAAGACAATTGACCAAATAGTCTCATTTTTCAATTGATCCATTCAAACAATCAGAATTTGGCTCGGTCTATAATTTGTAAATACGAAAATTTATTAGTATATATTAATTTGGCCCCAATTTTCTACATTTCTCGCACTTTTAGCAGGGTATCTTTTGAAACTTTTAAACCGTTTGCAGACTTATTGGAGATGGTCTAACCCGACTCTCGTCTCAACTCGCCGGCAAACCCCAGAGACCCCACATCTTCCTCTCTCCGACAAGCAAATCTCACTCTCATTCAAGATAGCGCCAAGCCCAGTAACACTGGTTCTCTTAAACCCTAAACCTAGCTGACCAGCAGAACTAGGAACACAAAGAAGCGGGAACTAAGGAGTTCTTGCGTCGGATTAGCTTGTTCCATTTGAATACGGTGCGAATTTTGCAGTTCAACCTTGAGATTCTCCCCAAGCTCTTCCGGTATTCTTTTTTCCTCCCGTCTGGTTTCCGTTTGTTCGAAGGTTGTCTGAAGTTTAGTTCTTTTTTTTTAGGTCTGATGGCTCCTGGTGCACTAAGCAAGAAGAAGGGCTCAAAATCAAGCAAAGGCCCACCTAAGAAGAAGCAGAAGGGTGACCTTTTCAGCGAGAAACGCCCCAAAAAGGCTGACGTTTCAGACGATTCCGACGGCTCAGATGAAGAAGTAGAGCAATTGGAAAATTTCGATGAAGACTCTGATTCTGAACTTCTGTCCGGGGACGATGATCCTCTAGCTGATGATTTCGGAGTGATGATGAAGGTACCAATTTTGCTGAATCCGCCTTCCCGCTTCCTTCATTACTGTTTGGTGACACAGGAGAAGGGAATGCTTCATGTTTGTTGACGACTGGTTCTACGTGATGTGGTATGGTGCAGAAGAAAACTCAGGCTCGGATTCTGGTGCTGGTTCAGACGGTTCAGACTCTGATTCAGATGTATCTGATATCGAGCGGAAGTCTAGAGCTCTTGATGAACGTAGAGCAAGGGAGGAAAAAGATGCAGATGATGAGCTGCAAACCAATATTGCTGAGGAATCGGACGAGTTCCGGCTTCCAACAGAGGAGGTCTGGAGTATTTTCTAGTTCCTGCTCATTCTACAAATTTTGAATGTATTGGTGTCTTCTGTTGGCTTCACTCATTTTGTGCGTGCGTCCTAATGAGTAATGTCATTTCAGGAACTTGAAGCTGAGGCAAATCGCCCTCCTGATCTTCAGAATCTCCAAAGACGAATCCAAGAAAGTAAGATGTACTCTCTTTTCAGTTCTAAGCTTTGTTCTTTGTCTGTTATGGAGAACAATTGCCAACTAAATGTTATGTTGATTTACAGTTGTTAGAGTGCTTTCAAATTTTAAAGATTTGAGGCAGGAAGGTGCTAAGAGGAAGGATTACATTGAGCAGCTTAAGATGGATCTAAGTTCTTATTATGGTTACAACGATTTCCTTATTGGAGTTCTGATAGAGGTGATTCAAGTATTTGGTTGACTTGCTAGAATCATTAACAAAACATTTTCTCTTCAATCTTATATAATTGGATTGTTTCATACTATTTGTTTCGTTTTACTTTCAGATGTTTCCAGTGAATGAACTTCTGGAACTTATTAATGCTTTTGAAAAGCCAAAACCTATATGTTTACGAACAAACACTTGAAGGTGAGAAAGGCCTTCCATTGCCGGAGCCAGTTCTCTGGCCAGTTTCATGGTTAACCTTATGCTCATTGGTTTATGGTGGCTGAATCCACGTAGGCAAGAAGACGTGATTTGGCTGAGGTCCTGTTGAAAAGAGGTGTGAACTTAGATCCCTTGAGCAAATGGTCAAAAGTAAGAAAATGTTTCTGTTGTTTTTCTTGTGTGTATGTGCATATTATTGTCACCTTATGTTGTTAAGATGTCATCAGGTTGGACTGGTTGTGTATGATTCGCAAGTGCCAATTGGGGCTACTCCCGAGTACATGGCTGGGTTCTACATGGTAATTGGGATTTGTGCAGCTTCATATTCTTCATCATGCCAGTTTCCTGAGTTATACAGTTATAGTTTATGACTTAATAGCTGTTTGATGACAGCTACAAAGTGCAAATTCATTTTTGCCTGTTATGGCGCTTGCTCCAGAAGAAAAGGAGCGGATTGTCGACATGGCGTAAGTAGTAATCATTATGATTTTTTCTGTCTTCGATTTTGATGAACTGGCTGTATAACTTTTCAATTCTTGAATGGCTTACCTGCCACTTGAATTTATACCAACAATTGTGAAGATATATCATATTATCAGTGCCAACTATTGTGCTCTGCCACTCAGTTAAGAAGGGAGAAATTGTTTTGGATGATTGGTTGCATATGTCATTTGCCTTAAAGCTCGTTCGATAGTGCTAAGTACTCTATTACTTGTGTTATATTTGTACTTTTGCTGATTGTGTTGTGTTAAAAGTCTTTGAGTTGTGCTTTGTAACGTTTTTAGGATTCTGGACCAGGTCTCCTCACCCATGTACACATTGATATCGTAGTGCTGACCGTCTGTGGGTTTCAACATTGGAACTCATCGTTGATCTACCGTTTCATCCTTCCCTTCTGAATGATTAGGTTCATTAAGTGTGCATTGTCATCGTTTCATGTTGAATTTGTATGTGTATATGACGTAGCAACTTCTTCCTGTCACAGGGCTGCACCTGGTGGCAAAACAACATATGTTGCTGCTCTTATGAAAAATACAGGTATGTTGTGAGGCTTGATAGCTGTATTCTCTTGCTTGTAGCTTATCTTTCATAAGCCTTCTCTGATATAAACTAGCTTTATTCCCGGCCATTGGCCGGGTAACTGTTAATATTAATATTAATATTAATAATAATAACAACATGTTTTTTCAGTTCATAATATATTAAGTTGACACAATTGATTTGTAATTACAAATTTGTGTTGCTAGCATATTATTCAGCCTAAATCCATCTCATATTTACTCAATATCAACAACTGATTAAGAAGTATAAAACTCATTCGAATAATATTAATCTTATTGTGAACTTGTGATAAATATATAAATGATTTTGTACGCACAGGGATCTGTATAGATAAATGGAGTTTTTAATTAATTATGAATTATGATTTGGAACTTGTTGGTTGTGATTTTGAATCTTAGCAGTGATTCCTTACATGTTTATATATTTTTAACTGGATTTAAACTTAATAAATTAAAAAAAAAATTGACATAGCAAACGTCAATGTCTTCGTAATTGAGATATTTTTTCTGCTAACCTTGAGAATTGAGATATTGAAATTATGATATAGCTTATGGTGAGAACTTACACATGGAAAATTTTCTCATATAATAAATTACCAAAAACAATTCTCACATATATATATAGTTTTTAGTGAGAACCCAACCCAGGTAACATTAGATCAAATCCAAAAGTCTTTTGATATTTCTTAGATTTTGCATAGCTAAAACAAATCGTAATTATAAATAGTTAAAAAAACAATTTGTATTATTAATTGAATGTGTAAACAATTTTTTGGTGTAAATAGTAAACAATTATTCTTAATTAGATAAATAAATACTTCTTATGGATGATAAATAGTGCTAACTAATAATTATAAACAATAAACAATAAATTAACTTATAGTTTTTCTACTCTCTCCATATCTCCACAATCTCTCTCCTCTCTCAATGCCTAACGGAAAACTAAAAAATAGCAAAATCACAATAAAAAGGAGAAGGTAACGGGAGTCAGGAAGGGGAAAAAATATATATTAAAAAATAAAAAAATACCCCTAAATGCCGAGAAACGCGGGGAAGCCTGGAAGGCTTACGTGGAAGGGGTGGTTTTTCCAAACCCCTTTAATATATTGTAAGATATTATGTGAACAATAGATGAACTCTTTGTCCATTCTTTTCTCATTTCTTGTTAAACTTATACACATGTAAATACAAAAGTAATTATTCCATCTCGAGTTATCTAATAGCTTTCCATAAGCAATGTCTTCTCACCTAGTAACCTAAATTTTTAGGCAGATTTAGAACTTTTCTAATATGCTAATTAATTGGTATTCCCTTGTTTTATCATGTTATGATGTATGCTCTATCGTTCTCTTAGGTCCCTCCCAAAAATCTCTCGACTTATGTGCTGCAGGCCGGGGTTCTCATTTTGATGAATTTGGTTGTTGAGGAAAATGAGTCCCTTAAGTGTATTTGAATATCTGATTCCCTGGTTGAAGTTACTTTGGTTCGCTTCCAAGACCTCTCACACATGTGTTCAATTTCAATTATTGGTCAGGAATAATTTATGCTAACGAAATGAAGGAACCGAGACTAAAGTCACTGACTGCCAATTTGAATCGGATGGGGGTGACAAACACCATAGTTTGTAACTATGATGGTAGAGAGGTTGGTTCTTTAGCTATTTGGTTTTTGGGGTTTCCGATTGGCGCTTTTGATTTCTAATACGTTTTCCACTATTTGGTTGTAGCTTCCCAAGGTTTTGGGTCTCAATTCAGTTGATAGAGTGTTGCTGGATGCTCCCTGTAGTGGAACAGGGGTAAGGAGCACTCGTGAATTGCCATCTAATCTGATTTCACTGCCTTTTTATTGGTTGATGACACATTCTTTCTTAATAACATGCAGGTTATATCTAAAGACGAGTCAGTAAAAACATCCAAAAGCCTGGAGGATATAGAAAAAAGTGCTCAACTGCAGAAGGTAGGTAGCTGAAAGCTGTCAATCTAGCAACTTGGCTTGTTGTCAGCCTAATTTTATCTTCATTGGTTGATTAAGCTTAATAAGTTATCCTTTTGTTGCAGCAATTGATACTCAATGCAATTGACATGGTTGATGCAAACTCAAAATCTGGGGGGTATATTGTTTACTCCACATGCTCCATGATGATTGCTGAGGTCCGTACTGCTAACGGGTTATATTGGTGGATTCAATATTTTGTTCTCCTCCTCTTACATGCATTTTTGGATATTCTTCCTGTAGAATGAAGCAGTCGTTGACTATGCGCTCAAGAAGAGGAATGTTAAAGTTGTGCCATGTGGGCTCGACTTTGGCCGTCCGGGGTCATTCTAATTCTCCGCTAGCAGCTGCTATCTATATTACCACTTTGAATGTAACAATCATATTTTTTTCTTCTTCCGTCTTTATAGATATACTAGATTCAGAGAGTACCGGTTTCACCCATCCTTAGATAAGACTAGACGGTTCTCTCCCCATGTACACAACATGGATGGTTTCTTTGTGGCGAAAGTAAGTATGGTGTTTCCATATTCATACTGCCAAGTAGCCAGCCAATTTTGCTCATTTTGTCTTTGAAGAAAATGACATCCCTCACCAGCGTGTTACTTTCTACCTTTTCCCAGCTGAAGAAAGTAAGCAATTCATTACCTACTGCCGCAGCTGCTGAAGCTGTGCAGTCTACAGAGCAAGTAACGCTGTCCAGTGAGAAAGACGTGGAATCTGCAGAGGAAGCTCCACTCTCCGGTGTGGAAGACGCTCTGGAGGGAAGTGTGCGGCCTTCCAAGGGGGATAGTAATAAGAAAAACAACCCAGGTCGGATAAAACGAGAACACCAAAATGGGAATGGAGTACCGAAACCAGCAGCTGATAAGCGCCGCGAGAGGAAGTTCCCATTCAGAAAGGAAGTCCCCCGCAGAACGGAAATCATAAAAGCAAGGTAGTTATCTATAAGAATGATGAAATCTCTTGTAATATCTTCATCCACTGGAAGTTCCATGTTGATTCCATGTTGATTCCATGTTGATTCTATCTGATGTACGTATTTTGAAACAATCTGCAGGGAGGAGAAGAGACAAGCTTTGAGGGGAACAAAAAGAAAAGCAGAAGGGAGCAAGTAGAGGAGGTCGACGATAACAGAAGCAAGAAGGCCATATACGTTGGAGGGAGGAATACTGAGAACAGAACACACGCTGAGGAGCAATTACCATTTAACCTTTTGCTTTTGGCGAATATTCGATCTCGCTTATTTAGGAGCATTCAAATGTCTGGTTCATCTCAGGAAAAAACGATGCTTGTGTCTTTGTGAACCTAGATTTCGGGGACACAACCACCGCCAGTAGTTCTCCCACTCGGTTTCTCCTTTGAATGCAATTTTTCCATTTGTCCGAGCGACTTTCTGCTTGAGACTGGGGTTTAAATTCGCAGCCCTGAACTTCTGTGCAATATCTGCCTCACATATTCAGGTTATTACTTTTGTTGCTTCAGGTACATTACTATGTGCAGTCCCACATCCAAATGAATGAATACCGCGATTGTGTAGTATTGGTGAGTCGAACTTTCAGCCATTGAGATTTCATTGCTCATTTGCTTTTCGTGTGATGAAGCCTAACCCGTTATCTGTTGTAGCCTAATGCAACCAAGAAGTGTGGAAAGCATATTAGCACATGTATTAAGATCTTAGATATGACTGGTCTAAGGCTTTCAGCTCTAAATCAAATAAAGGTACAGTCTTCTAATGTTTGATTTGCAACTCTTCCATCCTATTGGCATTTATGAATTTTACTTTCTGTTGATCTTTGAGTGCAGTTATTAACTGCAATATCTACCATTGACGACTTAAACTATCCAGAGAAGACAGACACATATTACGTTGTCAACGTCCCATACATCTTTTCTGCCTGTTGGAAGGTTCTCGTCTATTGTCTCTTCATTTTCAAAGCATTTCTAGTATCTCTATTATAAACCCATATACAATGGTGCTCACCAACGCCTAAACCTTTGTTGACAGGTTGTGAAGCCTTTATTACAAGAGAGGACAAGGAAGAAGATTCAGGTGCTACAAGGTTCTGGGAAGGACGAATTGTTAAAGGCAAGGAAGACAATTTGTTTGCTTAGGATCTGTCAAAAATACAATTTTCACAGCTTCCATTGAAACTGAACTTCCTTTTGCTTTTGAATGCAGATAATGGATTATTCCTCACTCCCTCATTTCTGTAGACAAGGGGCCTCTGGTTCGTCTCGTGTTGTTGCTGCTGCTAATGGAACCACCACCCCAAACTGCTTCTCGTTAGATCATGCCTCCCATCAGCAGCTGTACAACTACGTTAAGCAGCAAGCTGAGCTGGACGAATCTGATTCACCACCTCTCAAACAAGGCTCGGTCCATGTAAGTTACCCCGAGCCTGACCCTGAAGATGCCAAGATCGTGAAGACGATAGAGTCCGAGCTCCACAAGCTAGGTGATTCTAATGGCCTCAACAATTCATTCAGCAGAGTCCGGGTGAATGGCATGTGAAAAATGCTGACACAAGGAAGGAATGAATGAACATTTAGGGATGCGGTTTAGTTACTGATTTCGCACCAAAACGGAAGTACGAGAGTGAGAGATCCAGGCCTCTGCAAAACTTGAGAAAGATGGGGAAAGTTGTGAACTTTGTACTAATTAAGGTTATTGACGGTGTAGCTTTTCAATTTGATGCATCAGCTCGATGCACATCTTGCAGAGTAAGTTGAGGGGCTAAGTCACCTGCATAGGGGATTGACAAGAAACATCTCAGGGTGAAATGATCTTTGTCATATCCCTCTTTACTTTTAATTAACCCTTCAGTTGGGACCTTATATACAAGGAACTACTTGCTTCAGAAGAGCTTTACTCATTTTGGCACCTTGTTTTGTAGCCAATAGCAAAAGACTATTAGGTGATGTTTTTGTGCCTAATCATGGATCAGGATGGTGCTGAAGACTTGACAAAGCTGTGATGGATTACAAATCAAAGTTTACAGTACGTGCTGTCATGTACATAAGGGGCTTTGGTAGAAGACCACTAATCAATCATATGGGTAAAGATTTGGATTGCACGAAACAAATCGGAGAGAATTGATGTTTGGATTCAGAAGAATTACTTTTGATTCAAGTTTCATGGTTTCTCTTAAAAATAAACAAAAAAGTACACCAAATGGAGACTGAATTAGACCAAGTACACTTTCAATTCGATTCTGGTTCTTATTTTCCCTTTGTTAATGGTGCATTCTTAGCCCCTTTCGATCTAACTGTGAACGGAACCAGACTATACACACCCCTAACTTCAACCACCTTAGTACTTAAAACTTATATCTGATCATATTAATTCCCATTTCAGAGGAAAAGAAAATTTCACTAATTTCCCAAATCCCTTCATTTCCATAGAGAATCTTCCACCTTACCATCTTTATCAATTACTTTTGCAACTTTTCGGATGATTGAGTGCAGGCTGCACATCCAACATGTTGGGAAAGCTACATGGCATTATGAAGAAGCTGTTCATAGAGATGGATGAATAAATACAGAAGCTTTGACTTCGTAAACCCAGAACAAATGTCAGGAAAGGATTCATTTACAGATTCTTTGCACTGATGAGTTTTGCTTATGAACATTAGATGCCACAAAGATGCAAGGGAAAGAACCAAAAAAAAAAACAAAAAACAAAAACGCACACACACAAAAGGAAATCAATTGGAATCATTTAACTCAGCTGTTTATAGCATTTGTATGCAACGGCAACTGATGCAACGGCACAAAGCACAGCAGCAGCTGCATATGTATCTTCAAGCTCCCAGCTCTCGAGCCATGTTGGCTTTCCACAAACTCTATGAGCTAGGGATTTCTTCCCACTGTTACGACGGGAGATAAACTTCTTGTTGCCCTTTTTCTCCTCCAGTAGAGACAGCTTCCCTTCTTTCGGCTTGCTGGTTTCTGTTGAGACAGGCTTTTGACTGTAAGAAGCAGAGTTCCCGATTTCCTGGCAGCGTCCTCCAATGGCTTCAGATTCAGACACACTGCCTGCTGCAACACTTGCTTCGACATCTGTTGTTCTATGTGGCACTTCTCTGCTATCCGTCACATCACCATGCCCATTCAGTTGCAGCCGTTGTTCTTGCCACCTAATCTGGTCCTCTACTGACAAACCCATCTGGCCCCTGAATTCAACATCCCGTGTGGCTTTATAGAACAGTTCAAATATAGGAATATCTCAATCCATCAGACAGGAATTTTTTTTGTATCTCTTCGTCTCAATATTTGAACATTATGTACTGTCTCAATCTTTCTTGTTTTAACACTTGTGACTCACTTTACAATAATAATGACTGAAGTCGATTTCATCGAAGTATGAAACTCTAGTTGTTCAAAACTACAGGCAAGAAACAAAAGAATACCTCCATAGCCAATCAACAATCTCTCCTCTGCCAATATGTTGTTCGAGTAATATGGGCACATCGTCTGGACTAACATATCCATACCTGTAAGGAATTCCCAAATCTTTCAGAGGAGAAAAGCACAAACTTGGCACATATATAACGGAATGGATTTTGAACTACCAGTGCCCAGTGATGCCTCCACTGACACTTGATCCGAAGATGATAATGTTTCCAGCATACTTATGGCCCCCAATGTGTGAGCATGCACTAACAGAGACTCTAGATTGCATACCACGGACTTCTATCTCTTCTTTAAACCTTCCAATTATGGCTGGACCACAAACGCCACAACAGCGATCCCTGGAGGCATGAGAGCATACAAATACATAGCAACCATGAAGCTTTTCTGGAGTTCCAGGCATCCATTCACCATCTTTGACCAGCACTTCCTCCACAAATGTTTCAACATCGAAATGTGTTAACCTCCTGCATCGTCCTTCACTAAGTAAAATCAGATTTACCAGGAAGTAGAGCATCAAAGAACAGGAACCATAGGGAAAGAGTCAAACTTATTGACCTGTATCTAACCATGTCAGGAAAGATTAACACGTCCCCATTTGAGGTTTCTGTCCCATCATGTCCCTCACATATTGTTAGCCGGGTCTGAAAACACAGCAGCCGAAAAATTGGATGAACAAAAATGATTAAGATACTATCATTCATAAGCCAGCATAGAGTTGATGGGGGCTATTCACAAACTGAAGTTGCAGAAGACGGAAATAGATGGCACCCGGTCTCATTTCTCGCCATCTAATCCTACCAAATCAAGACAACATAACTACTCTTCAAAGAAATAAGTGCTACTAGACCATTCCAATCCGTGTACAGAGAAAGCACGTGACTAACCATCCTTGCAACTAGCACTGCAAAGTAGCAAAGCAAAACTGCAGGTTTTTATATGCGATACTTGAAAGTTGAAACCACACCATTGTAAAGGTTATAGAGGCAATCGCCACAAGGGAACCATAATACAGAATCCAACCAACAATGCATAAATCCATAAATGGGACAAGTAGATAAAAATGACCCTCGATAAGGGCGAAGAAACCACTCGAACCTCCCAGTAATTTGTTAATAAAATTAAAGGAGTTCAATAACAAAGCAGCAGATAGAAAGTACACGAATGGTTCATAGAAATGGCTAAATTTTATGATGAACAAGATGAAAACCCAGTCATTGACCCCGTCAGGCTGTAACCACCTAAAGGACACTGAGCACGTCCCTATCCAACACATTCATCACACTACTCAACACTACTTGGAAAGTCCTCCTGCAACGCAATTCACAAACTAGAACTCAACTAGAGACCCCGGCATCAGTATTGAAGTTCAAGTGGACACCAAATCACATTTCTTTCGCGAAAGATCAAAACCTAAAAACACTCTACCACCAACTCAATTTGCATTCATCTACAGGGTAAACATTCTCAAATGAACCCATTAAAATTCAACCCCAGAAGTCCAGAACAATATAAACCCACCCACATAATGAAATTGGAAACCCGAAGTAGAGCAGAGAAACAAATAGATAGAATCCACGCACAGACACACACCTCTTTCCTCATATAAGCCTTCGTAGCAGTGACGGCAGCAGAGAGCAGCCTGGGGAGGCGATCGAACTCAGCAGCCTCAATCCGCTGCGGCCAAACAGAAGGGTTCTTGTAACACAGAAAGACATGGCGCTCGTAGTACTTCACGGTCCCGACAAGCGGGCTCTGCCTGAAGTCCGGGCGAGAGAAACCGAATTCGGCGTCGATGTTGGCGGCGACGGCGGCCGCGTCGGTTAGGAAACCCTGGTCGTTCTGGAAACTGCTGGATGCACTGCCGAGGAGGGAGTTGTTGGATGGGTCGGAAGAGAGGAAGGCGGCGGCGGGGTCGAGGTAGTCGGAGACTGTGATCGGAGAGGACGACGAAGAAGGGATGTTGTTTGGGTAGGAAAGTGGGTCTTCTCTGTGATGGCTTCCCATCTCCGCCGGCGCAGGGGAGAATCCGAGAAAAAGGAAAGATCGGCGGCTGGCTGCGTGGTGGGGGGAAATGGGTTTGGGCCACCGCCGAGGGAGGGAAAAGTGAAAAATGTTCAGTCGGGAGCTGTGAGTGACTGCGTCTGAATTGAGTGCTGAGTTGTGTGATGTTTTGTTGTTTTCCACTCTCTGCTTACTTTACGATTCTCTACTATTCCTGTTTTCCACGGGATCGGTTAGCGTGACTACCCCTAAAGGGGTAGTGATTTTTGACACCCCCTTTATGATTGGCCAATTTTATTTCCAATCATTGGCAAGTATTAATTAAATTGATTTTTTATTTTTTTTAATCTTGTAATTTGGGGTCTCTCACCACATTGGAAAAGAGAAAGAGTCTGGGGAAAAACGAAATCACCCCCATTAATTACATAATTAATTTCTCTCACTGGTACATTAATTACACGTACCACTCCACTGGTACACGTACCACTCCACTGGTACACGTACCACTCCACTGGTGCGAGCAATCCACAAGGTAGGTTAGAGTGAGAACAATACCAGTGCAATGATATTTTTCATAACAATGATAAACAATATTTTGAACAATAATAGGGAAAAAATAGGGAAAAAATAGGGAAAAAATAGGAACTTTCCATTAGTAGCCAAAAACTGTGTTCCAAAATGGGTTGCAAAATTAGGGAAATGCCAACAACAATGCCAAAAGCAATAAATTATCCTTCGAATGTGAATAAACATAAAGTCTTCACAATTTTTTAAGCCTAAACAGGACATATGGTTACACGTACCACTCCACTGGTACACGTACCACTCCACTGAGTGGAGTGGTACGTGTACCAGTGGAGTGGTACGTGTACCAGTGGAGTGGTACGTGTAATTAATGTACCAGTGAGAGAAATTAATTATGTAATTAATGAGGGTGATTTCGTTTTTCCTCAGATCCTTCCCCATTCATAATTACCAACGTTTTTCTCCTTCCCCATTCATAATTATTATCACAATTAAGGCTTTCCCAATTTACAAGATTACAATAAATAAAGTAAAAAGCTTAAATGGAAAAGTGACCAATCAAGAGGAGGGTGTCAAAAACCACTACCCCTTTAGGGGTTAGCATAGTATCCGACCCCGTTTTCCACCTTTTTCAGTTATTTTACCTCACTTTTCTCTTCTAAAATCGTACTATAACGCGGTTCGATAAAAAAAAAACTTCTATTAGGTTGATGATTTTTAGTAGCATAAAATACTTGAATTACGATTTATTATAAAAATATTAGTATATTAAAGCCGCAAGTATGCGGCACTGTAGCATACGAAATTATAGGCAATTATTATATTTTAATAGGTAATTAGTATATTCTTTACAACATGTACTGTTCATGAGAGGTATTTATCTCCAATATTATATTAAAGCCGCAAGTATGCGGCACTGTAGCATACGAAATTATAGGCAATTATTATATTTTAATAGGTAATTAGTATATTCTTTACAACATGTACTGTTCATGAGAGGTATTTATCTCCTACATCCAATTTTATCACAAGTTTTTTATTATTTGCATTACATTAAAGTTTTTAAGGTTAGTTTTTTTACAAAACCGTTTACAAATATCAACATTATTTTATTTTAATAGGCAATTAGTATATTTTTTACCACGTGTACTATTCATGAGATGTATTTATCTCCTACATCCATAATCTATTTTTAAAAATATATTTGTATAAAGCTTACAAATTCAGCATTATTTCTCTATTTTTGCATTATACTAAAATTTTGTAAGGTAATTTTTTTGGGTGTGCCTACGGTGACATGCATGTCACGGTGACTTGCACTTTTCGGTCGACCTCAGTTAGGATTAGGTCGACCTCACATAGAATTCGGTCGACCTCATATAGGATCCGGTCGACCTCATTTAGGATTCGGTCGACCTCATATAGGATCCGGTCGACCTAATATGTTGTTTTAGTGTAAAAACAGTTCATGGTGCCTACTTTGGATATTCATATCATACAATTGGCTAGATGGAAATTGAAGACTAATGACTTGTTTTGAAGCTGGAGTGTCCCTCTACATATTGAAGTGATTGAGAGCTCGATAGGAAGTCCAGAAGACCATTTTTGAACCTCATCAAAAGGCTATGCCAAAACTGGGAAACTGCCTAGAAATGGCAAGTCTGGAAACGTGTTTGTGAAGCCTATTTTTTAGCTCAATTCGAGAAGCATGAATGCGAGTCGAGTCCAGGAGCCTCTACCACATTAAATTAGGTATGTTTTTATACAAATTCAAGGAATTGGATGAAAGATTGGATATTTTTAAGGCTTCAAACAAAAGGGTCGAAGTTGCTACGAAGGCTGTTTTTCTGGCAGACTTCGAGCACAAGCAAGCTACCAGAAAAACAGGCTTCGTAGCAACTTCGAGCCTTTTGTTTGAAGCCTTAAAGATATTCAATCTTTCATTCAATGCCTTGCCTTTGTATAAAAAAATACGTAATTTAACGTGGTAAAGGCCCCTGGACTTGGCTCGCATCCATGCTTGTCAAATTGAGCTCCAAAGTAGGCTTGACAAACATGTTGCCAGACTTAGCCATTTTCAGGCAGTTTCCCAGTTTTGGCATAGCCTTTTGGTCAGGTTCAAAAATGGTCTTCTGGACTTTCTATTGAGCTCCCAAGTACTTTAATGTGTAGAGGGACACTTCAGCTTCAAAACAAGCCTTTAATCTCCAATTTCCATCTAGCCAATTGTAAGATATGAATCTCCAAAGTAGGCACCATGAAACTGTTTGTACACTGAAACAACTGATTAGGTCGACCTGATCCTATATGAGGTCGACCGAAAAGTGCATGTCACCGTGACATGCATGTCACCGTAGCAAAGTCCAATTTTTTTTACATAACAATTTTATCAAATTTGACAATTCTGTTTACTTGACTTCACTACTGAATAACACAGTACGAAAGATTTGTGTAACAATATTCTATAAAAGTCATGTAATTAAAAATGCTCCTAATTTCATCACAAACTTTTTATCATTAGATCACATAGTACAAAAGATTTTTGCATCTATCACTATTCTTAATTACAAATATATTATATAAAGCTCACAAATTCAACATTATTTCTTCACAATTTGTTATTTTTGTTAGGTAAGTTATTTTTTACATAACAAATTAATCTAATTTGATATTGTTTTTAGTTGACTTCACCATTGGACCACACCGTACGAAAATATTTGTGTAACACTATTCTATAAAAATTATATAATTAAAAACTTCAGCATTATTTCTCTATTATTTGCATTATACCAAAATTTTGTAAGGTAATTTTTTTTACATAACAATTATATCAAATTTGACAATTATGTTTACTTGACTTCACCACTTGATAACACAGTACGAAAGATTTGTGTAACAGTATTCTATAAAAGTCATGTAATTAAAAATGCTCCTAATTTCATCATAAACTTTTTATCATTAGATCACATAGTACAAAAGATTTTTGCATCTATCACTATTCTTAATTACAAATATATCATATAAAGCTCACAAATTCAACATTATTTCTTCACAATTTGTTATTTTTGTTAGGTAAGTTATTTTTTACATAACAAATTAATCTAATTTGATATTGTTTTTAGTTGACTTCACCATTGGACCACACCGTACGAAAAGATTTGTGTAATACTATTCTATAAAATTATGTAATTAAAAATATATTATATAAAGCTCTCAAATATTCTTTAAGGTAAGTTATATATCACTTAAACAAACATATGGTCTATGTATTTCATAATGATTAAGACATTACATAAAAGGGTTAATATTTTCGTATGGCCTGAACTTTGACCAAAGTAAACATCCTGGCCAATCTTTTCGATCTATAACATTCTGGCCCGAACTATACACCAAAGTAAACAATTTGGCCAAATCAGACTTTTGACCGTTAACTTCGACGGTCAAATGCGTTGACCGTTAGTCAACGCGCCATGTCACCGCCAACTCAGCAATAAAAAATAAAAATAAAAATTAATTTCCACCTAGCCCATTTAATTTCCACCTAGGTCTTTTCTCAATTTGAAGACGAAAAAAAAAAAACCAAAACGATGCGAATTGCCCTAACCCTACCTTATCCATATCGCTCCCATCCCCATCCACAGAAATCACCCGCCGACCTCACCTCACCTCACCTCACCTACTCTTTGTTCAACGCGTAGAAAAAGCAGAAGAAACAGCAGAGAAGCACAGCTGCAAAAGAGCTGGAGAATGGAGATCTCGGAGCTAGAAAACAGCTGCAAAAGTTCCTGCAAAACCCCTCTCCACAACCTCACACTCGATCGAACCCCATTCCACATCTCACCCAACGACACGCTTCGTCTCTCCTTCTTCTACAATTGCAGCAGCTGGCCGCCTCCTGGGCTTCTCAATTTCTCTTCCCATTCATCCTACCCGATCAATTGCTCGACCAACTCCACTCATTCCTCCTTCGCCGTCTTCCTCGACCAGCTGCCGGAGGAGGTCGGTGAGGAAATCAGGGAAGCCAGGTGTCAGGAAATCGTGGAGACTCCCGTTCGCCGTGGGGAGCTGGTCGGCGACGGCTCTGGTGATTACAACGACATTTTGGAGATGGGTTTTGTGCTGAACTGGACTGCGCAGAATTGCAGCGATTGTTCAGGCAGTGGCGGGCGGTGCAGGTTTGAGAATAATCAATTTGTTTGTTTTTGCCCTCATGGGCCCCGACCCACTTCTTGCTATGAAGGAAGGAGAAGGTGAGGTGAGGTGAGGTGAGGTGAGGTCGGCGGGTGATTTCTGTGGATGGGGATGGGAGTGATATGGATAAGGTAGGGTTAGGCCAATTCGCATCGTTTTGGTTTTGTTTTTTTTTTTCGTCTTCAAATTGAGAAAAGACCTAGGTGGAAATTAAATGGGCTAGGTGGAAATTAATTTTTATTTTTATTTTTTATTGCTGAGTTGGCGGTGACATGGCGCGTTGACTAACGGTCAACGCGTTTGACCGTCGAAGTTAACGGTCAAAAGTCTGATTTGGCCAAATTGTTTACTTTGGTGTATAGTTCGGGCCAGAATGTTATAGATCGAAAAGATTGGCCAGGATGTTTACTTTGGTCAAAGTTCAGGCCATACGAAAATATTAACCCTTACATAAAACTTATGGAACAACCCTACTATGATAATTTTGTGAATTATTTAATTTCAGCTGAATCATTAAATAAATGGATGAACTTTTAAATATAATTAGTTTCTTACCGCTGCGAAGCGCGGGTCAAAAAACTAGTAATAAATTAAAAATATAAGTGAATTAAATTATTGATTCGGAGATTAGAAGTCGTAAATAGATATATTAGGGTTGTTCATACTTCATATCATGACAAAAAAAACCCTATGATTGTTAGATCTTCCAACAGTCCTTCATTATTTATCTGTTGTGATTTGATCTGTAAAAGTCTTATAATTATACATATATTTTGTATCTTGTTATCTCTCATCTTGTGAGATACTTTAGCAACCGAAAAAAAGGAGTAAATGCCACATTTGATCACTGAGATTACTAAAAAAAGTCAAATGATAAAACGAAACAAAAATGTTTCAATCATTCGGACTTGTGAAACAGTAGAGAAGAACACTCAACAAATAATAGAAACATGACTCATGAGAGTAAAGCTGATGCCATAAAAACATGGATTTCCAATCATGAATCTTACAAAAGGGAAATATACAGCAAAACCCCATGTTTTTCATCTGTTCTTCGTCCCGCCAAAGGGCCAATACCCCCCAATACCCCCTGAATCCTACTGCACTTTTAAGAATGTACACCCCCCACACAAACAAAAAAACACTCATTAGCATCTCTCTCCATCCAATCCACAGTCACAACTCACAACAAAGGTCTCTACCATTGAAGGAGACCTCATACGGGCTTCTCACCAGGCAAGTAAGAAGGAGAACCGCCTTCAATTTGGTTCTTTTTCCTATGGAAGATCCCACTGAGATTGGACACCAGTACCTTCTTGGATACAGAAGTCTTGCCCTTTTCCAACTTCCGGACCTCCATCACCTTTTGTGGTGGCAATGTGTTCTGCTTCTGCATGACCGGCTTTGGTGGCATCCTGTTATGAAAAGGGGATGCTGCTGCTTCAGATGCCACCTGAGTTTCCGCCAGAATCCGGGAAGCAGTTTCAGCCGCCTTCTTCTGATCCCTTTCCCGCCACCTTCTCAGCTCTCCCTCCACTGCCCTTTTAGCTGCTTCAGCCATCTCGGCCCTCTTCAATGCCTCCTGGGTTGCAGCGTTCATATCCTCAATCTCCTTTTGCATTGCCTCTATTCTTTTAAGTGCTTCATTCTCGCTAGCCTTTTCAGCTTCCACTTGAGCGACAGCTGCTGCCACTTTCATTTCAGCCAATTCATCCGACTCCTTCACCTTTCGTTTCAAGGCCTCAAACTCGTCCCTCGAGATTGTGATATTGGCACCTGACTCGGATGTCGAGGCACGTGCGGCATTGGTTCTCTCTGAAAGTGCTTTGATCTGATCAAGAGCCCTTACCTCTGCTGTTTTGGCTTCTTCAGCTTCTTCCAGGGCAAGTTTCAGCTTCTTGTCAGCTTCTTCTAGTTCAACCCGTGTTGCTTCAGCTTCCTTCTTCAACTCCTCAGCTTTGCTCTTCATCTCTTCAGTTTGACAACGTGCATTCTCAGATTCCACCGATAACTGGTGGAGATTGGTGAACATTTCTTCTGAAGCACCTCTTGCCTTGGACTCCTCTGCAATGGCTGCTTCAAGCTCCAACTTACATTTCCGTAGCTTAACATGCAAGTTTCCAGCAATGGATTCTGTTTCTGCCTCTTTCTCCTTGAGTTCCAGATGCTGCTTCTTCACATTCTCCAGCTCCAGCTTTAGCGATTCAAGTAAACTTCTCAAAGCGCTTTCTTCTTCCACTACTTTCTGCAGTGACTCCTTAGCACCATCTAATTCTGAAGTGACGGTTTTAACAGAATCCAAATCTGAGGCCTTTGCACGGTCCATTTGCTCTCTCAGACCACTTATCTCGTTCATTGTTTCGGTCAGTTGCTTTTCGAGATTCTGTGCAAGTTCTGGATCGAACTCATTCTTCAATGCAATAAGCTTGTTTGCTGATTCTTCTAGGGTAGCCTTGTATGACTGCTTCTGAAGGTCCTTGTCAGAAAATATTTTGGTTTGTTCTTCATGGGACTGAAGAGAAGCAAGCTTCACTTGCCCAATTGATTCTTGCATTGATGAGATCTCCTTAGAGAGCTCGCCAACTTTTTCAACGTTTACTTTGGTTGAATGTGCGGCTTCAGCAGTTTGTGTAATAGCAGCAAGCTTTGCCTCCAAAGATGCATCGCACTGCTGGCGAAGTTTCCTAAGTTCTTGCTTCGCAACATCGAGCTCTGAAAATACAGTTAAATACTGTTCCCTTGCAGCCTCTAAATCCTGAAGCCTAGCAGCATCAGTTGGCTGGTTAAGTCCACTATTTGCTTCTTCAATTTGCTTCACTTGATTTTTTGCAGTCTCTGTGGCTCTCAGTGCCAACTCTTTTGCTTCGTTGATAGTTTTGAGTTTTTGGGTCAGATCATCAACTGTTCTTTTAGCCTTTTCAAGCTCGGTTAATGCTTGAGCCTTGGTTGTTTCAGCGTTGTCTAGCTGATCCTTTAACTTGTTCAACTCCTTCTGGGCTACATGAAGCTGTGTATCCTTTGCATAAACTCGCTGCAATAAGGTAAGATACAGAGCGTAAGGGTTAAGAACTTGGTCATAAATATCCACATTTCTAGATAATCACACAAGAGGTCAAAATGGATCCAGTCTTTTGGGCGGTTTCAAGATGAATCATAAAGGACAGAAAATCACAAACAACTCCCTTTCCGTCTACCATGTTTTAGGCGAAGGTTTTACAAGCAGTAACACAACAGAGAACCCCCACAGCACCCATCTAGTTCAATGCCACTCAGAATATGATAACAAATAGAAAATTAGAAATCATGGATACCTCTGCAGAATGAGGCTTTGGTTTTTTTATGGCTGGCTTTTCCCCTGAGAAAGCACCCTCCCCAAATAGGGTGACAGCGTCTTTGACAGACTGAAAGGGCGCCCTAGTGTCAATTTCGCCCACTACTGCTTTAGGAGAATCTGTGGTACCCCCATGCTGCTCCTTCGCCACCATAGCTATTGCTCCTTTCCCCGCTTTTTTTAATATTTATTGTTTTGCACAAAAACAACCTGGCCGAAACAAGTAGGACAGCGTCATACAGAGTGAAGGAACATATAATGGAATAGATTTAGGCATCCAACAACAAAAGGCATGCCTCTGAAGATGGAGAAGTAAACAAAGAAAGGGATAAAATAAAATCTTCAACCATTCTCAACATGTGAACATAATATAAACTTCAATTCACAGGCCAAACCAACGAAGTACACTTAATCTTAACATAGCCCGACTAGTGACAAACAGGAAGTGGTTGCTGCTTAATATCTGAGAGTATATAAAGCAATGAGAAGGAGACCGTCAAATGTTCAGTCTATACCCAAGTAGAGCAATTGAATGTCAAAGTTTCAACACTCATCAATGCCAGTAATTGCACCTTACAGGCTCCATATACTTTTTCCCAATTGCTGCATACTTGAAAAGTTTCTGGTCGTTTTAGAGGGACACACCAAAAGCAACCAATTACATAACGCATTGAAAGACCCGACAGAAATCTCCAACTACAACTCTCTCAATTGGAGGTCACCTCACTAGAAGAGTTGCGCTCTTCCCATCAAGCAACTTAACATCTCAATTCCGTCCCATTTTTCACCAAGACGAAGTCATTACCAGTGCAACGTTGAAGGTCCAAAGCTCTCATTGGAAATGTCTCAGCATATTTGACTACGAATAAATGATACCAAACTAGTTTAACAAGCATCCTGCAGTAGATCACTACTCCGCCACATTAGAACTTATCCGGAACAAGAGACCATGAGCAGTAGCCAGTAGGCCATTATTCTTCAGTCATCCAATCTCTTTGTGCTCGCCCTTTCAAACCTTCCAACATTTCCAACCAGCTCGGCTACACCGGCTTAAACTCAATACAAATTCGCAACACCAGAACCAAAACAACACCAAAAAACTTGAGCACCAAAGTCTCCCATACTCAAACACTTACATTTCCTACTCTCCTTTAGGCCATTTGCTGCTCTGCTTCTTCCCATGTAAACAATCTCGTCACTATCAAGAACTTCAGAACCAAAATCACCGACCGAAACACAGGAGAAAATCCAACTCCATCACACCAAATAAATCAGCAATCGACAAGGCCAAAATAATAAGCTCTTAAATATTTTTTACTTGGTCAAATGTCAATCAATACCACAGGACAAACAAAACAATACAAGAGCACGAAAGAGGTAACAAGAAAACATGAAACTGAAACAAAACCGAGAAGAAGAAGAGAATCAAATCACCTGGTCAGGCAAGACAACCCTAATCAAGCCCTCTGCAGCGCGAAAAAGGGGGTCAAACAATCGCGGCCGTGTAACCTCCAACACCTCCAGAACAAACAACCTGTGAAAGAGCGACTCCCAAATCCTCCGCCTCCTAGTCCAGAAACCTCGCCGACGAAACCCCTTTTGATCTTTCGACACGGACAGCAAAACCCACCAAGCAAAAAAAAAAAAAAAAAAGCCCGGGGAGAATCCGCAGGGAAAATTCCGGTAACTTTACTTGATCCCTCCACCCGCCGAAGAAGAAAAAGGCAACCCTTTTCTGGACAAAAGGAAACTCTGGGTCCGGATTCAAATTTGAAAAAGGGGAAATATTTCTGCCTTTTTTGGGTATCGGGACGGCAACTATTGAACTATTGCAGTGTAAAGAACAAAATTATTATGGCGAAGGAGAGAGAGAGAGAGAGAGAGAACAGAGAGTGTCTGAAATTTGGAAGGAGGGTTTGGCTGAGGGCGCAATTTTCTATCCTTTTTCGGTGTTACTGTTTCTCAATTATTATATGAACGAAAAGGCAAAGCCAGGCAGCCCGGTATAGTATACTCGTCGATCAGTGCTCGACGGGAACGGAGAAGTGACGGAGGAGACAAGGAGGCGGGACGCCCGGCGGAGACGAGAAAAGAAAAGAAAAGAAAAGAAAAGAAAAGAGAGAGACACGCTTTAATGTTTTTCCTTGTTTTGTTTGGTTATTTGGCCAGGTCGTAATAAGGGTAGTTTAGGCATTTTCAAAAATATAAATGGGGGACGTGGATGCCGGGTATTGGTTGCCAAAGCAAGCAGACTTTGTTTTCTTTTCCCTTTTTTTTACTATTGGTATTTGCCAGGTCAGCACTAGAATTTAACCTTTTTTATTGGAGAACCGACCCTCCCGCCCCAAGACGACAAATTCCGATCAAATAATGACGACAAGGAGAGGGAGACAAAGGGAGGGAGACTAGGTAGGGGAAATAGTGAAAAGTGTTTGAAAAACATGAATGAAAACAATAGAGGTGGTTTGTCAATATAGTTGTTAATACGATGTTAGTCGGTATAATCGGGTTCAATTTGTCGTGATATAAATAAGTTGTAATATTTTTTAGGCAAAATTCATTCCCATAGCCATAACTTTGCGCTTTGTGACAAATATAGCCAGATTCTGAGAAATACACAGAAATAGCCAAAAATTTAAAAATTCGTTGTCAGTAATAGCCATTTCCGTTATTAAAGATGACGCCGTTAGGGATGCCGTTAATTACATGTTTGCGTCGCTGATGTGGCCGATTTCTGAACTCCACGTCGGCGCCAACAGGACTGAAGTTGCCACCAAAGCGCCACGTCATCCAGAGGAGAGAGAACCGGTTGGGGAAATTAACCCGGAACCCTAATTTCCCAGCGACTTCTTCTCCATCTCAAAAATCGATTTCATCCCCCTTCCCAGAGAAAACCCCGATATCGGCTTCCTAGCGGCAGTCTGAATCCGGCGAAGAACCCTCGACCCATTCACCGATTTCGCCGACCCCTGGTCCCCTCGGCCCTTCTCTCTCTCATTTTCCGATCTCGTCGACCCACCCAGAAAAAATCCCGAAATCGCCTTCCATCTTCCTCGTAGCGGCAGTCTGAATCGGGCGAAGATCCCTCGACGCCTCGACGCCGCGGTTCCCCTCGTCCCTCCCATTCACCGATTTCCCCAACCCCTGGTTCCCACCATTCACAACCATCCACACAAACAGAGGCGAGAGTAACAGATGGATAGGGTGAAGTAGTAACAGAGGCCAAGCAGAGGAAGAGGCGACGAGTTCTTACCAAAACAGATTAGGGTTCGAGCTTTGTTTTTCGCTTTTTTACAGGAATGCAAGTTTTCGACCTTCGCAGAGTGAGCACGATACAGCCCACTTATCCTCTTCGCCGTCGAGGACTGGAAGCGAAGTCCCAAGTTCCTCTTAAGCTGCCGGATAGTGAGAAGCCATTTCTGTGTTCGTCAATTGAAAGGGAGACGAGGCGATTCGACGGCGAAGTGATAGAGGCGAGAACCACCGTCGACCAAGGCCAGATGACCGGATGACTGTGTTGGTCGATTCACAGTCACCGGCGAAGAGAATCGATAATGGTGGCGGAGATTTAGGTTTTGGCTGGGTCTTCGCGAAGAGGGGAAGGGAGAAAGAACGAAAGGGATTTCTGTTGGTTCTTCTCCAAAAAGGTGAAAATTGGTAAAGTAGGGTAAAAAGTAATTAATGAGAATTAATTAATTAATTTCCACGTTGGCATACACGTAGACCAAATTAAACGCGGCCATTTGGTTCGTTTGTCCAGTCAGCAGGCGTTATGTTTTCTGTTACATTATTGGACGGAATGGCTATTTCTGTGTATTTCTCAGAATCTGGCTATATTTGTCACAAAGCGCAAAGTTATGGCTATGGGAATGAATTTTGCCTATTTTTTATAAAGTGATACTTAAAATTGCTATTTGCTTAAAAAAAAAATTGTATCCAATTGGATCCAGTTCCTGTCTCTAAATAAAATGACTGTCATTATAGAAATATCAATTCATTTGTAAATACCATAAAAAAATTCATGTATAAATGTTGGATGTTGATGTTAAATATTGTATTTAAATACGATATTTTGTCGTTTTATTTATAGTAGTTTATTTTATTTAAATAATGTTGTAGCTTCTAGAGAATATTGTCTTGAAATATGTTATATATACATGCAATTTATTTGTTGTTAATAAATGCTCGCTTCTTTGACATATTTTTGTTAAAACCAACACAAAACGATATGTATAAACCGTATCTTGGTCCGACTATATCACTTGCTAAACCGATGTAATTGTACAGACTGATTTGACAACCTTAACCGTCAGGACTAATATTACTCGTGGAATTACTTGTAGTTTAGGGTGTGTCATTAAAAAACAATAGAATGATTGATTATCAATTTGAAAATTGTCTATGAATAGATGTTATAAGTAAGGTTAGGTCGTGGTGGGTTGTCTCCTTTCCTCTTGTTTACATGATTATTCATGGGAATGGAAATTGTTGGAGTTTTCCTTGTTGGGGCCTCCTTCATGTCTCTCTCCTTGTCTGTTTATCTTTGACCCCTCTCTATCAGAACCTAGATGCACAAAAATAAGGGGGATTTTCATCTAATGTTAGGTGGGAATTAAGATTTTGTGATGATGATGATGGTTCTATCTTTGGTTTTGGCAAGGATGTGGACATGCACCCTTCTCTTCCAAAATCGTGTATGCCCTATCCTTTCAAGCTCATTTCATTTTTCAACTATGGTTCTAGTGATTAGATCTAAATCAATCACCTGCAATTTAGTGGCGTAGTCGGAGTTCGAGTTTAGTGGGGTCTCATTTACGAATGATAATATAATAGTGTGTCCGATCAGGTAGTTTGTTATCAAATTACGAATTATTCGGTTGTGTCGATACTTTTCGACTTTTCGTACAATTAACAATTAAAATTTAAAAGTGACATTTCGATAACTAGCTAATAAACTATTTACCCGAACTAATCATCGTCCCTTTTCATTTGTCCAATCCATTTAAAAGGGCAGAGCCCACAGGCTACATTTGCGCTGGCCCGCTAATTGAGGTTTTACAGGAGAATGACTCTTCGCACCCACGGCCCATGTAAGGCCCACTAAATCAAACCCGACTTGGCGATCCATTCGAAAGAGACCAGGATCCTTTACGGCCGAACGTGGCACGCACGATCGATGTATTTTTATGGTCAACGATCGATGTTGTATCTTATTCCTCTTCTTTTTCTACCATGGATCAAGTATAAATTATGTGTCTAGTTAATTATATTCGAGAAGAAACCTTTCGAATGTGATTTGGGACGACAGTTCCACAAATAGACTAATTGTGAATCATGAGGTTGTACAAATAGACTAATTATTGATTGTGAGCTTGTAGTAAAGCACTTGAATGAAAACTATGGATCACGAAGTTGTACAAAGAGACTAACTATATGAATCGTCGGCTTGTGTGATTAATGATCCAAAATAGATTATGATGAGCTTGTACAAAAGACTAGTTTAAAATATACTAGACATATGAGCTGTGGTGGAGGCAGGATTTGAAACTATCCCTGTCCTCTTTTCATAATATAAATATTTAATTGATAAATAAAATTTAAACTAATTCTATCAAAATAATTTATTCACATATAAAAATAATCGACTAATAAAATCATTGTTTTCATAAGCAACCACGACAAAATTTCATATTGCAAAAGAAACACAAAAACATTTGTTGTCTACACTGTTAAGTAAGCTTCTTTTAATGTATCACACTAAACAATCATTAGCAAAATGGTTGCCAATTCGACTTCGAAACTTGTTCTTAATTTAACTGAAAGCTGAAAATGTTCTTCCAGCACTTACAGTTGCAAATTGGTAGAATCAAAACTAGTGGAACTGCTGTCGTCGCTGAAAAATTTCATGATTGTTGGGGTAAAACGAATAGACATACGGAGAAAATAGATTTGATTCGGTCTTTATTGCAATTAAAAGTTCGTTTATAGTATAATAAATTAATTTTATGTCAATTTATGAACAATTAATGAGTTGTGTTATACTGATAAAATACTCTAATACCACCTTTAATTGTGTGTTCCATCATTAATATAAATATATATGGGTATTTTTTTCCATTACGAAATTTGCCCCTGTCTTGTGACAAGGGCTAATGCCCCTGCCTCCTCCGCCTATGCATGTGACAGAAGAACCGTGAAAAAATTGTTGCAAAGATTAGAATGAAATCACACTAAAGTCGTCAATAATATGCAATTCAACCGATATAGTCATATAAATAACGAATATATTAAATATTGTAGTGATTTATTTTTATTTGGTATTGGTGAGTACTGAAGTATTGAATGGTATTAAGAACTGAGATCTATACATACCAAAACATCAGGAAATATTAAAAAAATATATACAATTAATTAAATAGTATTCACAACCTCTGGTCATTCCTTTATCTATAAGACTAACTCCAACTTAGGGATGTAAATTTAGAGAAATGAATGTTTTTCCACTTTTTCCTCTTCAACCCACCTAAAAATTGATTTACAAATTTGGAGAAGTGGGCTTGGGAGTGGATGGATAGCAGCTGAAATGGAGGGAGGGGCAAAAAATGCAAGGAGAATGTGGGGGACCATGCGGTAGCCGAAGCCCACACGCGGGGTGTGGTGGGGCCCTCCACTTTCTTGTTATTATTATTTTTTTACTTTCTTAATTTTTGATTGGCTTGCTTTGAGTTGGGAAGGCACATTTAGAAGGTTTAGCGTTGGAGCAAAAAAGTGTTTTTGAGAGGTAAAAATGCACATTTAAGAGCTTGAGAGGCTAAATATAGCCTTTTGGGTTGGAGTTAGTCTAACAGTTCAAGCCCCATCCAATTCAAACATGACTTTCTCGTTTTCGTAGATCACTCTTGTCACTCATCTAATCTATTGTTATATTCAAATCACTAAAAAGTGGGCGCTTTCGTTAGCCGTTTCTCAACCTCCAATCCACGAACGAAAAATTACCAAGGTCAACAGATTGAGATATCAACATCTCCTCCCTTCTTTTTATCTTTGCCTTAGCTCTAGGAAAACCGAAGATAACTTGTCTACTCTCTTTGACCCAAATGGGAACATGGGCCGAATCTATTTCCCAATACCAAGATTTCAAATCGTGAAATTAAACCTGGATTTCGATTGTTTTTATTAAAGCTTTCTCATCGTAATTTTTTTATAGATTAGATTGTTAATTGTGAAGGCAATTGATTTAGTATTCAGGAATGAAATTGATATATCAAATTTATTTTTGAATTAAAAAATGATTTTGAGAACATTATTCAATATATAAAGTTTCGATATTCGGAATCGAGATACCGATACCTTACCCATTTCCAGAGAAGTCAGTTATAAATCACATTTTCTTGTGTCGTCTTCCACCGTAGCCATAGCGTCACTGGTCCAGTGGGGGGCAGCTTCTTTTGTGTGGTCATTACTCACTAGTCAATCCATAATCAAAGAGTTACAGACGTGAGGTACTTGTGTTTTTTCCATTTTTCAATTGCATAAAATCTGCGTCGCAGCAGCTACAATAATTGCGAGCCAAAGAAAAACCCACTCACTATGTCTTCTCCTCCTCCTCTGTTCGAGAGCAGAGAAGCTCCAAAGGGAGCAAAACTTGTCCACAGGGCTTTTGCGGCCTCTGTTTTCGCTGGGTTGTGCTGCACATGGATTTACAGAGCCTCATCTGCAGCTTCTGGATTGGGGAGATGGGCTTGGAATGGGATGTTTGCTGCAGAATTGGTCCTGGGCTTCCACTGGATCTGTTGCCAGGCAGTGCGTTGGAATCTCACTCGTTATTCCCCTCTCCCCCATCTTCTCTCCCAAAGGTTCACTACACTACTACTACTTCTTCCACTACATGGTTTCTCATCATACGTTTTGACATTGCGCCGCATCCGATATTCTTGAGTTACTCGTTTGTCACATCAGTCTGCATGAGTAATTTGGATGAGTTAATTGTTGATGTGATTGTCTAGAACGAATATACATCTGTTTTCCGCGAGAAAACTAGCGTTGAAATGAGATTAATGCACCTTTGACTTCTTTGGGCAATGATTACCAAGACACGGCTCACACCTCTTCAAACAAAGTTCGAACGAGGGTGTTTGATTGATGGTTTCTGGGAACGAGATCTAAATTAAATTACTTCTACTCCTATGGAGGTTCGACGAGAGCTCCAAACTAGGAACTACATCTATGGCTACATGATAGAGAAAAGGTAAAGGATAAACTTGACATGTGTGTCAGTTGTGTGGTTTTGGGAACCCTTGTCTCTGTCGACCCCTCCTCTTATTTATAGCCACGAGGAGGTAACCGCCATAGAAAATCGGTTGTTGGATAACTGCTACAAAGAATCGCTCCCCCTTCTTCGGTAGAAAACCGCCTCTTGGATAACTCCCAAAAAGAACCGCTCCCTTCAACCGCCTAGGGGCTTCTCTTGTAGCCGTCGTGGGTCTTGGAGTGTAACTTGCCTCGCCTGGTCTTGTTCTGAATCTCCTGTCATGCTAGTCTTTTGATAAGCATGCGGTGTCTCACAAAGGGGGTCGTGGTCTTCTTGCCTCGCGGCCATGGACTTCCGACTCATGTCCATGGCCTTCTTGTCTTACGGTCATGAACTTCTTACTCATGTCCATGGCCTTCTTGTCTAACGGTCATGGACCTCTTGAGACATATTCACTAGTGATATAATGCTCCATCACCACACCCTTTTTATTTGTGTCCATGGCCCCTCTCATGAGGCGGCATGGACCTCTTAATCGTGCTCATGGCCCCTCTCGTGAAGCGGCATGTTCTTCCCAGACTTGAATATTTTTAGGTCATTCAAATTTGGTCATAAGGCGGCATGGCCTCTTCATTCGTGGCCATGGACCTCTCATTCATGCTCGTGGCCCTTCCTGTGACACGACATGACCTTCTCGATCTCTAGAGGGACATGACCCTCCTCGTTAAAGCGACAAGTCCTTCTCCACACTTAGAATATCTTTGTCTTCTTTGAAGTGTGATTCGCGGCCTTGCGTCCATGGCCCCTCTCGTGACACGGCCATGGATATCCCAATCATGCACATGGCTCTTCTCTTGAGGTGGCATGGCTTTCTCATACTTAGTTTTTCAATCATGCCTAAGCCTCTTGTCTCTCATCCCATCCATTCCCCTTCTCCTGATTCGACATGGACGTCTCATCTTGTCTCACGTCCATGCCTCTTCTCGTGAAGCACGTGAGGTGGCACGTGCTTGAAGCGGCATGTACCTCTTCCAGACTTAGTTTATTTTTCAGTCATTCAGTCTTGATCTTGGGGCGACATGTGCTCCTCGATTTCTAGATGGACATGACCCTCTTCATGAGGCGGGCACATGCTTCTAGATTTTAGATGGACATGGCCCTATTCGCTGAGGCGGCATGTCACTCTCCAGACTTAGTGGCTTGGGCTTAAAATCAATATCCATAAGGCCCAACTTAAACAATATTAATTGTTATAATGGGTGTGGACTTATAAACTCATTGATTATCTTGTAACTCACCAATGTGGTACAAGACAAATTTTATGGTGTAAACAACATCTAAGAAATCGATATAAGATTGACTTTAAACATTATATTTGAGATTGAATTATTCTTGATGTGATTGACTTAATGATTTCATGACCGGAAGATCGAGACTTAGCTTAGAGATGGCATGGGTAAATCTTGTACACCTTATCCAACCTATATAATTACGAGTAGGGTACGAGTAAATTATTCACGGGTTGGATAATTGTTTTGGTTAAATAGGTAACATTGAATCCAAATCCGTAGGCACTTTTAGCACGGTAGCAAATGGTTGAAGCATGATTAAATAATCATTTTAATAAAAATAACCTACCACTGACTTCGACCGTATAATATTCGGTACGAATTTCACAATTACTCAGTTTGTAGTCTAAGTGTGAATTTAGTAATACGATGATATCGTTGCAGATTTACGCACGAAGAAGAGTTGCCGGCGGTCGATGTCTTCGTATGCACGGCGGACCCTGTGATAGAACCGCCGACGTTGGTGGTGAACACGGTTCTCTCCGTCATGTCCTACAATTACCCGACCCGTAAGCTGGCCGTCTATCTCTCCGACGACGGCTGCTCGGAGCTGACTTTCTATGCCCTGCACCAGGCTTCACAGTTCGCCAAACATTGGATACCTTTCTGCAAAAGGCGCAACATTGAGCCCAGGTCCCCTGACGCTTACTTTGACAAACCGACGGCAAGACCGTCTGGTCAAGAGTGGGAATCCATGAAGGTAAAACTAATGATAATCTCCTCATCAGTTCGAAAGTTTGAATCAACTGATATTATGGAATTTATTTATGTTGCCCTTGCATGGTTTAAAATGGCACGCTTAATTTTAGGACTGAAAATTTGCTCCGATCCGTATTTGACCTGTCTCTGATCCTGTTCGAACGGTTTTTGAAGGGTCAAGATAAAATAACTAATTCGTCCCGCCCTTGTTTCCTTCTTGGTCCTGGCTGATCCTCTAGAGTCGGGGCGAGTTTTGACGAGTCAGGTTAGTGGGTCGATCCTAATTACACAATAATTTTCAAGAAATTATATTTTGGTATCTAATTTTTTTTTTACAAATTAGTACCTCAATTTTATTTTTTTACAAATAGGTCCGTAACTTTTGATGATACAATTACATTTTGGTACCCATTTTTTTACAATTTAGTACCTAAACTTTAAAAATTTTACAAACAGGTTCAATGTATTGGTACGAGGAATTTCATATCACCAATTGTTGGTAAGGGTCACAGGTCAAAAAGTGACCCGACCCTTATAGACAAACTGACTTAGCCCGATCTTCAAGGTCGGGGCTGGTCAGTGGGACCTTAGGGTCAAGCTTACTACACCCCTACTTAATTTGAAGGATTCTTCAGCAAATTAGAAATTCAGAACACAGCCGCGAATATGGGACACCTAAGTATCGGCTAGCTACAATTAGGTGGAGATAGATAGTCAATAACTTAATAAATTTGTGAGCTCAATAATTCTATTGACTTATGATCTATATTCTCCTTTTTCTTAAGTGTTAAATAAGCTATTTTTTTAATATCAACTAAAGTAGAAGTGTTTTAAAATAATTATTTCATTCATCATTTAGTACAAACTGCTATTTATAATTGCAGTGTCTAGACCCGTTTAGGGGAATCCTAAACGCATTAGACATTTGGCCAGATCTTATCCTACGTCTAGGGTTGGCTATTTGGTCCAGATTTTTTGGTTTTACCCGAAACCGGACAGTATAATTCGGACCGAGACCGAATAGCAAACAATTCAATCCAATCTTCGGTCCTAGATTTGAGATAAAAAGTCGTTTAGGACCGGACCGAAATCGGATAAAGACCGCAAAAGAGAGTCCAACACCCAAAATTTAACCTCTTCACCCTTTCAGGCCTTAGGCCACTCAAATCCCCCCTCAGGCCACTCAAATCCCCACAAGCTCAATCTAAAAATCAATACCGAATAGGGACCGGACCAGTTCAAGACGGGACCGGATCAAAACCGAAATGTATCCAATCCAATCTTTGGTCCTTATATTCTCGAAGAGACCGGATCGAGACCGGATCAATTCGAGCCAATTTAACCGGACTGGACCGTATAGCCACCCATACTTACGCCTACTGCCTTCTTGAACTTTGTTTCTATGTGAAGAAATTGTACGAGGAGATGAAGAGCAGGATTGAAACCATGGCTGAAAAGGGAAGTGTGCCACCCGAGACAAGAAGCCAACACAAGGGATTCTTACAATGGGGCCGTCATAACAATGTGACAAAGCGGAATCATCAATCCATCGTGGAGGTACTTACCATCATCACTGAATCACCTTACATCGCTTGTTCTTCATTTCTCACGCCACCATTAGATTGTTATTGACGGGAGGGAGGAAGACGCCGTGGACGAAGACGGAGACCGACTGCCGACATTGGTCTATGTAGCAAGAGAAAAGAGGCCCCAATTCCATCACAACTTCAAGGCTGGAGCCATGAATGCTCTGGTAATTGGCACATTCTTTCCAATCTTCCTTATGGTTAAACCTTTAATTAACCTCGGCAGCATCATGATGATTAATTCAATGCAGATAAGGGCGTCGTCGGAGATGAGCAACGGAGCCGTAATTCTGAACCTGGACTGCGACATGTTCTCCAACGACCCGGACGCGATCCGGGACGCACTCTGTTTCTTCCTGGACGAACAGAGTGGCCACCGGATCGCGTTCGTGCAGCACCCTCAGCAGTACTTTAATGTCACAAAGAATGACCTCTACGGCAATTCTCCTCTGCAAACTGACAAGGTACGTAGCAACAAGTTCAACGACAGCAGGAGATGAATTAACAGAGAAACAGAGTTCGTTTTGGTTTTGAAACAGGGGAGACATTGCTCTGTTTTTATTTTTTCCCCCCCTGTTTCGAAAGGTTGAGCTAGCTGGGATGGGAGGATACGGTGCAGCGTTGTACATTGGCACCGGTTGCTTCCATAGGAGAGAAGCACTGTGTGGAAACAAGTACAGTTCCAAAGTTGATGGACAAGGAAGCATTAATTGGAAGAGCAATGATGTCAATGGCAGAGGGAGGTCGTCTCAGAAAACGGCTAAAGAGATGGAAGAAGCATCGAAAGTTCTTGTTAGCTGTAGCTACGAAGAAGGAACTCGATGGGGCAAAGAGGTAAGAACTAAAACATTCACAATACTCCATCACTGTTTACACAGATTGAGCAAGTGGTTTGGTTTCCATGTCTGCAGATGGGATTGGTGTACGGGTGTCCAGTGGAAGACGTGGTAACAGGGATGAAGATACAATGCAACGGATGGAAGTCAATCTACTACCGCCCGCAGAAGGAAGCCGCCTTCTTGGGTGTGGCTCCAAACACGCTGGAGATCTCTCTCATTCAACACAAGAGATGGGCTGAAGGGCTCTTCCAGATCTTCCTCTCCAGTTACTGCCCTCTGGTCTATGGCCACAAAAGGCTGCCGCTTGGGGCTCAACTGGGTTACTGTACCTATCTCCTGTGGGCAGCCACTGCCTTCCCTACTCTCTGCTATCTCGTCCTCGCTCCACTCTGCTTGCTCCAAGGAATCCCATTGTTCCCTCAGGTAATCATAAAACTCAAAATCTACAAAGATACTGTTACGGGGAGAGTCCATCATATATAAGTTTCCAACAACTTTCACTAGTACGAGACCGGATACCCAAAGGTAAATTTGTGCGTGCTTGGCGCAAAGCGGACAATATCGTACTAGCGAAACATTCAGTTCAACAAATTGGTATAAGCATTATGGTTCGAATCTGGGGCGGTAAACCTTCATTTTGGGATCTTAGGATATACCACTGTGCGAGTTTGACCAAAAGCGGACAAAATGAATACTAGTGGAGCACCAATTCAACAATTGGCATAAGGAGTATGGTTCAGATCGAGTGTGGTGGAAAAAATCCAAATTCCGAGATTTAGAATGATATTGTCCACTAGGGGTCAAGTCCGCACGAATTGACCTTTGAGCATCGTCCCCCAAAAGGCCTCATACTGGTTGAGTTTGGTGGACACTCACACTTGCATACACAGATTCTTTCTCTTTGTATTTTCGAGGTAGTACTCGGATTGTACCCTAACATATACCATTAAGCCAGAGACCACAAATGAATTATGAATCACTAAAGTGAGTGGCGGAGGGAGGTAGTGATGAAAGGGTCCTAGGCCCCCAATTGGCAAATTATAGGGCAAAAAAACCATTTAGATAGATAGGATTTATTATGATTTTTTTAAGTTTATGACCCTGTACTCTCGTCGATGTCAGCCCACGTAAGGACCCCAATCAACTCAAAATTCATTAGATACACAAGTTTTAGTATTATTAATGATTTTATGACTCCAGTAAACTTAAAAGTCTGGCTACGTCACTGACTGAAGTGACATTTTTTTCCCTCGCTCGTGCCTTATCTGCAGGTGTCAAGTCCATGGTTCATACCCTTCGCGTATGTCTACGGTGCAAGGACAATTTACAGCTTGGTCGAGGGGTTGATGTGCGGGTACACAGTCAAAGGCTGGTGGAACCTGCAGAGGGTTGTGTTGTTGAGAAGATCGAGCAGCTACGTGTTCTCGTTCGTCGACACCGTCGCCAAACAGCTAGGGTTGTCCAAAGCATCGGGGTTTGCCGTTACAGCGAAAGTGGTGACTGAAGATGTAAGGCGGAGGTACGAGGAAGAGGTGATGGAGTTCGGGAGCTCATCTACGACGTTCATCATCGTTGCGACGGTAGCAATGGTCAACTTGTTCGGGTTGGTCGGGGGAATCGGGAAGTGGTGGTGGGTCGATGGTGGGATGAGTTTGATGGGTTTGCAGTTTGGTCTTTGTTCGGTTGTGGTCGGGCTGAATTTGCCCGTGTACGTGGCACTGTTTTTCAGGAGGGATGACGGTTGTTTGCCGGTAGACGTTATGTTCAAGGCCGTGGGTTTGGCTTCGTTAGCGGCATGCCTCATGGCCATTTGACGATAGGGATGACAAAAATATCCGTGACCATGAATATCTGTCAGAATCCGACCTAATCGGGTACGGTATAACTCAAACCCGAAGGACTTTTAGTGGGTATGGGTAAAATCCGAACTCAAATATTGCGGGTAATGGGTGGACATGAGTTTTTCATTATCCAAGCCGCACCCGTCCGATTAAATACATGTATATGTGTTTTATCTAGAAATAATCATTATTTTGCTCTAACATATTTTATATTTAGCATATAAATATAATAATTTCAAGAAATTGTGTTGTTTTAATTAATTTTCTTCATTCTAGTGAATTATTGTAGTATTTTCCCTCTTATTTAATGTGTGAATACGTGTGAATGTTAACATATTGGTTGGAGTTATAAAGAGAAATTAGTACTCATGAATAACCGTTGATACCCGAAACCCGAACAGATATGTGCATGGTTTTGATTTTCAACATATTTCTTATGTGGATATGTACTATCCGCCCCGACCCATTACCATCCCTATTTGACGAAAATGTTCCTAACTAGGATGAGACTTCTAGTTTAACGATATCATCACAAAATCATAATTTTGGGTTCAAGTTCCAGTCAACTTATTGCTAGTTTTTCCCATATAAGATAGTTTATGTAATTATAATGATTGGAGGAAATTCATAGCCGAAGGTATTGATGGAAGATCAAACAGGCCTGTACGTCTTAATATGTAGTGGACATTTCACCAAAGTAATAACTGGTTGAGTGAATAAATAAACACTTTTTTTCCCGCAAAGTTAGTTGTTATAAAATCAGACATACAGAGAAAATAAAAAGAGCGCGAGAGTCGATCAATAGTCGAACTCCCGATGAGAGGGCCTTTTATGCCACATGATGAGCAGCCCTATTGAGACAGCGGAGAACAAAACAGTTAGAAACACAACTACAGAGAGAAGCCGAGCTCTGAGCATCCTGCAAGATAGTTCCATCCTGATCATGAGCTAAGTCACCTGTCTGAGGAAGTCACCTATCTGAATAAATAAACACTTTCTTTTTTTTGGACAGGAATCTGTGTTCAGCTTTATTAATCAGATAACGAGGTTACATTGTCCTGCTGTAACTGATTAATAAGAAAATTAGGCCGATGATCACACCATATTACTCGCTCCTCCCAATCAGTATCCGCATGCGCCATCAGGTGCGCAGCCATATTAGCCTCCCTGTTAATGTGCCGCCACGAACTGTCACCTGTACCCTGCAATAGCCTCCTTGTATTACGACATATTACCCCCACCTCATCTTGGATACCATCCGGGTTCCGCAGCTTATGTATCAGACTCATGCAATCTGACTCTACTATAGCATTAGTGTAATGGAACTGAAAAGCAAGTTGGGCTCCCATTTCCGCAGCCAAAGCTTCGGCTTCTTCAACTCCCCAGTTCCCTCTGATTCTCTTCGCGGCAGCAAGTAGGAATTTTCCAGCATCATCACGAATCACCACTCCAATTCCCGCTCCTCCTGAGTCAAAAAAATCCTGCATCAGTGCAGACGGAAATGCAACCTGTCGGCGGCTTCCTCCACGGCCTACGGACGATGCGGGCATCCGGGGCTTTATCCTGGTTCTGGTGCTGTTTATAATCTGCTAACAGATACTTGGCTCGGATTGGTATCTCCTCTTCGGGTAGTTTGGCTCCATTGAATAGATGAGCGTTCCTCTCCTTCCAGAGATACCAAAGTAGCACACTCCATTCTTCTATCTTGTCCGTATCATCCATTTCCAAGACCTTTGCACACCACCTTTGGCACGGATCCGTGCCTCGAGCCAGGAATAGATCAGCCACCTCCGTCTTCCTCCAAATGCGAGAAGCCCACTCACACTCTGAAAAGACATGTACCTGGGTTTATCGCTGGTTGCAGAATGGACAAGCATCACTCCACCGCGGATTACGATTACTAACCACAGCCCCCGTTGGGAGAATCTCCCTGAAAATTTTCCAAAGGAAGTGGCGCACCTTCGGTTGGACTCCCAGGCCCCATAATTTTTTCCACATCTTTGCCTCCCCAACCGCCATCACTCCATTGTTTAGTTGGAATTTTTCCAGCCAGCTATGGTATCCATCTTTAACTGTGTATACCCCTGTCTTGCTCTCGTGCCAAATCAACTTGTCATCCTCACTGTTGCCGCGAAGTGGAATCTGACGAATAGCCATGGACACGTCCGTCGGGAAGCATGCCTCCAGCAGAGTATCGTCCCACCCACCTGTCTCATAATCAATTAATTCACTGACATAAGAGTCAACCGGTAGACCCATAGGAGGTGACGTCACTATTTGATGGTTCCAAGGTGAAGTGTCCATCTAGCCCGAAGGAATTCAGACCGATCAGTTTGTGTAATGTCCTATACAAAATTGCAGCTAAGGTATTGGCGAACAGGCTAAAGCGACTCCTTAATAAAGTTATCTCGCAGGAGCAGAGTGCTTTTGTTCCAGGGCGGTTCATTACGGATAATGTCATGGCTGCCTTTGAATGTTTCCATTCGATGAAGAAGAAGAAGAAAACTAAAGGGCCGGGAATTATGGCAGCCAAGATTGACATGGCTAAAGCTTATGACCGAGTGGAATGGCATTTCCTGGCTGGGGTTATGCGGAAGATGGGGTTCAAAGAAAAATGGGTGCGAGTGATAATGCTCTGTGTTAGCTCGGTCACTTATTCGACACTTATCAATGGCCATCAGTCTCCTAGCTTTGTGCCTAGCCGAGGGATCCGTCAAGGGGACCCCCTGTCACCCTATCTCTTTCTCATGTGTGCGGAAGGGCTCTCAGCTTACACCGCCCTGGCGGTGCGAGAGAAGAAAATCCATGGCTTTCAACCGGCGCCGGGGGCACCGATTGTCTCACACCTGTTTTTTGCTGACGACAGTATCTTTTTTGCTAGGTCCACGATCCAGGAGAGCGAAGCACTGAGGAGCATTCTAACCGACTATGAAAAAGAGTCAGGGCAGAAAGTCAGCTTCGAGAAGTCCGATGTATCCTTTAGTGCAGATGTCTCTATGCACCGCCAGCTAGAGATTGGAGGGGTGTTGGGGATGACACGAGTAAGTAAGCATAACAAATACTTAGGCCTTGCTACAGAAGCAGGGAGATCGAAGAAGGAACTATTTGAAGAGATTAAAACGAGGCTGACAAAGAAGTTGGATGGATGGAAAGAAAGAACCCTCTCGGTGGCAGCCAGGGAAGTGTTGATCAAGTCGGTGGCACAAGCTCAATTCTCCTATGCTATGTCGGTGTTCAAAGTACCGGACGGGGTGATTGATGAAGTTCAAAGCTCCATTATGAAGTTCTGGTGGGGGCAGAAGGGCGAGGAACGGAGGGCGCATGGGTTGTGGCGAGAAGAAGTGGTCAGCTTGAAGAAGGACGGAGGCATGGGATTTCGGGACCTTAAAGGTTTCAATGAAGCGTTGCTGGCTAAGCAACTGTGGAACTTACTACAGCGCCCGACGTCTTTGATAGCAAGGATCCTTGAAGCTAATTATCACAGGCGCACGTCGATCGTTGACGCTAAACTGGGCTACCGACCGAGCTTCGTGTGGCGCAGCCTTCTCAGCGCACAGGAACTCCTTGCTTCTGGGCTTCGGTGGAGAATAGGTAATGGGCAGAAGGTGCGCATTTGGGGGGATCGGTGGAGCGATCAATGTATGATTCAGTCCATTAGGCATTTCCTCCCTCTCTATGATATCTTTCACCGTCTGGACCACATCATCACCGACGATATCCCAGTATTTCCTGAAGAAGAAAGCCGATAGACCATCCGCCCCTGGTGCCTTGCGTCTTCCCATCTGCTTAAGCGCACTATATATCTCCTCCCTGTCAATCGGGCTAAGGAGGGTTGCATTATCCTCACTGTTGATCGTTTGCGGGATGGCATCTAACACTGGAGTACAAGTCGGGATTTCTCATGCTGCAAAGAGTAGCCCATAATAATTATCGAAGCACTCAAAAAGTTGCTCACAGTGATCTTCCCTTATTGGGTTCTTATTTATATTAAATGTGCTGATATAAATGATTTACCTATGAAGTTTATACATGTATAGACATCTTGCTCTATTATATCATATGTCCCCGAAGAGACATCTTGCTCTATTATATAGGTTAAATATAGTCAGTATAAAATTAATTGAGCATTTGTCACATCAAACTTTAAACTCATAAATTTTCGATTTCAAATATTTGTAACGAATAATCATTTTTTGTTCGTTCATTCTGTTTTTAAATAAGTGTTGCATCCGAGGACTATGCCTTTGAGTAATGGTGATGAATTGGTGGTCAAGCCCAAAGGCTTGAGTCCATTTGGGGATGCTAATCCGAGAGATGAGGTTTTGTAGCAGCCACGGGCTGTATGAGAATGAATTGTTGGTGAAGGAGTACGAATCCGTTTGGGAGTGCTAGGCCGAGAGAGGAGGGTTTGGCAGAGAAGAGGAAGGATTGAAAAGGGATTGATGAGAAGCTGGAGAGCATGAAGCTCAACATTAGGAATGAAAAGGATAAGGTGGAAAGAGGGGACAAGACTTCAAGGTGGAGGTTTGGTCGTGTAGGCTCTGGTGAAACTGTGGAGAGGAGCTGGAGGAAGCCCGATTCAGTTGATTCCAGTTCTCGGCCTCAAAGGTTTGCTTCTTAAGAATTCTTCCATGGATACTGTTGCATTTTAGTCATTCTCATAGAAGGTGTTGATTTTTCTTTGATTTAGGGATTTAATCTTGGTGGACAGTTGGGTTGGTGGGTCGGGTCTGGTTTGGTTAGAGGGTTGGGTAGGTTTAGATGAGTTGGCGGGTTGGGTCAGACAATTTTTGGGCTGAATAATGTTGATTAGACGATTAAGTCCGCCACATCATCACTTAAAGGACTTCTTTAACGGAGATGGACGGCAACTAACGGAGAGTGACCAAACGTGAACGGTTTTGTAAATTGAAGTATCACCAATGGATTTAAATATTTTGAGTGACCAAACTTAAACGTTTTTTGTAATCTCAATGACCAACCATGAAATTAACCCATTTTATATTGTTGGATTGGGACCATGACATACTCGCTTACATATGCTGCCATTGTATTATTTCCCCCTCTCGTTATCCACAAAGAAAGGAAATTTAATGTCCACTTATTGCTTTCGAATTTCCAACGGGATGGACATTATATAATCTCCAAGACTAAGTATATACACACCAACTTCAAATCTTCACAAAAATCACCCCAAAAAAAAATAAAAAATAAATGGGAACCAATACTCCCACCAACGAGAAGCCGCCGACGGCGGCGGCGAAAAGCTACACCCCACTGTTCGAAACAAACAGGAGAAGCACCAAATCACAGCTCCTCAACAAGCTCTTCGCCGCCACCGTCCTCCTCGGGATCTGCTCCATCTGGTTCTACCGGTTCACCCACCCGGCCCCAACCACCCACCGTTGGGTCTGGGTGGGAGCTCTGTTCGCGGAGATCTGGTTCGGCCTATACTGGGTCCTCACCCAGGCCGGCCGATGGGACCCGGTCTTCCGGTCCACCCACAAGGACCGGCTCGCCGCCGCCCACCCGGACCGGTCCCTCCCGCGGGTCGACGTCTTCGTGTGCACCGCGGACCACACGATCGAGCCCCCGATCCTTGTGGTCAACACGGTCCTCTCCCTCGTGGCGTACGACTACCCGCCCGACAAGCTCGCCGTCTATTTATCCGACGACGGCGCGTCGGAGTTCACGCTCTACGCGATGCTGGAGGCGGCCCGGTTTGCGGGCAGCTGGGTCGGGTTCTGCAGGAGGTTCGACGTGGAGCCGAGGTCGCCGGAGGCGTATTTTGCGGCGGCGGCGGGGGAAAAGTCAGAAGGTGGCGGTGGTGGTGGTGGGTGGGAGGAGGAGTTGGTCGCCGTCAAGGTAATCGTATATAATAATAAATAAATATCGCTCTGTTATTTCGTCGGCTTTTGTATAAAGGCGGCCGGATTTCAGTGGATATGAGAAATGAGATGATGGGTGTCGTTGTTTTCGTGCTGTATTTGTGTTTTCTTTAATGGGTTTTGGTTTTTGTCGTTTTATGGTAGTTTTTGTCAAACATGGAGGTGTAGTGGGCGGGCTAGTAGACTAAGTTCAAGAATGCAAAATTTTCAATTCAAATCTAATAGAATATATAGGCCATTACTAAAACTGTGTTAAAAATTGGTAGGGGAAGTTTTCCTTTCTCAATTTAGTCACCGATACGGCGATACAATAAGTAGATTGACTGTTAGTGATACGAAAGAAATAGATTTTAATGGACTAGTTTGTTCTTGTTGTAGATTTTGTAGTAGTTTTTTTGGCTGAAATTTTGAGAGAAACACTTTAAGAAAAAAATAGTTGAGTGTTTGGCTGAAAAACTAGTAGAAATGCCTTTTAATATAAGAGGTTATGTAAAATGGCTATAAATGATATATAATATAAAATATGAATAAAAATTCTACACAATAAAAAGTAGTCAAAATGGATCTTGTTAGGTTTTTTTATATTAAATATTATAATTTTTTTTATTTTTAAAATGATATATATGAAGAAAAATTATATTTTCTGCAATAAAATTAAAATATGGTAAGGATAATATTCTATTTTCAAAACAGATTTTCGTAGAAGCTCAAAATCGGACCTTCTGCTTTTATGTTATACAAAAGCACTTTTCAGCTTTTCAGAAGTCGAGTTTTTAGAAGTGTTTGGCCCTGATTTAGCTTTTGAGTTTTTTAACATATGCGTGAGTTTTTTAGTTCTAAGAAATTATATATTTTCGAAATTCATAAGCTTTTTTTTTACATATTCATCTAAGAAATTAAATACTTGATATATGAGGATTAATACATGTATGGGGTCGTTTGAAAGTTTAGACTGTTTTTTGAGATTGTAATTATCATACTTGTATTGTTTAGAGTACATAATTTTTAGTTCTTTTTAATACCCAATAAATGCATTGTTTTTGTGATCTAACAGATATAATCACTCAACATAACTGATTGTCATATCTCGTATTTTAGCTGAAATGGTTGAGATAGTTGTGTTGAGATCGTTACATACTTACATCACAATTTTCAGCTCATGGCGTGACATACACAATCACACATACCAAATACCGTATTTTACAATGCATCAAATTCATATCAATACATGTATTTACCACAATACATTTTACGATAACAACTTCCAAATTTTTATATTTTTGTTAATAATGACACATCTCTCTTTTTTTCTTCATCTCGACCAGAAACAATACGAAGAAATGAAGGATCGAATAGAAAGCGCAACCCAGATGGGTCGAATACCTGAAGATGCACTTTTACAACACAAGGAAGCATTCTCCCATTGGGATGGCAACAACAAATATTCATGGCGACGTGACCATCCCACCATTCTCCATGTATAATTTACCCTTTTTCACTACTCCACACTTCACCGTCACACACAGCTTTGATATATCAACTTCACCAGCCAAAATTTGACCGTTACTTTCCCAGATTTTGATCGACGGCAGAAACCCACCACCTGCCGACGGCGTGAACGGCAGCTCCCTGCACCTCCCCACTCTCGTCTACCTGGCCCGGGAAAAGCGACCCCAGCACCACCACAACTTCAAAGCAGGCGCCATGAACGCACTGGTACGTGTTCATAACGTTAATACGTAGTATAAGATTCATTATTGTAAGGAGGAGAGTAGGAGACTATATATGTTCTGTGACTAAGAGGTCTTATGTTTGATAAGCGTACATGGTGTCTGATCCACGTGCAAAATTTCAAACCTCACAAGAGAGTCTTTCGTTTGAGGAGTATGAGATCAACGGGTTCTTGATGATACGCAGATAAGGGTGTCGTCGAAGATCAGCAACGCGCCGATCCTGCTGAACCTGGACTGCGACATGTACTCCAACGACCCTTCCACGCTGCGCGACGCCCTCTGCTTCTTCATGGACGACCGCAAGAATCACGACGTGGCATTTCTTCAGCTCCCACAGATGTTCGACAACGTTACCAAGAACGACATCTACGGTTCTTCCTTGCTGGTCATCTCTCGAGTATGTCGTTTCATCTTAACGTAGATTTTGACTACACGTGGAACTGAAAAGTTCAATTTTATGGAAAAAAACGTTTTTGGTAAACCTATAAGTGTAGAAATACAGGTTGTTAAGTTTTAAGGCGTAATTTTGACGGTATTGTATGGATGCATGTGCATGACGATTGGGTGATAACTTAACTAATTACCGATTTTGTTTTTGATTCATGAAGGTGGAATTCCCTGGTCTGGATAGTTTCGGAGGTCCAATGTATATAGGATCCGGCTGCTTCCACAGGAGAGACGTTCTCTGCGGCCGAGACTTTGATCCCAATGGATCCAAACTTGATTGGACCAACTATGGCAGAGATCATGAACATACTGTGGAACAATTGGAACGAGAAGCCAAGCCTTTGGCAGACATTGCTTCCGATCATAACACTTTATGGGGAACTGAGGTTTGTTACTATCATAAATTCATAATGCATAATTCATAATACGTATCTCAATACCCATATTCGCCCCGCATCAAATGTGGGTAGGGTCGTGTCCAGCCACTCTTACATGCATGTTTATGGAGGGAAAAAAAAATATGCATAATTTTTACTTTGTATGATATAAAACAAAGGGAGAACACTTTATGAATAAAAAACAGTGATAATTAAATTGGTATTTGAGTCTAACAAGTTAAAAGATCAGGTCCAGCTAGTTGAAGAAAAGTCAAAACAGGTAGATATTGTAGTGAATTGAGATAAAAATGAGCCAAGAGCGGGGCGAGACGAGGCAGGACAAGTCGGAAGTAGATATCTCCATGCCCCTGCCCCACGCTGTTGCGGGTTGGTTAATACCCGTCCCATCGAAGGTCATGTCGGGTAATTCCCATGCGGGACGGGGTCAAATTGCCAGTGATAGCAAGGCGTCGTCTAAGCGTGCGTATAGGCACTGGATCAGTAAAATTAGTAATTTGTACTACACGATGGATGAAATAACAATTTAAAAACACTTTCACACTTCAATTCAAATTACTGGTAAATTACTATAACACTTCATAATAAGAAAGATTAACTCACAATTTTATAGAATCATAACCTCAATAGCTCACAAGTTCAAAGAATCGTAGCTCAATAACGTCTTGCGTTAGTGAAACTTAAGATATAAAATTGAGTTTGTAGATTACGATTAATCTCTCCCTTTAACATTGACCGTTTATTAACTTCATCTAATTACCGCCTGAGCAAACACCTATGTGTTGTCTTACTCCGTGAAAATGTTCTTGATACCTAAATCGCAACGAGACCTCTAAACTAGTGCCTCGGTGTGCCTTGAGTGTAACTTTAAACGTGTTTTTTCCAGATGGGTCTGAAATATGGGTGTCCAGTGGAAGACGTGATAACGGGGCTGTCGATCCAATGCAAAGGATGGAAGTCGATGTATTTCGACCCCAAGAGGGAAGCATTCTTGGGGAAGGCGCCGACCACATGGCCGCAGACATTGGTACAACATAAGAGGTGGTCGGAAGGCGATTTCCAGATCGTGCTGTCCAGGTTCAGCCCTGCTTGGTACGCAAGTGGCAGGATCAGCATTGGCCTCCAGATGATGTATCTTTGCTACTGTTTGTGGGCTCCCAACTGCCTGGCTGTGCTCTACTACTCCATCATCCCTTCACTCTGTCTCCTCAAAGGCATCCCATTGTTCCCTCAGGTAAACCTATAGCATCCTATGCTAGCTAGCTAGCTCGATATATGTTAGACGAAGAAACTGTTAGTACGCGGTATAAGATTCAAATAGCTCTAGATATGGTATCAGAGTTTTTTGGGAGCTGTAGATTTTTTATTCGAATCTGTGCAAACTTCAAACTAGCTCGTATGGGTTAAATTTTGCTTGAGAGGGGGCGTGTTAGCTTAGTATGTGGTATAAGATCCATTATTAAGCTTCTTTCAAGAACTCCAGTTATCGGAAGATGTTCAATTATGGATCATATACCATTTACTAGCACAACCCTCAAACGAAAGCCGACTCATAATGAGTTTGAAGTTTGCAGAGGTCGGGATACCATGTGATTAGCATAACATATGCGGGTCATCGCGAGATTTTGAACAGAAGACTTTTCGGTCACAAAAAAGGCTCTGATACCATGTCAAGATTCATTTGGTCTCAATAAATCGAATTGTTGTGATAGTGTTAGAAATATAATTATATTAGAGAATTAGGGTTTTAGGAGTTGGGGCGACCAATTGGGTTGAGGATTATAATGGTTAATTATTAGGTTTTTTCGGGTATATTTCCTATATATATGTACTTTGGATTTTACAGGGAATTAATCAAAAAAGTATTATCGAAGTATCTCTCTCAAAACCCTAATCTCTCTTCCTCTCAATTTTCGTCACCTATCTCTAGGCCGTTGGCCATTCTTCTCCTCAGTCCACAATTTCTTCTTGTAAATCCCTAAATCTCCAATTATGTTCTTCCTAAATTCCAATTCTCAATTCTGTTTGAAACCCTAAAGAATCGTAGTTCTTTTAAATAGATTCAATTATAGATCATATACCATTTTCCTAACAGTTTCTTAACAGAAACTTACTTGCTCTTCTATAAACCATAACTTGCTGCTGCAGATTTCAAGCCCATGGGTCTTGCCATTCGCATACGCGGTGGCGGCCAAGTACTTGTACAGCCTGGCCGAGTTCCTCTGCTCTGGAGGCACCATCCTGGGATGGTGGAACGAGCAGAGGACGTGGTTGTACAAGAGAACGTGCTCCTACCTCTTCGCTTTCGTGGACACCATCCTGAAGACGATGGGGTTCGGCGAGTCGGGGTTCGTGATCACGGCCAAGGTGGCCGACGAGGACGTGGCGAGGCGATATGACAAGGAGATCATGGAGTTCGGAGTGTCTTCTCCCATGTTCAACATCTTGGCCACCATTGCAATGCTCAACTTGTTTTCCCTCTCTGGTGTGGTGGTGAGGTGTTTGGTGGCTAAAGATGGTGTGGGAGTCAGAGTGGTGTTTGATGATATGGGGTTGCAGTTGTTGCTTTGTGGAGCTTTGGTTCTTATCAATTGGCCTCTTTACCATGCGGTTTTCTTCAGGAAGGATAAAGGAAGGATGCCTGGTTCTGTTACAGCTACTGCTTTGGTCTCTGCTCTTGTTGTTTGTACTAGCTTTGTTTTCTTGTATTGAGAATCTGGGGGATGAGCTAGGTTTTCATATTTTTGTTGTTAGAAAAAGGTTTCCTTGACAATATTGTTGGCTCTTTAGGGATTTGCTTCTTTCACCAATGGGATTGGTTTTCCTCAAGGTTTTTTCACTCTTGAAAATAATATTTTTGGGATTATAGATATCTTTTTCTGCAAAATTACTTGTATTACAACATGATATGTACTAATGATTAACTCATGATTTTGTTTTGTGGTGATGCTCAATTGGTTATTTTTTATGTGCTATTCGGAAATGCGAATCATGCGATGATGAAAACTTTCGTGAATCTGTCAATTTGTCTGTGGAAGTTGTACGATGGAAAAAAAAAATCTCTCTTATAGAACTGTAGACATATCTATTTATTTATTCATGGAATATCTATAAAAATACAAATTTAGATGCAAAACTTTGGGACTTTTTTGGTTACGTAACAAGTGTTAGTTGGATAATTTTGGATTAGGATGACAAATAAAAAATGTAAAAATACTTTTCCAAGACCTTAACAATAATAATTATTTTTTACTAAAATCATGCTTATTCTCCCAATTAATCCATAGGTTTAAAAAAAATTCAATTAATGAATGGTTAAAAATTATTTTTATTGATTCATTGGTCACAAATTGGCTGCAAATTACAACATTAGAAAATTAACGGGCTTTCTAGTGGAGCACTGCGGCCCAAACATAACGGGCCTGGGCCCAACCTCCTGGTGTAAACTTGTCAACGGCCGACGGAACCACGTAAGGAGGGATTCCAGTGTACTTCAGCACACAGGATCGCAGCCAAGTACGGCGAGACTGACACGACCGAAGCCTCTTTCCAGAACTGAAATTCGACGAGGATCGAACATCGAAGTACGCTTCCTTTGGGTTTTGATTCTCCGATAAATAGTTGAAAGGGGGAGACCCCGGAAGAAACCGCGCTGATCGAATCACCGAAAAATCTTGCCAAGGTAAACCTAAAGAATCCCTCAGTTCGTTCTCGATCCAGATAATTTTCTCTCCAATTCCATTTCGTCGTTGAAATTGCATTGACGATTCTTTCTTCCTCTCCCTATTTATGGAAAAATGGGGGGATGAGGGAAGCCAGAACCCAGGACCAGGAAATGTAGATCTCTGCAAAACCCATTCCAGTTATGTGATTTTTTTTCCTGGAAAGGTTGAAACTTTCGATTGTTTCGGTTGAATTCTGTCAATGGGGTTCAGTCGGGTTCATGTAATTTGACTTCCCAAGCAAACCCATTTCATTTTTGCTGGTTCCCGAAACAAAAAGATCCAAACTTTTGATTGTTTCAGCTGAATTCTGTGAATGGGTTTCTGTCGGATTCTTGTAATTTGTGTTCTTTCTGTAGATTTATCTTTTTTCTAGATTCTGCTTAGAAGCTAGAACCCTTTGTGTTCAATTCGTTGCATGCATTTTATGTTCTGGCTAAGTTCATGCATCTGCTTAGAACCCTTTTTCCATGTGCTGTTTGTGGTTTGCAGATGGGAATAATGGAGATGAGAGGCGTTCTCGCTGTCGTGCTGCTGGCGGTTTGTTTGAGCCCACAAGCGGTTTCGGGCATCAGATTTGTGATTGACAGAGAAGAATGCTTCTCTCATGATGTTAAGTACGATGGAGACACGGTCCATGTATCCTTTGTTGTGATCAAGTCCGATTCATCTTGGCGTAACAGCGCTGAGGGAATTGATCTTGTGGTAATGCTCTCCATTTTTTGCTGTGCATTGCTTTGCTTGTTCGTTTATCTATAAAGCATGAGTTCTGCTAATGCATTAGATTGTATCTGTATGGATGTTTGAATTGTTCCTATTGAATGAGTGCCATCTTTTTTTCCTGTTGGTTGTGGCATATTTACAGTGAAGAAGAATGATTTGAGCTCTTTTCGTGCCAAATGCGTATGTAGTTCATGAATCTACATACGAGAGACTTTGGTGCCTTCTGTGATATGTGCTTTGCTCTGTTTGCTCTCGCTTCTCCTCGTGCTTTACTTGATGTCTGGGATACAGGATATGTGATCATGTCGTTTAGGACACGATTTCGCTTGTTATTTGGTGCATTATAACCTGATGCCCTTGTTCCCCCTCTTTAGATTCTGCTTTGGCATTTGCTTCTCTATACAGAGGAACTAGATTTTCCGATTCTCGAAAGTGGTCAATACATGATGCAGCAGCCATTAGTAGTTGTATTCTTTTTTCGATACAGCTCTTAGTTTGGAGTTGAAGCTGTAAGCCTGTAACCCCTATTTTGTCATATTGTCACAGATCAAGGGGCCTAACGGTGAGCAGATGCATGATTTTCGTGACAAAATCAGCGATAAGCACGAGTTTGTGGCTCGTCAAAAAGGAGTCTATCGTTTTTGCTTCACAAATAGGTCTCCCTACCATGAGACGATAGACTTTGATATTCATGTAGCCCACTTCTCGTACTATGAGGAGCATGCAAAGGATGGTAAGGCATCTTTCTCCCCTTTGTGTTTTATCTTTTGTGTCAAGTATGGTGGGGTGAAGATTCTCATTCCCGGCATTTTGAATTTCTAGAGCATTTGAAGCCTCTGATACACGAGATATCGAGGTTGGAGGATGCGCTGTATAACATCCAATTCGAGCAGCATTGGCTGGAGGCACAGACTGAACGCCAAGCTTTAAGTAAGAATAACTCTGGACTCTTTCTCTACCTTAGAGTTTGAACTGTTTTGGATAGTCTGATCTGGCGTTGTCGAATGAATTCCCAGGATATAGATAGCCTGAAAATTGTTGACTGAAGTAATTGTTAAAATTGCTGATGTATCTGTGTGGACCGCTTATGAAGTTGCTGGTTAACCGTCCACTGCAAGGATGGAAATGTTCTTGAGGGCTCAAAAGACTACTCGTCCATTTGCATTTGAATTGGATTCTCACTAGGTTTTCAACAACTCTTGTACCGGTATCTTACCCTTTCTAAATTGATTCTATTTTGGACGCAGTAAATGATGCAATGGGGCGAAGGGCTGTTCATAAGGCGTTTTTTGAGTCAGCCGCTCTCGTCGGAGTCAGTATTCTTCAAGTTTACCTTCTCCGCCGCCTCTTTGAACGAAAGCTGGGCGTCTCTAGGGTCTAGACTCTAGATGACTGCCTACATGATGTACACTTCGAAATGTGCTCTAGTTACTCATCATGTTGTTGGATTCTCTGTTGCATTGCTTAGCGAGAAGAACAAAACTTTGTATACTAGAATCATTTGATCACAATCTTAAGTTATACTGGAAATAACTTCAAAATTGCTTCACCGCTTACTGAGACCAAGTCCCATCAGTTTTTCACCAGCAGCATGTTTAGATATCTCATACTAGTCATGAAGTGATCAAAATACAAGTAGTCACTAACTAGGCTGATGTGATGGACAAATATTATGAAATACTTGTTCTGGCCAGTTTGGCCGTTATACTACCTGGATAGAAACCTGCTTGAATTTGAACAAGTCCACACTGTTCAGGTGATGCTAAAAGTGAAACCTGGAAAGAATGAGGTTATATATTGCGAAAGAAAACCAATTGACCAGTACAGTAGAACGAATTCAGAGGGGCAGATATCACAAAAGCTCTCTACAAGCTCGTAACATGAGAAAATGGGAGAGAACAGATTGGATGACCATATATATAAACTGCATCTTTACAAGATACAAATGACCTTGGTATTTCAAATCACATTTTCCTTTTTGCCTCCACCAAAAACCGCAGTTTTCACAACACCCAAAAGAAAGAAAAAAGAACAACGAACTCCAGGAGGATTCATGACCCGCTCTACAGCTCCCCTATCATCTTCTTGAAGAAAACATTTATATGGTGGGATGACATAACAGTTACATGAAGCAGCTTCTTCTTCTGCAGCCAAGAAATTTGTCAAGCTTCTGCTGCTGAACTTTGGATGCAGCAGAACCATTTCTTCTGAAAATAACAACAGGACCACACAAGTATTAGAAAAGACAATCATTGGAAGGAAACGTTAATGATGCACCCAGAAAGTTTGAAAGCGTTCGTTTGGGATATTCTTAGAACCAGGAATAACAATGGGGTTGTAGTCATTCAATCCCCATATACCTGTCCCACGGTAACAAATGACTAGGACACATGTCAGGGCAGGACGACTCACTCTAACAAGTGATTAGAGTACAACATCTCCAATTCTAAAGGAAACACAAAGGGAGAACACTTTCTAAATGAACATAATGACATGAATAATGCACAAACGTATTTGAACTTAAGTGAAAGTAGAATAAAATTGAATAAATATTATAGTGTCGAGACTTGAGGAGTAAGGCCCTGCCCCACCTCATGTTGCTCCCCGGGACAGATTGAAGCATGTCGAAATTGTCATCCCTACTTGAAGCATACTTGGCAGGGTGCTGTAATACTAAGTGCAGATATTAAATGTTTATCTATACACTTTGACTATAGATTCTACCCTTGATTATAACAAAGGACCAAACAACCTATGAAGATACACCTCCTTCAACTATATAGATTTTGGACATGCGTGAAAGTACTCTAGTGCTAGTAGTATGTAATGCTAGCATCAAACTATAGGGGATAAGCATGGGACCGGGGGAGGGGGTGGGGATCAAACAACTTACAGCAGGAGGCTTTCCATGCTCCATTGGAGCCTTAGTATGAGAATCGCCCTTTCCTGGTGACTCTGGTTTGCCACCGGTTTTCTTCTCATCCCTGGCCTTGTTAAAGATCACAGTAAATCCTTCTGCTGAAGCAGGATCATTAACATCCCATTCCCCAAATTTTGGCAATGGCCTACCTCCGTCCTGTTAAAAAGACAGACAATTTAAGCAACTACCACCAAAAGACTCATAAAGTTTCCGAAAGCACGGAAGCATCCAAACAATGTAATGAAGCACAAGCAAAATGTGACATGGTTTTTATTCCGCTTACCAAAGCGATTGAGCTTCTGGGGCCATATGAATTTCTATCAAACAAGATACATCTGGGGCCATATGAATTTCTATCAAACGATACAAGCTTACACAAAACCACATCAAGTAGATGACTAAAAGCATCGAGAAGTTCCACGTATCATGAAGTTCTAAATAACAAAAGGTTCATGGTAACTGAACTAAAGAAGGATTCATCCTCAACCTACACCAGCTTAACACGATTAACCAACCTTCAGATTGATTCACTATGTATTAGCGAAACAGCAAGTTCATCTCCCTCTCGTGCTTTTCCATTTCCCACTCCACAATCCTTAATTTCTCAACACCAAACATTTTGTGCTCCAAGTCTAGCAAGGAAGGCTAAACAAACAAACAAAACAGAACAGTTCCTGCACCACCTCGCAAGCTACAGAAAGTAGCAACTTCCACAGCCCTTGAGCCCAGGCTCGGAGAGGGAGAATACGAAATTTGCAGCCAAAGAAGCATCCAAATGCAGAACCCAAGGGAAAAAAAAGTAGCTGAAAGCTGAAGCCCCAGTACTTCCCAATTCCAAATCGAATCAGATGAGCTGTTCGTTCCCTCTCCCTTGTATAAAACAAGCAAATAAAAAAGATCGAAACAAAGGGGAAAATACGAAGATTCCCAAAATTCAAGTAAACAAAACTGATCAGCAGCACAGCACCCAGAACCGAAGAACAAAGGAAAAGCGACCCCCGAGGATCGAATCCACATAATTATTCAGCAGCTAAATAGCAAAACCCAATAGAAACCCTTTCATAGCGCAACAGCAGCAGATGCCAAAATAGCGTAAAAATAAAAATCTAGTTCGAATCAATCAGAAATCGTAAGCAAGCTATGAAGGAGAAAGCTCAAAAGGGTTAAAAAAAAAAAAGTAACGAACTTTACGGCGCTCGTAGGGTAGTATTACAGCCAGAAGAAGAAGAAAAAAAAACGAAGACAGAGAAAGAGAAGGAGAGGGAGCTAACATACCGACATGAATTCTAGTGCGAGAAACCTTTGAGCAAGCAGCTGGAAGAGGAGACTTATGAGAGAGAGAGAGAGAGAGAGAGAGAGAGGAAAAGGAGAAGAAAAGAAAAGAAAGGAAGACGGAGAGAAAATGGAGGAAGCGAAAAGAGTTTCCTCTTGAGAGAGAGAGAGAGAGAGAGAGAAGGAGAATTGGGCCGGGTATTGCAATTGGGCCTTGCCGTGTTTCGGCATCTCTTCAAAACGCAAAAATTTGACGGTAACGGAGAGATGGGAAAGGTCAGTCAGGTCGCCGTCCGTCGTCGGCGTCAGCGATGACGTGGTGGCAGGAAAACGGGACGGAGGAGTGAGCTGGCAAACGGTGCGTGATCCTCTTTTTTGAGAAGAGAGAGAATTAGTTGGTGTACACGGAGGCACTGCCTTGCTGGCACTTTTGCTTTTGTAGGGTCACTCTCACTCTCCCTTTTGGCGTTTTCGATAAAAAAAACAAAAAAACAAAAAGTGTGTTTTCTCCTCTCTTTTTTCTTCACATTATTCCGATTCGTGGGATCACGCAACCTCAATCACATTCATAAACAAAATATTCACTTACTGTAACTAGTTTCTTACTCGGCCTATTGGCCGGAGAGTTCCATTATCATTTATATCAATTGATTTATCGATATGCTTAAACTATTTTGAATCTTCTAGATTTTTTGTACTCTCACTTCATAAGCGAATATGTGATATGCTTATATTAAAAATTCTCAATGTTTAACACACTCATGACCCCTATGATGCTATTATTCTCTAATCACAAATCATGTCGTGAAGGTTTATCACATCTCATTTAGGATAGCATATTAAGATTTTTCAGCCAAGACATTCAGATTTATTATATTATACAACATTTAACTCTTCGTGATTCTCGAGTTAAGAGAATCTCTGAACCAATTATTGAAAGTTCAAATTATTGGATAAAGATACTTGATTGTTCATGAAGTCCCGGTCGAGGATCTTATATCAAAATTTGTCTATCAAGACACTCAAATTTAATATCTTATACAATATGTATTGATCACTAATTCTTGAAGTTTGTACTCACCCTCAACCCATGGTTGTTGTGTATATGTTGGTTTAGAATCTTAACCCAATACACTCACACACACTATCAAGGGTTCTTGTCTAGATATGGTCATTTAGTGTATAATTTTCTAACTTTTTAATGTGCATTTTTTCCTTTATCTTTCGTGTTTGTTCTGGAACAAAAAATTTATTACTTATCTTAGTAACTGATAAACCGTGTATTTAATGCACACGGATTTTAGGTGCATTTAAAACAACATATGGTTTGAATAATTAATTTATAATTTTTTAAAAGGTTGATTTTTTTGTTAAAGCTTTTTAAAAATGTATACAAAAATTATGACATTTCGCATACATATAGATTCATGGATATATTGTAGACACATCTATTATTAATATCTAAATACAAATTGCTCACTATTACAAACTAAAATATTTATGTTGAAACTTTGATATCATAATTGTTTTGTTATTATCAAAATTTGGTATGGAGTCACAGGCTCACAACCATAAACCAAATGACTCTTAGCAATTACCTTGTGAACTCATCCTTATTAAAGATTCTTAATTTTTAACACAATAACTTGATTTAGACTTTTGTAACTATAAATGATTTTAATATAAATATCTCAACCAACAAATAGATGTTTAGTTATTTGTATGGAGTCAAAGAGGCACTCCTCCGGCGAGTCTACGAAGGCGAAAGGCGGTGCGAGCTAACTAGGGAGAGAAATAATAATAAGTTCCGTCCTAGGAGTCAGGACGACTTGGATACCTTGCGGATCCGGATGGCGAATCGGTGAGGGAGCCAGGGTGAGCGAATGCGGAGGAGCAGTCGATGAGTTCCGTTCAAGGGCGGCGCTGGGAGAAGCACTGGCCGACGGAGGAGCAGCGGGAGATGAAGTTGCGGAAGGCCGGCGTGGTGATTGCAGGCTGGGATTCGGGCTAGGCCGTGGGGTTCGTCATCGGGAGAGGCAGAACGGTCGTTTTTCCAGACGGCGGCAACCTTCAACAGATCCGCCAGTTACAATCCCGACGTAGTGTGGCGGTTACGCTACCTCTAACGACGGTTCCGATAAGTATCCCTCTCTTATTGTTTTATTATTTCTTTAGTTTTCTTTATAATTATCCTCCATAATTTATTTTTTTCAATTATTCTTTTGACACTTTTCATTTATATATTCTACAATTATTGCGTAAGTTTCAAAATAAAATTCATGAAGGAAAAAAAAATAGAACGGTTAAATTTCCTCTCTATGATAGTAGATTGCATTTTTTGCTTCGTGGTGCTGCCCGATAACGGCTTTCAACATCATGCTCGTTGATTGTGCTGCTCGCTTGGGATCTCCTTCAGTTCGACTGTGAGGATGTCCAAATGGCTGCCACAAGATCCCCTGGCTTGGTTTTTGTTTTCTTATTTTGCAGGTTCCTTATGGCTGTTGATAGAGCGTTGTATCCTTTAAATGGTTTATTGCATTTTATGGTCCTAGTTCCGTTTTCTCTATTTTGGTTTGCAGGGATGCTTCTTCGGCTATTGAATTCTCCATGTTGGTGATTCATCACTTGATGCTAAGGCTTGTGTTGTCTCCTTGGACATTCAACCGGGACTGACAAAGCTGCTCCCAGCAGACCTGGAAATGGCGGTCTGAGTGTGGATGGACTTCCTCCAAACACAATAAAATGTTTGCTTCGATGTTGCGGCTAAGCGTGGACAAGGCCGAAGAATTGGTTTTGTGGGTTTCTAAGCATTAGGTAATATTCTCTTCGCTTTCGGGAAATGTTATGAAGGCTTACAAGATCCCTTTGTTATGGAATGTTTAGCCCTAAGAGATGCTTTACAATGGTGCTTGACCCATGACTTTGTTTTTGTCAAATTTCATGGGGACTCACAACAATTGATACGACGAATGGTGGGGGACGATTTTGCTCATGATCGGAGTGGAGCTGTGCTCGAAGATGCCCGGGTCCTAGCTTCCCAATTCAGTTGGATTTCTTTCTGCTTTGTTTCTCGTCGACTTAATAGGGCCGCCCATCATGTGGCACAAAAAGCCCTCTCATCGGGAGTTCGATTATTGGTCGAATCCCGCGCATTATTTATTTCCTCTGTATGACTGAAATTTTTACCCTGACTTTGCCAAAAAAAAAAATCAATTAATGAATGGTTAAAAATTATTTTTATTGATTCATTGGTCACAAATTGGCTGCAAATTACAACATTAGAAAATTAACGGGCTTTCTAGTGGAGCACTGCGGCCCAAACATAACGGGCCTGGGCCCAACCTCCGGGTGTAAACTTGTCAACGGCCGACGGAACCACGTAAGGAGGGATTCCAGTGTACTTCAGCACACAGGATCGCAGCCAAGTACGGCGAGACTGACACGACCGAAGCCTCTTTCCAGAACTGAAATTCGACGAGGATCGAACATCGAAGTACGCTTCCTTTGGGTTTTGATTCTCCGATAAATAGTTGAAAGGGGGAGACCCCGGAAGAAACCGCGCTGATCGAATCACCGAAAAATCTTGCCAAGGTAAACCTAAAGAATCCCTCAGTTCGTTCTCGATCCAGATAATTTTCTCTCCAATTCCATTTCTTCGTTGAAATTGCTTTGACGATTCTTTCTTCCTCCCCCTATTTATGGAAAAATGGGGGGATGAGGGAAGCCAGAACCCAGGACCAGGAAATGTAGATCTCTGCAAAACCCATTCCAGTTATGTGATTTTTTTTCCTGGAAAGGTTGAAACTTTCGATTGTTTCGGTTGAATTCTGTCAATGGGGTTCTGTCGGGTTCATGTAATTTGACTTCCCAAGCAAACCCATTTCATTTTTGCTGGTTCCCGAAACAAAAAGATCCAAAATTTTGATTGTTTCAGCTGAATTCTGTGAATGGGTTTCTGTCGGATTCTTGTAATTTGTGTTCTTTCTGTAGATTTATCTTTTTTCTAGATTCTGCTTAGAAGCTAGAACCCTTTGTGTTCAATTCGTTGCATGCATTTTATGTTCTGGCTAAGTTCATGCATCTGCTTAGAACCCTTTTTCCATGTGCTGTTTGTGGTTTGCAGATGGGAATAATGGGGATGAGAGGCGTTCTCGCTGTCGTGCTGCTGGCGGTTTGTTTGAGCCCACAAGCGGTTTTGGGCATCAGATTTGTGATTGACAGAGAAGAATGCTTCTCTCATGATGTTAAGTACGATGGAGACACGGTCCATGTATCCTTTGTTGTGATCAAGTCCGATTCATCTTGGCGTAACAGCGCTGAGGGAATTGATCTTGTGGTAAGGCTCTCCATTTTTTGCTGTGCATTGCTTTGCTTGTTCGTTTATCTATAAAGCATGAGTTCTGCTAATGCATTAGATTGTATCTGTATGGATGTTTGAATTGTTCCTATTGAATGGGTGCCATCTTTTTTCCCTGTTGGTTGTGGCATATTTACAGTGAAGAAGAATGATTTGAGCTCTTTTCGTGCCAAATGCGTATGTAGTTCATGAATCTACATACGAGAGACTTTGGTGCCTTCTGTGATATGTGCTTTGCTCTGTTTGCTCTCGCTTCTCCTCGTGCTTTACTTGATGTCTGGGATACAGGATATGTGATCATGTCGTTTAGGACACGATTTCGCTTGTTATTTGGTGCATTATAACCTGATGCCCTTGTTCCCCCTCTTTAGATTCTGCTTTGGCATTTGCTTCTCTATACAGAGGAACTAGATTTTCCGATTCTCAAAAGTGGTCAATACATGATGCAGCAGCCATTAGTAGTTGTATTCTTTTTTCGATACAGCTCTTAGTTTGGAGTTGAAGCTGTAACCCCTATTTTGTCATATTGTCACAGATCAAGGGGCCTAACGGTGAGCAGATGCATGATTTTCGTGACAAAATCAGCGATAAGCACGAGTTTGTGGCTCGTCAAAAAGGAGTCTATCGTTTTTGCTTCACAAATAAGTCTCCCTACCATGAGACGATAGACTTTGATATTCATGTAGCCCACTTCTCGTACTATGAGGAGCATGCAAAGGATGGTAAGGCATCTTTCTCCCCTTTGTGTTTTATCTTTTGTGTCAAGTATGGTGGGGTGAAGATTCTCATTCCCGGCATTTTGAATTTCTAGAGCATTTGAAGCCTCTGATACACGAGATATCGAGGTTGGAGGATGCGCTGTACAACATCCAATTCGAGCAGCATTGGCTGGAGGCACAGACTGAACGCCAAGCTTTAAGTAAGAATAACTCTGGACTCTTTCTCTACCTTAGAGTTTGAACTGTTTTGGATAGTCTGATCTGGCGTTGTCGAATGAATTCCCAGGATATAGATAGCCTGAAAATTGTTGACTGAAGTAATTGTTAAAATTGCTGATGTATCTGTGTGGACCGCTTATGAAGTTGCTGGTTAACCGTCCACTGCAAGGATGGAAATGTTCTTGAGGGCTCAAAAGACTACTCGTCCATTTGCATTTGAATTGGATTCTCACTAGGTTTTCAACAACTCTTGTACCGGTATCTTGAAGGTTTCTAAATTGATTCTATTTTGGACGCAGTAAATGATGCAATGGGGCGAAGGGCTGTTCATAAGGCGTTTTTTGAGTCAGCCGCTATCGTCGGAGTCAGTATTCTTCAAGTTTACCTTCTCCGCCGCCTCTTTGAACGAAAGCTTGGTGTCTCTAGGGTCTAGACTCTAGATGACTGCCGACATGATGTACACTTCGAAATGTGCTCTAGTTACTCATCATGTTGTTGGACTCTCTTTTGCATTGCTTAGCGAGAAGAACAAAACTTTGTATACTAGAATCATTTGATCACAATCTTAAGTTATACTGGAAATAACTTCAAAATTGCTTCACCTCTTACTGAGACAAAGTCCCATCAGTTTTTCACCAGCAGCATGTTTAGATATCTCATACTAGTCATGAAGTGATCAAACCGTGCAGGCTTTCGAGCCAAAATACAAGTAGTCACTAACTAGGCTGATGTGATGAACAAATATTATGAAATACTTGTTCTGGCCAGTTTGGCCGTTATACTACCTGGATAGAAACCTGCTTGAATTTGAACAAGTCCACACTGTTCAGGTGATGCTAAAAGTGAAACCTGGAAAGAATGAGGTTATTTATTGCGAAAGAAAACCAATTGACCAGTACAGTAGAACGAATTCAGAGGGGCAGATATCACAAAAGCTCTCTACAAGCTCGTAACATGAGAAAATGGGAGAGAACAGATTAGATGACCATATATATAAACTGCATCTTTACAAGATACAAATGACCTTGGTATTTCAAATCATATTTTCCTTTTTGCCTCCACCAAAAACCGCAGTTTTCACAACACCCAAAAGAAAGAAAAAAGAACAACGAACTCCAGGAGGATTCATGACCCGCTCTACAGCTCCCCTATCATCTTCTTGAAGAAAACATTTATATGGTGGGATGACATAACAGTTACATGAAGCAGCTTCTTCTTCTGCAGCCAAGAAATTTGTCAAGCTTCTGCTGCTGAACTTTGGATGCAGCAGAACCATTTCTTCTGAAAATAACAACAGGACCACACAAGTATTAGAAAAGACAATCATTGGAAGGAAACGTTAATGATGCACCCAGAAAGTTTGAAAGCGTTCGTTTGGGATATTCTTAGAACCAGGAATAACAATGGGGTTGTAGTCATTCAATCCCCATATACCTGTCCCACGGTAACAAATGACTAGGACACATGTCAGGGCAGGACGACTCACTCTAACAAGTGATTAGAGTACAACATCTCCAATTCTAAAGGAAACACAAAGGGAGAACACTTTCTAAATGAACATAATGACATGAATAATGCACAAACGTATTTGAACTTAAGTGAAAGTAGAATAAAATTGAATAAATATTATAGTGTCGAGACTTGAGATAGAGCGAGCCAAAAACAGGTTGGGATGAGGCGTGGAGTAAGGCCCTGCCCCACCTCATGTTGCTCCCCGGGACAGATTGAAGCATGTCGAAATTGTCATCCCTACTTGAAGCATACTTGGCAGGGTGCTGTAATACTAAGTGCAGATATTAAATGTTTATCTATACACTTTGACTATAGATTCTACCCTTGATTATAACAAAAGACCACACAACCTATGAAGATACACCCCTTTCAACTATATAGATTTTGGCCATGCGTGAAAGTACTATAGTGCTATTAGTATGTAATCCTACTATCCTAGCATCAAACTATAGGGGATAAGCATGGGACCAGGGGAGGGGGGATCAAACAACTTACAGCAGGAGGCTTTCCATGCTCCATTGGCCCCTTAGTATGAGAATCGCCCTTTCCTGGCGACTCTGGTTTGCCACCGGTTTTCTTCTCATCCCTGGCCTTGTTAAAGATCACAGTAAATCCTTCTGCTGAAGCAGGATCATTAACATCCCATTCCCCAAATTTCGGCAATGGCCTACCTCCGTCCTGTTAAAAAGGCAGACAGTTTAAGCAACTACGACCAAAAGACTCATAAAGTTTCTGAAAGCACGGAAGCATCCAAACAATGTATAATAAAGCACAAGCAAAATGTGACATGGTTTTTATTCCGCTTACCAAAGCGATTGAGCTTCTGGGGCTATATGAATTTCTATCAAACTCAAACAAGATACAAACTTACCTAAAACCACATCAAGTAGATGACTAAAAGCATCGAGAAGTTCCACGTATCATGAAGTTCTAAATAACAAAAGGTTCATGGTAACTGAACTAAAGAAGGATTCATCCTCAACCTACACCAGCTTAACACGATTAACCAACCTTCAGATTGATTCACTATGTATTAGCGAAACAGCAAGTTCATCTCCCTCTCGTGCTTTTCCATTTCCCACTCCACAATCCTTAATTTCTCAACACCAAACATTTTGTGCTCCAAGTCTAGCAAGGAAGGCTAAACAAACAAACAAACAGAACAGTTCCTGCCCCACCTCGCAAGCTACAGAAAGTGACAACTTCCACAGCCCTTGAGCCAAGGCTCGGAGAAGACGAAATTTGCAGCCAAAGAAGCATCCAAATGCAGAACCCAAAAAAAAAAAAAAGTAGCTGAAAGCAGAAGCCCCAGTACTTCCCAATTCCAAATCGAATCAGATGAGCTGTCCCTTTCATAAAACAAGCAAATAAAAAAGATCGAAACAAAGGGGAAAATACGAAGATTCCCAAAATTCAAGTAAACAAAACTGATCAGCAGCACAGCACCCAGAACCGAAGAACAAAGGAAAAGCGACCCCCGAGGATCGAATCCACATAATTATTCAGCAGCTAAATAGCAAAACCCAATAGAAACCCTTTCATAGCGCAACAGCAGCAGATGCCAAAATAGCGTAAAAATAAAAATCTAGTTCGAATCAATCAGAAATCGTAAGCAAGCTATGAAGGAGAAAGCTCAAAAGGGTTAAAAAAAAAGTAACAAACTTTACGGCGCTCGTAGGGTAGTATTACAGCCAGAAGAAGAAAAAAAAAAACGAAGACAGAGAAAGAGAAGGAGAGGGAGCTAACGTACCGACATGAATTCTAGTGCGAGAAACCTTTGAGCAAGCAGCTGGAAGAGGAGACTTATGAGAGAGACAGAGAGAGAGACAGAGAGGAAAAGAAAAAGAAAGGAAGACGGAGAGAAATGGAGGAAGCGAAAAGAGTTTCCTCTTGAGAGAGAGAGAGAGAGAGAAGAAGAATTGGGCCGGGTATTGCAATTGGGCCTTGCCGTGTTTCGGCATCTCTTCAAAACGCAAATATTCGACGGTAACGGAGAGATGGGAAAGGTCAGTCAGGTCGCCGTCCGTCGTCGGCGTCAGCGATGACGTGGTGGCAGTAAAACGGGACGGAGGAATGAGCTGACAAACGGTGTGTGATCCTCTTTTTGAGAAGAGAGAGAATTAGTTGGTGTACACGGAGGCACTGCCTTGCTGGCATTTTTGCTTTAGACCATCTCCATCAATGCAATTACAAAAAAAATTGCATTTGTGTTTTTTATTGTTAATTCAATTTTTTTGCAATCCACATCACATTCATTTCAATAACCTACATAAATGCAATTAACTTGCAATTGCAAATGTAATTAAATATTATATTTAAATTATAGAAAATTAAGTAAAAGAGAAAAGAAAACAATATAAAATAAAAAGTCTCCATTTGTTTAGGCTTTTTTGACTTGCATATACAATTGCATTTGTTGCAAGTTTGCATATATGTAATTGATAGCCACATCAATGCAATTGGTTTTGCAATTGTAAACACATATGTCATGTCATTTTGCAATTGAGAAAAATTTAATATCAATTTTGGTCACTCGAATTACTGACACAGGTCACATTTGGTCACTCTTCTGTAGCCTCTGTCCAACTCCGGTCACTCGAATTATTGAAAAATGTCACATTTAGTCACTCGTATTACTGAAACATGTCACATTTAGTCACTCTCCCAAAAGTTTCCGTCGAACTACATTAATGGAGTTGGACGGAAACTGACGGGAGAGTGACTAAATTTGACCAGTTTCGGTAATTCGAGTGACCAAAATTGATATTAATTTTTTCTAGTGACTATACATGACACAATTTAGTAATCTCAGTGACCAAATGTGTCATTTATCCCAATGTGGATGCTCTTAGTAGGGTCACTCTCCCTTTTGGCGTTTTCGATAAATAAATAAATAAACAAAAAGTTTGTTTTCTCCTTTTTCTTTTTCCACATTATTCCGATTCGTGGATTCATGCAACCTCAATCACATTCACAAACAAAATATTCACTTATCGTAATTACAGTTTGTAAAGAGGTATTACAAGACTTTTAGTCGTACAATCGTATTAAACGAATGCAGTGATAATTTTGTAAATAAGATGTCCCACATCTAATTATCAATTACGATCAAAAATCGCGCTTAGCTTTCACGAGTTTGATCTTTTGATTCACGGATGTACTATTGTCTGTCACCCTGATTTCTGCAATTCTAAGGGTTTCCCCCCCATCTCCAATCCAATAAAATGAATGCAAGCACACAATTTGCTGAAACACAAAGCCATTAGTAACTAGGGGAACCAAAACCAGGAGCAAGACAGAGAATCTGTTGATGGGTGTCATCCTTCAATTCGAACATGGCGTGTAGTGGTTGTATTTTATTGGGTGAGATGGCATTGTTTGTTGCTGTCAGGGGAGAGACAGAATCCAGCAAAGATGAACAAGGATGGCAGGCAGGGATCTGCCACTGCATTAACTTAGCTAACCATGGTTTTTTAATACTCTGATATGTCGCCTTATTACATCTTTCGTTCATTTTCTTAGTGCTTCCAGTCCTCGACAGACAGAGGGAAGAAATGAGCACAAGAGTACCACCACCAAAGAGATCCGTTCTTGTGATAGATTTTTCTCTCCCCAGATGGAGGGTTTTGTCACTAACAATCTAACATGCCATAGAAGCCAAACACAGGTTTGGTTAGAGCAGCTGTGGCGTTGTAGCGTCGGACTTTGAACCTAATAGAAGTGAGAAAGGAAAAAAAACATACCCTGTCAGCATCTCAAACCCGGGAAGGGCCAATGGCCACAAAAACTTTCGAATCGATTGCATCCATGTATAGCTTGGTGTACACAGTAGATACCTGCTACAATTCAACGGTTCTGGGTCTTGAGACCAAGCAAATTCGCAAACAGTTTAGGGGCCATATCTGGGATATCCTCCGCGGCTGTTTAGCCATGAAATCGATGATCTTTTCGTGCACATTGTACCTACGAAACCGGAAATGTATCTTGTTATTCGTGCATTGGTACTGCTTGCCTCTGGATCTTGCTCACCATCACGATGTGTCTCCTAAAAACATTGATTAAGTTAACTCGACAGTATAAATGATGAATGAACACCTCTTTTCATTCTGTTAACAATCATGCTGAATAAAATGATAATAATTGCTTCGTCGTGAGTACTGCTCATCTGCCCTGGAGCCTGCCCATGCGTAAACAAAGTAATTGACCAGTATATTCGGCATAAACAGAAAAAGAAGGAACAAGATGCTGTAGAACAACTTACAGGCCAGAAGACTTTACTAGTGACCAGCTCAACTGCATTTTTTTAAATCATTCTGCTTGGATCCCTCGTATATGCAGAAACTTGATCACTGATATTCTGCGATCGGAAAAGAAAAGCCAGTGAGCTCCACTACAAACCGCACAAAAAAAACGCACACTTGTAATCACTGATAACAAATTCCAACGTGGTTGAAAGCTTGCAACTTGTTTCTAATAGCTGCTACCCCAGTTGTAACTTCTGTCTTCCTCTGCCACTTGTCTATGGATTTATTTCTAAATGAAGCTATCCTACAAGACAGAAGGATATAAGTTTCTTTTATATGGATGAATGATCTCACAGAACCATCATTTTCATGCTCAAATTAACATAAAACAGAATGCAACTCCGATGCACGCAGAAGTCTGAATAAATCAAAGGAAATCGGAAGTCCATCCATATCCAGAATTAGAACTCAACCACCGAAAACCAAGTAAGAGAAAGGTTGTTCACAAGTACCCCCCAGACTACAGAAGCTTAAGCACTTAGGACCATGGACGACCTGAAAACTACTGCTATACCTTGTATGCATTTGTGAAATTTTAGACCATTCTTCCTCAATCCTCATCTTCATCAATCAAGGACTTGGAGTCATCTGAATAAACCTGCAATTGCAACAAAGGGAAAACACAATTTTCATTATAGAAAGACCTCTTGCAGTCCATCTAGGGATTTAAAGTCTTTTTGGATGAGGTAACGAGGTCATCATAAGCTACCCTCATTTCTTCCTCTGAATTGGAAAATGTAGACCAAACAGGGTCCTGCAGATATTTCCTTGCATTACCATTACACTTCGATGTGCAAATGGGTGATGATGAAGGTAAATAGAACATACCAGTGGATGCCTATTTGAGCAAGGGAATGCTTTCTGAAGTAACATCCTGATAGACTTTTAATTATTTGGGGATTTATGTCGGTTTGATTTATTCAGTTTGGGATTATTTTGGTTATTGGGAATATTGTGGGGATTAATAATTTGGGGTAGTTAGTAGGTAATTGTGCTTTGGGTATTTAGACTATTGTTTACGTAGAGAATGGTAAGCAAGAATTAAACCTAAAACTACCTCTCTCTCTCCTCTCTTCCTCTCTGGCAGCCGAGCCATCTTTCCCCTCTCAAAGCTGCCGCACGGCAGCAGCCTTTCCTCCCCTCTTCTCATCCCCCAATCCTCCCAAATCTCTCTCTCTCAATCTCCCTCAACCCCGGATCAATCCCTAGTTGATCCCCGATCCCCAATCGTTCGATAGAGCTTGACCTAGAGCTCTATCATTTGGTATCAGAGCCCGGTTCTTGGGTTCGATCACAAAATAGCGTAAGAAGGGTGCAATGGTGTCCACAAAATCGATGACAGCGGCGGAGAAGGCGGCCAAGGCGGCGGCGCCGGAGCAGGCCTCGACCGCGGTCTCGACCGGGCTGCCGGTAGCTGGCGGCGGCAACCAGGGGGCCGCCGATCCGAGGGACGGTGAGCTGGTGGACGAAACTGAAAGGTTGGAGCTGATCCAGACTACCTTGGATCGCCTGGTAGCCGAGTTCGAGAAGGAGCGCAAGGAATGGCGGGCTCTCCGGCAGGAGCAAGGCGAACAGCGGCGGGAACAGGAGGAGGAGTCCCGGCGAGTTTGGAAGCGGTTTGATGAGGTGCAGAGGGTCGTGGAGGCGCTGGCCGCCGCGCAAGCCACTGGGCCGAAGGGTGGCGGCGGCGGCGATGGGAGCGACAGCCGGAGCGGGCTGGGAGGCTCGACGGCGGATGGAGGCGCGGGGGCGAACACCGTAGCGGCGGCGGGTGGCGCGCCAGCGGGGGCGATGGTGGTGGCGGAGGCGCCGCCCTCAGCGGCGGCTGTCGAGGTCGTCGACGCGGCGGAGATGGTGCCCGGCGCCGGGGAGCGAGTGGGCCAGGGTCAGCCAGGGCGCAGCGGTGGGCCTGGGCTTCTACCGACACCAACGGCCCAGGAATTGGCGGCCCGCAAGGGTAAGGCCAAGATGCCAGGGTACGACAATGGGCCCCCGCCGACTGGGCAGGGCCCGCCTAGGCCAATGGGCCGGAGTGACACAGTGGGCCCGTATCACGAGCCCAGAGGACTGGGATGGCTGACCATGGATCCCGAGCGGATCGAGGAGGAGCTCAGTCTGGTGGGCCAGAACGCACCATGGGCCGACCCGGCGAGTGGTGGTGACTATTTGGGCCCGGACGTGGCAGGGGCCCAAGCCGCGCTTGTTGGGCCGGGCCAGGAGGGCCGGTTCGGGCCGGGCCAGGAGGGCCGGTTTGGGCCAGGTGGATCTGGGCTGGGTCGAGGAGGTGGCTCGGTTGGTCGAACCGACCCAGGGCTGACCGGTCCGGGTCGAGGTGGGTCGGGTCGGGGCGGACCAGGCCCAGGTCGGACCGAAAGTGGACCGAACCGGTTCGAACCGGGGCTGGTTAGATCGGCCAGCATGGACCCGAACATGTGGCGCGGGTCGTATGGTGCAGGAAATTGGGCAGGTCCGATGGGGCGAGGGTCCGCAGGCAGTTTTGGGCGAGGAAGGGGGACTCCGTTCTACCCAGACCAGTCAGGGGGTGCTCCCGGTTATGACAGGTATGGTTCGTATCACCCTGCTTATGATGGAACTGATGGGATGGTCTTTCGAGCCAAACCCCCGACCATTGAGTTTCCAAAATTCAATGGTCAGGAGGATGCAGGGTTGTGGTTGTATGCAGCAGAGAGGTGGTTCAGAAACCACCCCATTCCGGAGGAGAGGAAGGCGCATCTGGCGTCCTTCTACTTAGAGGGAGAAGCGCTGCAGTGGTGGGAGTGGATGGAGAGGTCCTATGGGGCGGTGGGAACCTTGATCACCTGGCCGTTGTTCCAGGAGGAGCTGCGTTATCAGTTCGGTAAATCGGAGGGGTGGGCTCCAGAGCAGTTGGCCAAGCTGAAACAGACCGGGTCCGTGGCAGATTACCGTGCAGAGTTCTTCAAACTGGGCAATCAGTGCCATGGAGTTCCGGAGGAGACACTGGTGGGACTGTGCATGGCAGGCCTGAAGCCGGAGATTGCTGCTGCTGTCCGGATCTTTGAGCCGGATTCCGTGAAATCTGCTTTTCGTCTTGCAGGGTACAAGGAAGAGGAGCTGGCAAGTTGGAGGAGCACCATGGGCCGCAATCCGCGGGCAGGGGGCGCCGGGAGCAGTAGCGGCCTCAGCGGAGGAGGAGGAGGAGCGGCTGGGGCCGCGGTTGGAGCTGGAGGACCCATGGCGGCGCAGGCGCCAGTAGCTGTCGTGAAGGGTGGGGCACGACCTCCGCCCAAGGGGTTTGTGCGACTGTCCCCTGCAGAGATCGAGCAGAAGCGGCGGGAAGGAAAGTGCTTCGACTGCGACGAGAGGTTCACAATTGGTCACAAGTGTGCACGTCCGGACTTGATGATGCTGGTAGGAAGGTGGGAGGACGAGGCGGAGGATGAGGCGAGAGACGGAGAAGACGCAGGAGAAGGCTACCAACCTTGAGGACAAGGTTGTTTTGAAGAGGAAGGGAATGATAGACTTTTAATTATTTGGGGATTTATGTCGGTTTGATTTATTCAGTTTGGGATTATTTTGGTTATTGGGAATATTGTGGGGATTAATAATTTGGGGTAGTTAGTAGGTAATTGTGCTTTGGGTATTTAGACTATTGTTTACGTAGAGAATGGTAAGCAAGAATTAAACCTAAAACTACCTCTCTTCCTCTCTGGCAGCCGAGCCATCTTTCCCCTCTCAAAGCTGCCGCACGGCAGCAGCCTTTCCTCCCCTCTTCTCATCCCCCAATGGCAATCCTCCCAAATCTCTCTCTCTCTCAATCTCCCTCAACCCCGGATCAATCCCTAGTTGATCCCCGATCCCCAATCGTTCGATAGAGCTTGACCTAGAGCTCTATCACATCCTCAGTTCAAGACCCCTGTTCCAGAAAGGAAAATGGATATGAGCATCTGGCAGCATACTAGATAGTTTTTAGAATGAAAATAGAACAGAAAGCAATTGAATTCACCTTCTGGTTCTTCACCGCTTGGCCTTTAAGAACATCCTCTTTATGGCGTTTCAGGTTCTTCAGCAAGTCCCTATATGACGACAAATGGTCAGCTTTTCAATAGTATGAACCAAATGGGCAAAACAATTAGAAAACGTCCTGCTAGTATGAACAATATGCGAATCCACACAATTCCCAGAACCACCTAATGTCAGGACATAATTGCTAACAGACAAAATAGATAAAAATGAATTCTTCATGATGAATAGATCAGCACCATTCAGCTTGGCATAATTTTCAATTACCCAACCGACTCTGCTAATAATAATCATTCAACATATGGAGAATATATACCTACTGTTTCTCTAACAATGGATGTGTTCGTACTTCTGAAAGAAAGTGGGGAAATATGCATATCACTTTATGAACTTCACCCCGTCCAAAATTCTTGAACCACAATTTGAAGAGCAAGGCAGCAAAAAGTTTCCCAGACCTCTAGCATTCCACTTCAAAAAGTTTTTCATAATCAGGACTAGGAACCTCTATGTTATTGTAGGTAGCCATTATATATCCATGAGTTCCCCATCAAGCAACGCCTTTGCAACCTATAACAAACACCAAATTTGCCATGCTGATAAGTGCTAGACGGGTAAATGGCATCACATTTTCCTCCTTTGGTGTCTCAATGACTTTAACTTTTTCATGGCTATAATCAGCCCCTTTTGCATCTCCGTTCCACTCCAATCCCCACATACTACCCCTCTCTCCTGTAAATCCCTCAAAAGCAACTCACAGCTGATAGGATCAATCTCTTCACTGGTCATCATGGCCTTAATGAGAATGTCATAGGTGGTCATATTAGGCAACAGCTTCCTTTGTTTCATCTCTTCAAATAGCTTAAATGCACCTGCAACGTCGCCATCCCCACAAAGGCCTGACACCAAAACATTATAAACTACCACATCAAGTCTCACACCAGAGTGCTCCATTTTGCTCCTCAGTTTGATGGCCTCTGCAACATTGCCTTTCTTGAAGAGCTCGTGCATCAGGGTTGTGAAAGTGGCCATTGTTGGAACAAGTCGCCTCCGAAGCATGTAATCAAGAAGCAGTACTGCTTCTTCAACCTTCCCAGACTTTGCCAGCCCTCTTACCATAGCACTCTCAGCAACATCCAGGGAACTAACCCCAAATTCTTCCATTTCATCTTTCACCCTGAACGCTCCCTGAATATTCCCCATTCTGCACATTTGGTTGATTAGGGTACTATATTGTCTGCATTTTGGAATGATACCATTCTCTAATACATCATGCAAAAGTAGACGAGATTCCTGAAGAGCATGAGTTCTGGTCAGCCCAGAAATAATGGCATTAACGGTGTTGACATCAGGAGAAAATCCAGCCAAATGCATTGCATCCAACAGATCAAAAGCCTTTGCCATTCTACCCATTTCACAGCATGAAGATATAATCATGCTAAATGTGTGCCAGTCAACCAAATCACTATTTTCTACCATCATCTTTTTCAGCATTTTAACACCAACATCCAACATGCCAGCCGTACAAAGACCTAGAAGAAGAGAGTGACAGGTTAATTTGTCAGGCAAAACACCTCTCCTCTGCATGATTTTGTAAACATCTGAGCATCTGGATATATCCTTTTGTTTTGAATAACCATGCAGCACAATGTTATAAGTAACCAAGGTAGGGGGAAAGCTACTGCTCAATAATAACCCAGTAAAGAGATCATCCACTTGTGCTGTTTTACCCATCCTTGAGCATCCATTTATAACTGCATTTATTGCAACGATATCAATGTTTCGGACTTTCATTTCCATCTCCTCACACAAATACAAAGCTGCCTTTGATTGACCAACCTTGAACAGTCCATCGATCAGACAGGTATAGATGACTTGAGTAGATGACATGAATCCCTTTTCTAACATCTTCCCATAGAAAACAAGAGCAGCAACCATTTTACCTTTCCTACTCAACCCAGTAAGAATCGTGGTGAACGCATACTCATCAGGTAGAACATTGTGCTGCAGCATTTCATTTAAGAGGGTCAATGCACCTGACATGTCTCCTACTCTGCAGGTCTCAGCAAGTATAGTGTTACAAGTGATAGTATCGACAGCAAATGGGATGTGATACAGTTTCTCCAATAATTTCCTGGCCTCTCCTAAGTTTCCAGCCTTGCACAGTCCCTTAAGCAGGCTACTATATGTAACACAAGAGGGCTGGTGACCAGAATGAATCATTTCATCAAATACCAAGAAGGCTGCCAAAGGATCACTTAATCTAGCAAACCCGTTGATAATAGAGTCAAAAGTAATGGAATTTGGAACAACATCAATTCTTGACATGTGATGCATAAACTCCTTTGCTTCTTGTATCATTCCACCTTTGGAAAGAGAAGATACTAATGTATTACAGATGAAAGAGCTGGCATCATGGCCATCATAATTCATTGCTGCATATAACTTAAATGCTTCAGTAATATTTCCTGCCCTGCAGTGATTGTAGATTAAAGTACCATATATTATACTGTTTGGTTGGAGTCCAGCTTTGTACATTTGACATACTACTTCCTTGGCAGCTTTTACCTTCCCAACTCTGCAGAATCCATTTATGAGTGCAGAAAATGTAATGACATCAGGACTTGCACCGTCCGAGGCCATATTATTAAGCAACTGCACAGCTTCATCAAGCAACCCATTTTGGCATAACCCATGGATCAATGTTGTGTATGCTATACAACCAGCTGTATTCTTCATCCTCATGTTCTCAAGAAGGTTTCTGGCCAAGTGCAATTTGTTATTTATGCACAAACCCTTTAAGAGAATCCCATAGCTAACTTCATTTGGTCTCAACCCTGCTGCTTCCATCAATTTCAGAAGTTTGAAAGCTTCTTCAAAATCACCCTGGTCACAGTGGCCCTCAATCAAACAATTGTACGAACGAGCATTTGGAGAAAGACTAAGCATTGCCATCTCATCGAAAATTCGATTGGCGATACCAATCTTCCCTTCTTTCACAAACCCGTTAATCAGAGTGTTATAAGTAACTTCACTGGGAGAAATCTTCCTACTCCTCATGTTTCTCAACAGTAAGTAACCTTTGGAACTCTTATTGTTTCTACACAAATCATCGATAAGCATGTTATATGTGAACACGTCCGCTGCAATACCTTTCGATGCCATTTGATCTATCAATTCAATAGCAACTTTGTACCTCCCTTTCTTGCAACACCAGTTGAGCATAGTGTTATAAGTAACTACATTTGGAACATAACCACTCTCTTCCATTTTCCTCAAAAGGTGCCTAGCTTTCTTAAGCTTTCCTTGTTCCCCCAACAAATGAAGCAATATATTAAACGTGGAAACATCAGGACAAATCTTCCTTGCAAGCATCCGTTCAAAAAACAACCACACTGACTCAACTCTACAGTCTTTCGCCATGGAACTAAGCACCATATTACAGGTACGAACAGAAGGGTCAAAGCCTCGATAACCCATCAAGTAAAAAGTCTCCAAAGCACCGTCAACATTCCCTTCCTTCAAGTAGACCTTCATTAGAAGGTCAAAAACTGAAGGATTAGACTTGCAAACAGGGTAGGTATTCATTATTGCACTAAAAACCGAAGTTGAACAAGTACTCATACGGGACAGATGCGTCAAGATCAATTTGGCAGGTTCATACATTCGAGCTCGAACAAGAATGTGAACCGTGATGGAGAACAAGTGAGTGAGGTGATGGAGCTCCAAACCTGGCTGCTTTGTAACCCAGTTGAGAAATTTTAAAGCTAACCTCCCATGAACTGGCCTGAGTGAAGCTAGTTTGTATTCCATGTGATTCAGGGACTGCCAACGGTCTATTGTCAGCAACTGGTAAACGCTCTTCTCCATGTCCACACCTGGAGAACCAACCAAAATTATATAAAAATCCAACCTTTACAAAGCTAGGAATCGCCTTAAAGAAGGACAGGGGGAAAAAGAACCTAAAAGCGGCAATTCCACAGTGCTGAAGAGACATTTACACAGCAAGGAGATTCTACCTGGTGTTGATGAGCATGAAAAATTCGGCTGCTTCCTGCTATCATATTTGGAACTTCGTTTTGCAGAGTCGGAGAATCCCGTATGGCAAAACAGTCTGAAGTTCGAAACTTTGCCGGGAACTCGAAAGACTCTTTTGGTTTGGGCCGCGAAAGAAGTTAAACGGGGACAAGGCATCGTCGGAGAGCTCGTATGGTGAGTTTTTGAGTTCCAGTTTTGTTGCAGCCATGCCAATCGGAAAATTACCAGGGCTCGAAGAACTGTAATTGCGGCTGAGAAGGCGGAGGAGTGGCAGCAGAGTGAAGCAAATGGAGATTGAGATTTTGGACGAAGGTGAAGGCGGCTAGGGTGGAGGAAGGCGGCTGAGTGCAGGGGCCTCTGATGGAGGAGACGGCGGCGACAGCTGGCGGGCGGGCGGCCCGGTGAGCGATTTTGTGGTGCGACTGGACTCTGGAGGAGTTTCCTAGTTTCCTACTACTTGCGACTTACGAGGGAAAGCAGCACCGCGTCCAGCTTTTTTTCAAATTTCGTGCTTCGATTTCATACCCTTGTCAATCTTTTTAGCTTTTTTTCACAACTGTGCCAGTGTGCCTAACTCGTTCCAACAGAGAGAAATAGAACCAACAGAAGCTAACAATGTTTAATGATAATAACTGATATAAACAACCAAAAAGGTAGATCCAAATAGTTATCTACATAAACTGGCTTTGGCCTTGGTGGAAGAAACGCCCTCACATTATTCCCCTTCCAAACCAACAAAACCATTTTTACATTTCTTTCCATCCCCTTTGTAACAGCAAATGGCCAAAGTAACTTGAAAGACATAATCCCCTGTTTCTTCCTCAAAGCGCATTCACCAGCATCGACCCAGCAGCCACCGCTGCACCGGCGACCGCCTTTTTATACGGCTAGCTAACTCCCTAAACTCCTAATTAATCCAGACCCAAATGAATCATCCCCATCATCATCCATCTGCACCACATAATACCCAATTCGTCAGCACTCAGCAGTAACATTTCAGTCTTTTAACGCACCACAAAGGGGTCAGAGTAAACAAAGAACGCGGGAAGAACTAACATGTACATCACAAAATGCTGAAGGCTGGCCGCCTGAATTGGATCATTGGTGGTGTTTGAAGCCAACCCCACCTACCCCCTGGCATGGCTAACCAAAGCCAAAACCTTCATTGGCCTCGTGAATGGCGAGCAGCAACCGCTCTCGAAGCTGTTCTTTTGATGTATACTCCGGAAGATCTAGTTGATTGAAACTGGAGAATCCCGAAAAATATGTTAGACTTGGGTGCCAAAAAAATGGGGGATCAGACAGATCAAGAAGCACTGGCATATTGTATACGAACCATGTGTGAGCCGAAGGCAAGCGTTCAGGAGCTCCATATGCTTTGTGTATCTGGAACCTTTGAGGACCAGAGATGCCCTGCAACGCCTTGAAACCTTCCAGTGGAACCTGGGGAGAAAAACCCATTCTTGGCCATTTTAGTTATCCAAATCACGCTTCGAGATTTCAAAGGGAAAAACCATCACCTGCAGATTCACGAACATTACCTTTGATGTTCCCGTGACGAATTGTAGCAGTCTAGCCATGTCTTCTTTGCTGAAAGCTTGAACTACTTCCCAGAACCACTGAACAACACTGGAACCACCACTATATCCAGTATACTCTGTATTAACTTTCAGATCTTCCACTGCAACAGAATAGCTTTACTAAGTTGATCATAGAAAAAAAAGGCAAACAACAAGATGTGCAGTCGTGTGGAGCCCAGAGTCAGAGTATATGCATAGAGAAAGAAAGTCAGACTCACATTCAATTTCAGGAAGTCCACTGATCAGTAGCTCAAGCTCCTTGTCATTAAAAATTGAGATCAATTCCCGAGGAATGAGTTCATTGAAACCATCCAGGAAGGAGTTTATCTGAGGCCGGATGGCATTTGTCAATATATGATCCGCAACAAGGTCCACGTACTCATGCTTCGTCTCTTCGGTTACTCTTATATTCCTCCCTCCAGGTTTAAGCTCGTAATCAGTAACCTTCCAATACAAAAGAAAAAAAAAACAAGAACTTAGTATATCGCCAAGGCTAAGGGGGAAGAGGAATTCCACAATATGACGGGAACTGTCGCCGGCACTCAGGGCCACGGAAGGAATATTTCAATATGTTTCCGCATACTATGCCAACCTCGTTTTTCTCATAAAGGATGTGTTTCTCCTCATCAGGATCCATGCTGAATGTCAGGTCCGGTATATCACTTACATCATTCTGACAGAGACAAGTGGGGAAATTTGTCATACCAAGTTGCTACCTGAATGAAACTTAACTTTCAAAAGTTTCATAGAACAAGGAAAATGGAGCAAAAATCACTCCACATACCTCTAGCATCCACTTTAGATTCTTGTAATAATCAGGATCCACAGCCTCTATATCATGGTAAGTCACCTTTACACCTAGAATGTGCTTATAGAAAGACCGGGTGAAATATACATCCAAGAGCTGGCCATCAAACAATGCTTTTGCAACCTGTATCAAACAGTAGATGTACACTTCTCAGCAAGCCAGTGCCATATAGTAAAATTTGAGCATAAAAAGTTTTTAAGGGATTAATTACCACACGGCCAACGAATCTGAAATAGGAAAGATGCTCAGTTTGATACACAGAATTTGGATTTGGCTGGAATGTGACATTGTTTCCCACAGTGGTGAAAAGCAATGCCCCCTTATCAAAAATAACTCTCGATAATATTTGATACCATTCTCTAGTCAGACCTCCGGCATCAATGCCCTCTTCCCCTTGGAACTGCACATTCAATCGTCCCCTGAGATCCTGAGTTGGCCGCATCCTCAGCTGATTGTAAGAATCCTCCAACACATATGCCCTTCGGACACTGATCCGCAGTGGACCAGACAGGTGTTGCTCATGTTGTTGTCGTATCCTTGACCGAAAATACGACTTTTTGTTGTCAAAATCTATTAATCTTGGTGCCTTCAGCATCATAGAAAGTGACTTCTCCAGTAACCCAGGATTCTGTCTAATAAATGCATTTAGAAGTCTACGATGCTTCTCAGCAAACCGAGCAAATGTAACTGAACCATCGAGCTTTCTATGTGAATCCCCTGCCCCTGACTCTTTGACTTCACCTGCTGTTGTGTCATCAGCATGATGATCTTGCTGCACAGAAGAAGAATTAATTTCTGCTTGAAGCTTTTCACACAAAACAAGGAATGCTTCTATGAAAGGCAGGAGTCTCTGGGTTCCAGGAGGAAGAGGAGACGATGTAGAGACACTCCCCTGTACATGATCCCCAAAAGTGGCACTGCTAGAAAGAGTCTGGTTCAATGTGCCCTGGCCTAAGTGCATTTCTGTCACACTGATACATTCACTCAATTCATGCCATAATGGCCCGAGTGCAATGTTTAAGTTCCACATAGATGCATGCTCCTCCTGCTCCCCACCAACACTCTCACCTGCTGGAGCACTAGGTGAGGTGAGTGAGCTAAGCACCTGGAGGACACGTAATATTGCTGCTCCAGCCATAGACCCAGAACTAAGACCTAGCATGTGAGTCTTCCTCAGAGTAACAAGCTCACTAACAGCTGAACTACTCAGACCATGTGCTAAATCTGAAAGCTCTGAGGTAAAGAACTTGCGAAGAGGGTAAGCAACCGACGCCAGCTTCTTCAGTACTTCTCCCGAAAGCATGTACACCTTATCTGACAGCCTGGAGTAGATAACAGGGAATATGTTACAGATTACATTATAGAATCATTCAAAAACAGAAAACTAGCCAGTAAGAAAGAAACCCACCCCTCGCGACCAAGAAGGTTACTCATATTCCGCAGATCAGATCTAGGCAACCGCATGAGAACACCGACTGTATCAGTGCTCTTATTTCTTTTGGAATTCGATAACTCAGCAGCAGGGACCGCTTTATCTCCCTGAGTAGATTCTGGTTCCGCCTGATGATCTGTCTGAGCATCACCACTGACTTCCCCACTAGGTAGCTTACAGGATTCTATATTTGATACTGCTGTGTAAACCACCACTTGAAGTAAGCCCATAACCTGTGTCAAAAAAAAAATTATTTCGAGAGGGCAAAGTTGGGAATTTGAAATTTTATTAGTGAGGTGGCTTTTAGATTTAAATAATTAGTGGGATTTAGAGTGAATATTTTTTTACCAAGTTAATCGGAAAAGAGTTTGTTTTAGCATTTAAGCCAAAAAAAAATCATGCATTCTTTCTCCAACACAAACACACGGAAAGAGACAATTCATAAAGTCAACAAGTGATCACTCATACCTGCTCAAGGTGTGCAGCGCTGCGGAAAAACAGTGGTCGATCTAATAGCTTTAAGAACAGAACCAATGGAACATCATTTGTATCTCCACAAGGATTGCACAACGCACTGCCATCCTCAAGTTTCCTTTTACCTTTGTCCGTCTTATATTGCAAACCATTTGTAAGATACTCCTCCGGCAAGACAGAAGGGTCCAAGTGAAATAACATATTGGCAATCGATGAGTGGTTTGTTGCCAAATATGTCAAAATCTCAAGAATGCGACACAACACCAAGGGAGGCAAACCTGTCGAAAAACAAAATCAAACCAACAGATTGTATGGCGACAAAAATTCATCATTACTATTATTAGAACCTAAACGAGAAATATAGTAAAATACCATCCAACAACTGTGATCGGCCATAAACCACATTTGAATGGCAGCCATAAAGCCTCTGCGAGTTCAGCATTGCTAATCCACTGAGTGATCCATATGCTTCAGGTTTAATCATGTCAACCAAAAGGCGAACTAGAGTTGCCCTTGTAGAACTATGTGCACAAAGGTTTAACAATAGTCTCTGTAGAAGTCCTTTCCCCAGGGGCTAACCAACATAAGAACAAAAATCATCAAGTTAGGAGATAATAGTAACTTCAGGATGCATATATATAAATAGCATATAGTTAGAATAACAAGCAACCAAAAATTCCATCACCAGCAAATATGAGTGTTAAAGGTAATAGATACAATATGCCTCCCATTCTACAGAAATAGGAAAATGCTTTCCATTAACAGAAGTAAGTAGGCACTGAGACATATAGACACAGGGGCTTCAACACAAGGGTGGACAGGTTAAACTGAATCGAAAGTCCTAGAAACATAAAAACCATAGAAACAGATATCCTCGTGCAGTTAAACTGATTCTTTCAGACAACCTATGATGTGCATTCCCTAGTGCACCACCCTCCCATGAATGCAACAGAATATTACAACAGGCAAAATGCAAATCAAACATTTCAAATGCCCTAGCAGTTAGATTTTCCAGACAGTTTACAGGTAACGACAGACCTGTGCCAATCTTAAGAGGCGGATCAAAGCCCTCAGCGCATTTGCATCCAGCAAAGGCTCGCCCTCAATTTCCTTCACTCTCATGCCATCTGCAACTGCAGATGTTGCTCTCCGACCTATTGAAACTCCAACACCTCTATCCATCACAGTCTGCCTGTCGAACCCTAAGCCATTTCTTCGACCACTAAGCCTGTGGCTGCTACCAAACAGGCTCCTTGCCTGATAGTGACTCATTGCCCTGTCTCTTAGCATTTGGGCTTCAGCAAGCAACGGAGAAGGCAGTGCTGATAATACTGCTTCTGAAGAGGTCAAAAGTACCTGGAGCAGAAAAAAGAATCTGTAAACGTACAGTGGGGAAAAGGCGGGAAAAGCTTTCTGGATAGGATACCTCTTCACGTAATTCGGCGGGAAAAGTAGCAATTATTGAAGCGTTATCCATGTCCACCGGCTGCCCTTCAGCTTGTTGTGCAATCCTTTGTGCTCTTTGTTGTGCAAGAACTTCTGCCTGAATATCTGGAGGAAGAGCGGCCAAAAACTCGGGATCAATATCATCAACTGAAGGTGGTGCATAAGCTGGAGGCTGCACAGATTGAGCTTGCTGAGAAGCAAGAACTTCTGCCCGCAAATCTTCTGGCAGTGCCTCCAAGAAGGTCGGGTCAATAGCATTTGCAGCAGAACCCTCGCCATTTACACTATTCTGATCCGTTTGATTAGCATCTGGAGTAACATCTGTTACTTGTCCCGCAACAGGGGGAGATTGCTCAGATAGACTTCCACCAGCATCAACACCATTCATATCAACATCATCACAATTATTATCCGCATCTGATCTCCCAGAAATAGGACCTGAAAGAACCTGGTCATGAGACTGGCCATCTGCCCTAGACAAACCATCAGAATCCACACTCGGAACACGAGCAGGAGTTTCGAGATGAGACGGTGAGTCTTGACCTCCTTCATGTTGAAGAGAAGGAAAATGTTGTGCTAATGAGTTCACAAGCTCTGGTACTGCCCCTACTTGATTTCCTGTAATGTTATCACCTTCCCCTATCTCCATTTGCTCATCTCCATTAGGTGCACTGCTCAGAGAAGATGATTGATCCACCATACCTTCCTGCACCAGTAGAAGCTCACCTGCATCTTCAACAGAAGTATGCTGAGTGACTTGCTCTTGGGGATGAATGCTTTCAACTGCTTCTTGATTAGACTGATGATCAGTCACTCCATTTAAGGTTTCTTGATGATGAACTTCAGATTGCTGAATTCTGGGATTGTTACCTTCCATCACTATTTGTCCATCATTAGAGCGAGGCTCTGTAGGGGGCTGATTCTCCTGCATCTCAAGACTCTGAGACTCTCTTTCGGCAGAGCTACCTGCTGGGGCAATGCTGTGCAACTGGGACAGGAATTGTTCCTCCACTGCTTGTGCAATTACAGCAGCTTGAGCACCTGCTTGTGGCTGACCATCATCAGTCCAACGTCCATTACCTGGCCCTCTTCGGCCTTGTAGGTGTGAAGAGTCTATTCCAACAGAATAATCAGTCAAAGGTGGAGGAGCTGCACTGCCCAGCCGATCACCAAAGAGATTGCTGGGTACATGATCATATGGAAGTACTGGTGCATCAAACATATAAAAGTGAGTAACATCAAAACTGCCAGCTGAGAGAGCTTCTAAATCTCTGGATAAATGGCCCCCTGATGACCAAATTGACACAAGATCTCCAGATTGGGATGGTCTCAAAAGCAAAGGATGTTGAAATCCATTGACTTGAGAGACTGATCGTTCAAAAGAAGACCTACCACTCTGCCGCCGCCGTTCGAAGCCTGAAGGCCTACGGAGGCCAAAAAGATCATCTACGTTCACTCCATCAAAAGGTTCAGCTGCAACATCAATCAGACCACTTCCACCACCACCAGGTTGACCAAGCACCTGCAAACGATCTAAACCATCAAGGGCTTCCCTCCACCTCACCTCTATGACACGGTTCTCATGAAAATCATCATCCTCTTCATCAATCATCTCATCATTGTAATCATCACCCAAGCCAGTCTCATCATGGTCTTCCACATCCGTGTCAGCCAGAGACATCATTCCACCACCATCTTCAGCAATGTCTTCATCCTCGTCCTCCGCATCATCATCATCGTCATCCTCACCTTCATCGGCCATGTCATCATCCTCATCACCCATATCATCATCTGCCCTGTTCTCAACATGAAAAGTCATTTCTATTTGATCGCCATTGCGCAAAACTCCATCTCCATCCATTTCTGCATTCATGAAATCCATCCCCATCTCCAGAGAAGGATTAGTTGCCTCTTCCACTTCGATTCTCATGTCTTGCTCTCCAGACTGATCAGCATGTATATTACCATTACCTTCTATTTCTGAAGTTCCTTGGTTGTTGTGTTCTTCGACCCCTTCCTCACCTTGAACTTCCCGGGCGTCGCTGGTATTCTGATTACACCCTTCAATCTCAGCAGCTGGCCTAGTCGTCTGCACATCGAGCCTTTCGTTTGAACTTAGAGTTTTCTTCTTGTTCAGGTCCTCAGCTTTAAGAATTTGATAGTTGGAATTAGCAGCTCTTGTTAGACTTTCCAAAGATTTAAGTAAAAGATTAACAACCTTGGGAGCATCAGGATGATCAAGGTCAATCACTTGAAGCATGCCAGTTAGACAGTGCACAATACCACCATCTATCATGCTTTTTGCTATATCCGGAGAGCATCCAGACCCGGGTAAGGTGCTTGAGAAAGCATTCTTTGACAAAACAGAATAAACCAAATCTGCAAATGCAAAAATAACTTTGTCCGGCAATAAAATGCTTCTGTTTGAATTGCTTTCCAAGTTTGAGAAGGAAGATATAGCTTTCACAAGTTCGTTAATCACTCTCCGTCGTCCCTCACTAGATCGGCCACAAAGAACTACCAGGAACCATGAAGCTTTTTCTGACAACTTGTCTCTCCACTCATCGGGTCCTGCAGATTTATCAGTAGACACTGGAAGCAACCGATGCAAGATATGGTGGATTATTCCGCCATGATCAGGGTTATCTGCTTGGTTGGATGACCGTAGTTGACAAAATTCAGAGTCCCTTCTCAGAATGACTCCAACTGCATGCATGTACATGAGAAGAATATCACCCAACAACTTGAGGACAAATGTCACCTTCGCCAATGCAGCAGATCTTTCAGTTTCTGATTCCACCTTCCTTGTCTCGTCAACCTTGGCCTTTCCCTTCACCTTGCTGGTGGGTTCATCAACTTCCATTGAAATTGATTCACTCCCAACTTCATCACGGCTTTTAGGTAAAGGGTACTTCAATACTATGTCAAGAAGCTGATCAATAACTTGAGTCAGACTGGAAGGAATCTTTTTCTGACCTTTGACAGATTTAACTGGGCTGTCATGAATCTTAGTTTCAGATATCCGTATAGATTCTTCAGCACCTGATGCTTTCAACTTCTCCTTTTCCCTGTCTTTTTCCTTTGACAAAACCACTAAGGTCCGTCCCCCAGAAGACTCTACCTGACAAACTGCAGCTGCGGCTTTCATGAAAACCACGGGATCTCTAGAAATAACAGGAGCCATTGATGTCAAAAATGACCTTGGTGAAATTCGGCCACCATGGCGGCTACCATTCAAAGCTTGTCTGATTTCCAGTTCCATGGCGGTTTGTAAAGTTTGAGGATCTTCGAGAAGATGACGGACGATTGCAGATGCAACAGTGTCATATCCAGGAAAGAAACAACTTCTTGGTAGACTGAAAATAGCAGCTAACCCTCCATTTTCAAGAAATTGCAGTGACAGAGAATGAGTTTTTGTCAAACGTGCACATAACTGCAGTACAGCCTGCATGATGACAGCTGGAACATGCTGCTTCATCAGGTCACAAGCAATTAGTAATACCTTTTGACTCTCTTCAATGGTTAGGTATCCAGTAGATTTTCCCAACACTCTCTCAAAAACAGTACCAGATTCTTTTTCAGAGACATCTGAATCCAATTTTTTATCAGACGGTGGACTGTCTGGCGTAGGTCCTGTCGGATTACCTTCAATGGTACCATGAGGAATTCTAGGCTTTGATTGCAGCATGCAATCCAAGATAAGCAGTAATGCTCCGATGCTTTTTGGGGCAAGAATTTCACACCCTCCCAAACTTTTAGACTTGAAATCTGTCAAGATATCAATGATAGTAGATACAAGACCATTCTGTGCTGAGATTTCTCTGATGGTTCCATCCTCATGAAGGAGCAATGCTAAGATATGAGATATGATACGCAATGCACTGGAATCTTTTGAAAAGTCCAAAGGACACAGCTTCAACTGCTCACAAAGGCAAGATGCCACCTTGGGACGGTCTTCTCCTTTGTTCCTATTGCAGAGGGTCACTAACAAATCTGTAAATGAGAATACCATTGCCTCATTACTCTGGAATAACTTAACAGATGCAGCAAGGATATCATCGACAGGAGGCATCTTTATTAACCCTTCTTCTGTCGGCACATCGGCAGACTTATCAACATTGTCATTTTTCGATCCCTCTGATGAACTCCCAAGTGATAAAGCAAGTGCACGAGCCAGTTCATCATCATCCTGCACAGGATCATCAGCATGACTAAACAACCACTCCATAGCCATTTCAACACTATTAGCTTCCACTCGCCTCAACGCTTCCTCCGCTCTAGCCCTTGAGAATCCCATCTCAACAATGGTTGCTATAGTAGCTTCATCAGGAGGTGGAGGTATAAACCTTTGATTATTGCTTCCAGCAACTCCACTGCGACTCCTCTTGATGTCACCAACACCCGAGTATATATGTGTTATCAGTGAAATGATGGAAGCAGAGAACGCAGGGCCACAGTTCGGGAACATAGGGTGGTTCCAAACAGGAAGTATTACATCAAGAACCTGAGATTGCAGCATACGAACAAAAGCTTCAGGATCCCGAGGAACAGGAAATAGCCCGATAGATAAGCCAACTGCACCTGGTTGAACAAGTAATTGAGCCTGGGATGAAGAGCTTGAGGATAAAAGCAAAGTGGAGTTGACGAAATACTCCAGTACCCGACAATAGCTCTGCAATGTGTCTAGCAGCCAGCCACAGTGGGACAATTTACTATCTTGAGTTGCGCTCTCTTCATCAGGACCTGAAGTTGAGTATGGGTATGGAGATGTCCACAACAATTCGCTGGTGGCCGCAAATGTAGTGAGCAACTCCTTAAAGGTCCCATGGACATAAAAGTTATTTATCATGATAGTATAACAGGTACGTCGCCTGGTGTCACATGTGAGTGCTGCCATGTCATCCACAATCTTTCCAAGATATCTACACTTCACTGATACAGCAGTAGAATAACCTGAAAATTTGAGAGACTCAAGAAACATTGTGGCCAATGAAGAACCAAGAGTCTTAGAAGCTGCACTCAACGAACCCACATCAGATCTACGACGGTTTGGGGAAGTGAATCCCTTGACAAGGGCTGTAAAGAAAGACCGCAGTGTGGAAGCCAGCTTGTCCAGAATCTCCGGAACAAGAACATCAGGGCTCTTCTTCTTAACATCCTGAGAAGTCAACTCAGTTACATTGGACGAAACCTCAGAGTCCGTAGTTAAAGCATCCAAGTGGCGACCACTCCTTCCACCCCGTATTCGTGTCAAACCATGTCTACTACGACGATGTAAGCCTTCACCAGAGCGAAGAACTGATAGGAATTCACGTTCTCCACCCCAGAGGGACTGAGAACTGCTCCTGATTGAAACTGGGTTCATATATCTGACAGCTGGGATATTGGCATCATCATTGCCTTCTCTTCCAACAGCATTAGACGACGACACATCTCCACTCTCCAGTTCAGGCTCTTCAATTCTCTTCTCTTCCACTTTCGCATCATTGTACGCAGAAATTTGCCAAATAACTTCCCAGTATGTCCTCCCAAGATCCTTCAAGACTTCAGCATCTGCAGTACCCAGTTCAGAGACCACACTAGCAGTACCTTTCAACAGGAAATTTGACAGAGACAATATACCCTCAAGGCTTGAGAAGTGCTTCAAAATCTTAGTTTGTTTCGCAGAGTCAACTACAGCAAGCTCAGTTCCTCTAACTGAATCTAAGAGTTCATTAGTTGACTTCACAAGTTCTCTCAAAAATGAGCATACTGCCCTGGCCAAAGATGCAGAATGTTGCGGTGAAAAGTTCTTGAAAGCAATGGAGATACTCTGACCAATAGATGAAGAAACAGGCAGCAAAGGCAAGGTAAATAAACTAAGGACTGCATCTATCCCCTTCTTCTCTACAAAAATACGACATGTATCAGCATTTTGAAGAATTGTTTCAAGAAGACGAGCTGCATTCGCAACACAATCAGGTAGGAATGACTCTATATTCACTATCGAAGCATCAGTGGACTGATCAGCAGCCTGCTGCTCTGAATTTGTAGCTTCCTTGCCTTCATGAAGAACTGGACTCGCCACCTCAGAATCAGTTTCCATGGGAACAGCAACAGAGGAGCTCGGAACCTCAGAGGCTGAGGAAGAAGCATCTAGCAAAGAGCCAGCTGAGGAAGAACCATCCACCACAGAACCGATTCGTGCAATGTTACTCAAAATCTCAATCAACGTATCCACTCCAGGTCCACGCAAAGAAGAAGAATGACGCATTAGTTCATCTAATCCACTAGACAAGGACACAGGAGTATCCCCCGCAAGGGCACGCACATAAGTTCTGGATGTAAAAATCTTGACAAAGCACCTCAAAGCATTGCGGTCTTTTACTGCCTGAAGGCCATTGTTGTTCAGGCACAATGCATCCAAGCATTGGGGTATGCAAATTATGGCTTCAGCAGAGCATAAAACATCATCCATTATAGAATCCAGAAATGCAGAAGGAAGACCAGCTGCATCTAAGATAGAGAAACTGGTAGGATCCTTATGAATAAGATCGCTCATAACTGTTGCTGCAAGTGAAAACACCCCACCGCCAAAATCCTTGGCTCTTCTAAATATGATGCTCAAGCACTGTGGCAGCAAACTCTCTTCAGATCCACACATACGAGAAGTATTTCCTGGAGCATATGTTCCCAGTGATATAGCACGTAATAGTACTTTCATAAGCACACGCCGGTGATAAGAAACCAATGCCTCAGAGTATAGGGGCTGCATACTCTCCAGGTCAGATGAAGCGCAACCTGTAACAATTGGCAAACTACTTTCCCTGGAATCAGAATCTTCACCATGTTGCCCCTGACCATTTTCTATATACGAGACTTCTGCCTTAAGCCGAGAAATCGTATCATCTAAACCACCCAACTCTCTGAACAATGCAGCAGCTGGATTACTGTAATCCATGAAAGCCTCTAAAATATGCACGGCAGTCCCAACTAAATGCAAATGCTGTGGATCTGTGTCCTTGAGGAGAGGTAGAAGAGTAGGGATGAAACCTGCTTCACGCATGGCTGAGCACCCAGAGGATGATGAGACCAACACGGTGACCAGAGACAATAAAGCCTCAGCAAAAACAACAGACCATTTTGATGTTTGATTCATAACAGAATCAATAGCTTTCTGCATGAGGCTGGATAGAATGCCACGGTGACCACCAGATGTGACAGCTGCCAGGACACTAGGCTGCCGGGAGCGATCCTGAGAAAGGGCAACTAAGGCTAGCAGAGAGAGAATTCGAATTTTCTCAGGTACTGCATCTTCATTGCTCAACAAGGAAACTAGTTCATTTATAAACTCCGGTTCAGAGTTGAAAAAAGAAACTAGATCTTCAGCATCACTACTTGCTTGAACGAGAACTATGAAGGCATATAGACGAATGCATGAGTATTGCTGTCGAGAAGCCAAAGATCCAAAAGCCCTCGCATACCGTAACCGCGTCAATAGAGAAAATCTCAAACGGTGAGGCACTTTATATTCTGCAACTAACTTGTTCAAAAGTTCTAAATCTGTATCTGGGAGAGTGTTGATGTTAGGTAAATGAATGATTTGTAACCCTCCTATTGATTCTTCTGTCTGCTGAGACTCACGTGGTGACTCATTTGCTCCATAGAACTCAAAATGGAGGGAACAGCCTAACTCATATGCTACAGGATCACACCCATTGTCAACAGTACATGCAATCAGACCTAGACCCTCCTCCTTTCCACCCCAGCCTTGTGCCAGAGAAAATAGCTTTGAACTCAAGGAAGCATCCCGAATGGAGTACTTTCCAATGGTTTTCTTCAGGAAAGCAGCGAGAGTCTGCAGACAAGCCTCAACCACATCTGCATCTGTTGAAGCAAGAAGGGCAGAAAGATGCTGCTGCAATGCCATTGAAAGGGAAGAAGAGTTAAGAAGATGGTTATGGAGCACTTAACACCATTAGGAAAATTAAACGAAATTTGGTACCCCTAACTGATATAAGCAAATGCATGAGACATTGCCAGAGAAAGAAGTACCTCATACGAACTATAAAAGTGCTTATTTGTGCAATTCTCTAAGATTATTCTGATAACGCGGAGGATTTGAAGAACTGCTTCTCGTGGAAAACGGGTATCAGATTCCAAAAAGCTGTCATCAAGCTGCAACTCTATCCTTTGTTTTATGTGTTTATCGAAGAATGAATCGAAGTGGTTAAAAAGGTCAACCCAATGATGAAAATCACCCTGCATCAAGAAGTTCCATTTGTAAATACATGTAAAACGAACAGCCTGCAGAAAAAGAAGAAGAAAAAAAACTTCACACCAAAAAGGTACCTTATCAAACTCCCAAGAAAAGCCCTTAAGAGGCTCTTCGATATTCTCCAGATCAGTAGCAGTCACATTATTGATGAAGGATTTAATTTTTGGAGGCTGTACAGTAACAAAGGAAATATATCATACCACATCAGCAGCAGTATCAAGACCATACTTACACAAGAGAACGGCGAAAGAAATGGAAATGGTATTGAAAGCCCACAAAACGTGCAAAGAAGAGGGCATTAAGCCTAATCATTTGCCCAAAACTCCCGCAAAACAGAAAAAATTTGTCCTTCCAGCTGTTGTCTGTTCAACTTAATTTTAGGCGGACCATCAAAAGATATCCAAGTACATGTGAGTTTCTATAAACTAGTTGCTTCCATATGTCTGTAACTAACAAGCCTTGCCAGAAACTCTTCTATCAGATAACATCACACCTCATCTCCTAACTCTCCTTCTTTTGGAAAATTAAACCCTATTATTTCTTATGAGAAATCACAAATCACTGATACCATTGCCGGCTTTGCAACCATTATGAACCACAAAGCGGTTTCTTCACGTTAGGAAGTGGTTAAGTATCCTTCAAATTTAGTAGTCTAGCAATGACATAAAAGAAGAGCTACTCTATGTTCAACTCATTTCGAGAACCAGAAATGCCATCAGGTCATACCGCATGAAATTTCATTCCTCAGCCACTCGGGATATGGAAGCCACATAAAATTAACAAGGCAAAGAAAGATTTGAAAATTCGCTCCACACTTAAAACCATAAAATGTCGGACATTTGGCTGAAACAAGATATCAGAGCAATGATCTGGGTAACATCCTCCACTCACTTTTACGTATCACCCCGCGAGATTAACTCGCACACTTTACAAGGTTAGGAGTTTCTTACCATAATATGCTACCCAAATGGAAAGGAAACCAATGAAGTGAAGCCAGGACTAAATGTCTAAATCAGTAGCACCAAAAACGGAAGACAGTGCATCGTCCCCAAGTTCGGTAATTGCATTGAGAATCAGAAATTAGAAGATAAAACCGAACATGATCGGGAACAGAACTTTGGACTTCACAGATTGGTTTCACCAACCTCACAGGGTGAACCAAAAAAGTTGCAACAGAATCGAGGAACCAAGCTGACACTAGCTCATCAGACATCACTCCCAACGAAAAATTAAACAGTTCAAATAAGGGTTTATCCTCTCGGTGCATATTTTCAATGATACATAGTATTCCAGTGGCAGTGGAAACCAAAAGGTGAACTTTACAAAGAACAATCACACACCCTCATGATGAGAATGAAGTTTCTTTTTTTCCCCGAATTATAATTGCATAACGTTAATCAAAGAAACAATAACAGACTCAAGCTCTCTCCACAACAATTGCTGCTACAACTCAAATGGATTAACAGACCGAAAGTTCTTTCCAAAACTCCCAACTGCGTGCAGCGTGACAAAGTAACAAAGACGGAGAGGGGGGAAAGAAAAACACGTAAAGCATCAAACTTCAGACAATTCACAACTCAAAACAAACAGCACTGGTAGAGAACAGAACACTGACCACTTCCAAAGACCTCCGCCGCTTGAGCTTCATCTCGGTGAATCAAATAGCATTGCACACGGCCCCCCGACAAACCTCAAGAGAACACTCCGAGACGGAGAATCAATCAAATTCTCCACAATCAAGAAGCGGTTGACGGATTGTGAGTCGAAAGATAGGTTTCCAACAATCACTATTCACGATGATCGGATCCCCAATGAGCAGCGAGTCCGCCGATGACAAGGAACAGAATCAATCAGGCCAGGGCAATCGGGAGATAAAGAGGGAGGGAATGAAGAAGAGAATATGCGAATTGACGATCGTGAACTAGGGTTTTTGGTGCCGCGATCGCAATTCGGTTGGGGATTTTCGCGAAGGAGAGGTAGAACGAAAAAGAAAGAGAGAGAGAGGGGGAGATAGAGGAGGAAGTGGAGAAGAGTTCTCTAACTGAGAAGCAGAATGCAAGGCAACTTCTGAATCAAAGAGAACTTTTGTACGAGACTCGAGAGATGTTAGCAGATTTTTTTACTTGGTACTGATTTTGGAGTCGTAGGTGTCTTTCTTTAGTTGGTTCGTATTTCTTTTACAATATGCTAGCTTATAGTTTGGAGTACCGATGGATGGAACATATAATTTGTAGCAAAATTATCTTATCATCATTGCAAAATATGATAAAAAGTTACAAGTATTTAAGTATTTTGGCAAATCGTTGTAATGTAGATCTTATCTCGATATAGATGTGTATTGTACAATATGCTAGCTTATAGTTTGGACTACCGATGGATGGAACATAATTTGTTGCAAAATTATCTTTATCATGGATGCAAAATATGATAAAAGGTTGCAAGTATTTCAGTATTTGGAATCGTTGTAATGTAGATCTTGTCTGGATATAGTGTGTATTGTACAATATGCTAACTTATAGTTTGGACTACCGATGAATGGAACATAATTTGTTGCAAAATTATATTTATCATGGATGCAAAATATGATAAAAAGTTGCAAGTGTTTCAGTATTTGGCAAATCGTTGTAATGTAGATCTTGTCTCTATATAGATGTGTATTGAACGCTTGTTGGATAAGTGAGTGTAATAGAAAAAATTGTTTCAAGAATTGCTCGTTTAGACTCATTTTCTTCAAGAACCTCAAAAGTTTAACACATGAGTAATCTTCTTCTCTCACAATGTCATCTCTTGCAAGTGATGAACTAAGCCGTTAATATTACAATTGACTACCCTTTGGTTGGAGCTATCACTTTTGGTTTGATTGTACAAAACACTTGATCCATATAGCATACTCATAAATATTTTGGAAAATATGCACATCTTAGTATCCTTGTGAAGTTATCATGTATCTCACAAGGCCGATGAATAGACAATTACCAGCTAAACAGTTTTGCAAATAATGGTGCATGTTGTGTAAAAAAAAAAGAAGATAACATCAACCAATTTAGAGAGCCATCAACCATTCATCTCATATGAAAAGACATTGTATAACCAATTGTGTATCGCTTTCCCCACATGTCTTGCCTCATAGATGTGTCTTCGTGGACTTTGTGAACTAAACTGGTGCCTCCAATATCCATGATCGAACATCTCATCTTTATTGTTCTGACTGGTGTAATTTTTGCCTACACCAAAGTAAGTAAGGGATAAATCTAAAATGTTCCCACATACATGTGCTCTAGCCAAGCATTAAGCAACAATAATGTCTATGTTGTTATCAAGTGGGTAAGTGTTACACATGTAAATCAGGTTGGTTCTATCATTCAGCAAAGATTGATTTGCCATTATCCACCTTACAATCTAGTACATAATTGGTTGATGAGTCACAAACTCCAATCACCCTTCGCCATAAGTTAGAAACTCGACCAATAGTTTTAGGTTTGTGTATTGCTTTCCCCACATGTCTCGCCTCATAGATGTGTCTTCGTGGACTTAGTGAACTAAATCGTTGCCTAGTATCCATGATCGAACATCTCATCTTTATTGTTCTGACTGGTGTAATTTTTGCCTACACCAAAGTAAGTAAGGGATAAATCTAAAATGTTCCCACATGCCACATATATGTGCTCTAGCCAAGCATTAAACAACAATGATGTCTATGTTGTTATCAAGTGGGTAAGTGTGACACATGTAAATCAGGTTGGTTCTATCCTTCAACCAAGATTGATTTTCCATTATCCACCTTACAATCTAGTACATACTTGATTGATGAGTCACAAACTCCAATCACCCTTCGTCATAAGTTATAAACTCGACCAACAATTTTAGGTTTGGGGGTCTCATATGTCTGTCTGTATTTGTATGGATTTTTCATCTAATCTTGCAGATGAGCCCATACATAGTTCATGCTCTGCACCCCAGTTCTTCTTGGGATCAGGGACATAGCTAACTTTTTAGTAAGGATGGCAACGGGCCAAAATGAGTCATGTACTAATCAATTTAAACCCGACTCTTTGTAACTTAATTCGCATGCTCGCTCCAAAACCCACAATTGCCCCGTCTTGTGTTGGTTCATGCCCCATCATACACTGATCGGGCCGACCACAAGCCCACCTTACTTTAGTGATTGTTCACTGATCAGTCACAAAACCCACAAAATGTACTGATGAAACCACAACACAACACAATTCCAAATCCAAAAATGTTTTGATGAAACAACAAAATGCTATGCTTAAACATTACAACTGAATTGCATATACAAAATTTAGTCTAACAAAACACCAAAATATTCCATCCAAGCATAATTCCAAATAAAAAAATAAGTTTCATGAACCTTCGAAGTGAAGCAAAATAGAACACGAAGTATGTGAACAAGAACAAGTCTCATAATTATTCCAGACCAACAACCATTCAACAACTAAGCATTTCTCGAAGTCAATCCTCGTAAAGGGAAAAAAATCCAAACATTAAATTAGATTGATCATCCATTCATTCAACAAAATCACTTGTTTACTGTACCAAACATTGAGATTACACATTATATGTCATATGAGCATGATCGTCTAGAACATCAGATTCACCGTCCTCCAAATAATGCACAGTTTTTATTCACA